AGATATCTTGTTGGCTGCACATGAAAAGTAGAAGGTAAAAACTCATTTTCATAGGTTTTAGGAAGGATACGTGTATTTTAGGATGGCCTCCCTAAATAATGCAATATACAGATATGATGCTTTCTAGTCATGTGTTTTCAATTTTAACTCTCTGTCTATTTTCCTGTCTATATTGTTTTTTGCTTGTAGGTACTTCATCCATCAGTCGAACTTCTTCTATCTGTGCTGTACATGGAATAGAGCAGGATGCTCATTTGTATATGTTTTAGGAAGGGCACATACATATTTAGGATGACTTTCCTAAAACATATTCAAGATGCTCATTTGTAAGATATTCACGAATGAGAAGCTTTGTTTACTGGTTACATGTTTTGTTACAAAAACAATAGGTCTTGGGTTCAAGTAGTGGTTGAATTTATTTATTTTTTGTGGTTTTTTCTATATTTTATGAAGGCCTTCCTGAATTTGATAGGTTCTTTCCTGAATTATTCGACAATCTTTCTTGAATATTTCATAGATGATCTCAAAAAGCCATTACATTGTCTAATAGAAACATATGATACTTTTCTAGCTTAGAACCATCATACAAGTACCAAAACAGTCTAAAACGGTTTCACAAGCAGCATACATATAATTAAAGAAACATAGTCCTAAGAAATGTTAACACACTCGTTGAAGATATCGATAGCCAACTTGTTTCTGATGTCTTATGAATCTTGATCACATAGTTTGGAGAAATCTTCAATCCTCATCGAGTGGCATTGAATCATTGCAACTTCTTCTATCACGGCTCCTACATCAAGTGTTCTTTTTGTCCAATCTTCAGATTTCATTTTGTAACCTTTACCTAGAAGCTCGACCAGCAGACTTAATTCTGGATCATCTTCGTCTTCCAATGAAACTTTATCTTCAGGATCATCAGGTATTGAAGGTAAGATGCAAAATACATTCAGCTACACAAAAACAAGCACATTCAGCAGACTTAATACATTCAATTACATATTTTAGGAAGGTCATCCCGAATTACTATAAATCGTTCCCAAATCAGGAAGGTCATCCCGAATTACTATAAATCCTTCCCAAATCAGGATGGCCATCCCGAATTACTATAAATCTTTCCCAAAACTAGTTTAAACCATAAAAAGAAGAGACTGAATTTACATGATTAGATACTTCAATATTCTGTATTTGAGAAAGTTGTGGTGATGGTAAGCTCGTGTATTTCTCACACAAGAATGCAGTCAGCCTCTCTATTAAACTGATTCGGCTGTAGGCTGTTTGTAGCATTGGAATAGACTCAAGAATCCAAATGTGTAGTGCTAGAGGAAATCCATGAATATCATACTTTGTCTTCATCATGTATGATGCCACGTTCTTCTTAATACAAAAGTTCATGATATTTTAATACAAGTGTATTAAAATATAACAGAAATCAGCAAAGACTTTCTGTAAAAACCATGCAAGGACATAATCATTGTTATTCTTCAGACACAATCTAGGCTATTGATAAGAATCTGAAACAAAGATTTTTAAATGATCCACATCATCTCTGAGCGTATATACCACAACAAAGGATCCAATAGATCAAAATTCAGTTAAACAAGCTCTTAAAATCTATTGTTCTGTAGCTTAGTTGTTGCACATGAAACATCTTCTGAGACAACATAATGCAGCATTTCTTCCATGTTCAATGCAATAACCCAAATAGAATAGTCAATCCAACCTAATTGATTGAGCTATAAAAACCATAAAGTTAAACTCTACATTTCTTAAATGTTCAATTACTATGCAATGGTCTCCAACAACTAAGCTACAGAACAATCCAAGCCAAAAATCAAAGTCTCTAGTCTTCATAAGACAACACAAAACTAGTGAATTAATGGAGCAATAAAACCTAGAATCGAACTTCTAGTAACTGATACAACAATGAACAATAAATCCCCAAAGAGAGAAGAAGCTTTGTGGAACCTGCTAAAAGGGAAGTGATCAACAAACGCCTAATGAATCCAATTTTTCTGCACAATCGGCGTCGGAGGAGATAAGGCCTAATGAATCCGACGAATACTGCGGATCTCCGGCAAAGTCTTCAAATCTCCGGTGAAGAAATCAGATCCGGTGAGCGACAGAGTCGTCGAAAGCGACAGGTTTTTGGAAGTCGTCGGATTTGTTGGAAGCAAAGCCGTCTGGTTTGGAAGAAATGAAATTCTATTTTAATTAATTTTTAGAGGATTAAAAACTTTGTGTGCTATTTTTGGAAGTTTCAAAAGAAAGTGCCATTTTTGGAATAATAAACATTTTTAGTGACATTTGTGTAAATTGCCCATAAAACAACGTGTTTTATTATTCCACATGCATATCATTGAGCCGCTAATTCAAGATTTGATTATCATGATATTAGCATGAAGATAGAAGATGTCTCTACGACCTAACACATTAGTTTAATTTAATAATCGAGTATTGTAATTCGTAGGTATGTCAATGTGGTACTGAAATACATAAAAATACATAAACAGTACTTATAAAAACAGTAGTTGATAGAAAAAGAGAAACAACAAAGATACTTATTTTTATAGTAACATTTTTTAGTGTGTTTTTTTTTTTGTTTTTTTTTTTAATTTTTTGAACACCCGTTCTATTTTTTTCTTACTAATTTTAGTCTTATATAAATTTAGTTGGTTGTTTTAAGTTCTGAGGGATATTTTGATATATTCAACTGCTTTCAATTTTGTAATGTGAACGATGTGGAACCCAACAAGCAGACAAGCTCGTCAGTCGTCACCCATTTTTTTTCGGCTCTCAAAAGTAACGCCATATTCATCTTTAGCATGCGTGAACTCAATATTCAAGACAAATAAAATATCATGTTTTATGGATTTGTAATTGCCTTTGTATTCGTTTTAAGGGTGTACATAAAATTATTATTCTTATATTTTTGTGGGTGGAGGTGGACATCTTAATGAAAACACTCATCTTTGAATAATTCTACCAAAATTTTCTTTCTTAAATAAAATCTATACAAACTTTAAGATAAATTTATGATAATATTTAATCAAATTTGTTGAAAATTTCATTTTGAATCGAATTTAACTTGTAACGATTTGCCGCGGGAATTATAAGATAGGATTCATTGTCCAAGGCTTTAGTTGGAACAAGATAAAATAACAACCTCGAGAGGGGACCAAATATGACTTGAAAAAGGATGGTAAACCTTTTTTTTTTATTTTTTTCACTGAAAAATCTTATTAGAAATAAACAAAGGATCTCTTACACAGCCTCAAGAACAGAGGAACCATAAGCTCTAACCGGTTACACAAATCCGGTATCAGAGACAGCAAACAGAAAATTAAAAACTACGACTATGCAATTTTTAAAGTTCTAACAACCTTCCTGCATCAATACTTTTCAAAGACTTGAACAACTGAAATCACCATGAAATCTTCAAAATCTAGTCTTCAAATCTTTTTGTCCTCACTTGGTAATAGTTAGACTTCGACAATGATAAAATATGCTTCATGAATTGGCTTGACGGAGCCTCTAGAGAGGCGGAGATAAACCGTCGAAAGGAGCCATGATCGATTTGTCAAGTGTAAACGACATAGATCTAGTACAGAGGAAGCAAGATCGAACCAAATTTCGATCAAATCTGGTTGAAACTTTTGGTGGAGGAGACTATCAAGAGCCGCCCAACGGCAACACCAAAGCCAAACCCTAGAGAGGCGGCGGATCGAACCGGAAAGGCCAAGAAAAACACCGACGAGAAAAGAGAAGAACTCTTTCGAAATACATAATCCAAAGCAAACATGCGAAAAACTAATTAAAGCCAAAAGAGATTGGGAAACGAAAGGCGGAAACTATACCGGACGGCTGAGATCTTTATCGGAGAACCGGTAACGACACTAGAGAAGCCACCGGACACCGGTCACGGCTAAAACAGACGGCATCATCAACTATAGAAAAGGACTGGCATCGAGCTAGATAAGCCACAAACACCGGTCACGGCAAAAACTTACGGCGTTCAAAGAGATTTTTGGTTTCTCTCTCTAAAAGATTTGAGAGAGAGAAGAGAGAGAAACCGACTCTAGTTTAATGCTCAACGATTTCGTGACAAGGATGGTAAACCTTGCCATCGGAACCACATAACAAAAGCTATTTTCAAAAGAAATCTATATTTATAAAAACAAAAGAAATTTATTTTAGAAGTATATTAATTAAAGGCATAGTAGTATATGATATATTAAAAAAAAAAAATGGCAATATGAGTGAAGTTTCTTAGACTAATCATTTTTGTAAAACAGAATAAATAAATTTTAAGATAAATATTGCGTGTCGACATAAAAAAAATTCACACTATTTTGTTGTAGGTGTTGTTTTAGTTTGACCATGCAAAACTTGTTTTAATATTTCTCATGCATAAAACTCAGTCACTAAGTTTTCAAAGTTTGGCTGACCTCATGACATGAGCGTGGTGGAAAAATGTTTCAACGAGCTCACTCACTAATTTAGTTTAATTCTATTGATGAGTATTGTAGCCGTGAAAATGAAGGTTTACGGATTTGTAAACGTTTTTCTCTTGTTTTAGAGGTAGATATTAGTTCAACGAGCTGATATATTTAATATTTTTTTGTATCCGTCACTCGTTTTATTTATTCCAAACCATATTTTAAAAAATAAACTCATTTTTGCATAATTCGACGGAAAGATTCCTTCATAAATTAAAATACTTTTGCGACACACGGAAAATGATTGACAAAAGATACTTTATTAAAAAATTATTACAAATTTCTTTTTAAAGTCACGAAAATTTTGCGATTGATTGACAACAAAGATAGCTGTAGTTTCGTTACAAAGTTTGCGACGGAAAGTATAAGATAAGATTTTGGCAAATTCTATCATCTTTTGTAGCTAATTCTAGAGAGTGACTGGGGGACCAAATAAGATAACGGGAGAAATGATAATAAAACCTCACTCTCTCAACCACACAACATAAAAAGATATTTTTTATAAGAAATCTTTATTCATTAAAAATAAACAACAACAAAACCATACAAACATTGCATGATTTGTTGTCTTAATTAATTAAGAAGATCTCACTCTCTCTGTCATATAGTTCATGTGTTCTACATGTTTCTCTCTTGGTGGAACACAATCTTTTACAATCTCAACCTTCTCCAAATTCCTAACCCATTTCTTGAATTCTGGAAACTTCTCCTCGGTAATCACTTCCAATCCTATCCCTTCCCAACCTCTCTCCAAACAAAACGGAATCAAACTTCCTGCCACAAAGTCCAAGAATCCGACAGTCTTGCCACCGAAGTAATCTTTTCCGACAAGTTCTTTCTCAAGATACATGATCAGTTCTCTTGCCTTCTCAGCTAAAACTTCTCTTCCTTTCTCGTCTGCTCTTGCCATTGATACAAACCCCACATTCATAAGCTACAATGTCAAAGAGATAACAATAGTTTTAATATAAATTAATCAAAAAAAACCATATAATTATTACTTGACATGCAATTTTAAATTTGGAGAATTTTGAATGAATTCCATTACCTGTTCATCTACGAGTTTAGCAAAGAAACGAGCTTTGGATCTTTCGTAAGGATCTTGAGGGAGAATTGGATTGTGTGGCCAAGTCTCATCGATGTATTCAAGAATCACATGAGACTCAAGAATGGTTTTACCATTGTGGACAAGAACAGGGACTTTCTTGTGAATAGGGTTAAGAGCAAGAAGCAAAGGGCTTTTGTCCTCCAATATTTCTTCCACGTAATCGTACTTTATGCCTTTTAGTTTGAGAGCCATCTCGACCCGACGGCTAAAAGGGCTCGCCCATATTCCCAAAAGCTTCACTTGGTCTTTCTCCGCCATTTGATATCTCTTCTCTTCTCTCTATGTTCTTTTTAGAAATGGTTTTTTTTTTCTTCTGCTTTTGTGGAGTTATCAGTACTTTGGGCTTAGATTTATAGCCATATGGTTTTGACTTTTGATGGTCTTGTGATAAAACGACGACGAAATTTGCCGTTTTTATTTTGGTCGGCAGTGAGATGTAAATGCGAAGAGTATAGAAGGCAACAGATGTTGACTTTACAACATATTTATAACGTTCACTTTATAATATTTTTGTTCTCTTTTTTTAATATGCGGAGATGTGTCGTAACACATAACTTACCCTTAGAGCATGTGTAGCTTGACCCAACATTATTTTTTAGCATTAGGCAAATCATATTTTCAGGGCCCTTTTTAATAAAAGAATAAATTTTGGACCCTTTTATGTAAGGAACTTTTTTAGAGTTTGGCGTGAGCCATGTCCCTCGGTCCCTCCCGCCACCTCTAGAGCCGGATCTGCGTTGTGGTCCTTGTGGACGCAGGACGCTAATTATTATTTTTTCTTTATAGTGGTCAATAATAACTCAACTTAAACATGTCAATTAGGACAAATGGCAGAAGTCGGGACTGGCCTGACCTTGAAAAATGGATTCGGAGGCAGGAGGCTGGATATTGAAGCCTGAACAATTATTTTTTCTTCTCCACCAATTCATGTAACTGTAGACTAATGGAGATGGTTCCATGCATGTGGAACGGGATAGGTACGGACATGCAAAATAATACTATTAAAAATTAGTACATTGACTTTTTTTTTTTTTGGTATTAACTACGTTAACTTTTTTTGTTGAAAATTGCATTAAGATATATCATACCATATTTTGATTGATACTGTAGCATGCGATTCGTCGTACTTTTAGAAAGTAATTGTAATGATTTTATCTGTGGAAATGATGTTGTTGAAGAACTGTGTTTAAACATCAACAGCGTCAAAACCATTTTTTGTCATTCTTGTTTGTTATCATTGACGCCCAAGAAAACAAACAATTCTATAGTCGAGGTAAAATAAAAGAAATTAATACTAGTATGTTATTAAATGTTCTTTTTATATATTATTAAAACATTTTCTTCATCCAGGAAATGTTTTGCTGATTTTCCTCACCTTGTAACGTCTAGTCGTTTGTTGCCCCAGCAACTATAAAGTGTCGGTGCTCAAAACTACTCATCTCATCAGAGCTGGTCCTGAAAATTAATAGGCCATAAGTTAGAATTATTATTTTTGGCTATATTATTGAGAGTAAAAGGAAAAAAAAGGGTAGAATGTAGATTGAAGGATTCAAAACACCTACTTTTACACTTTTACAAAGGTAAAGCCAATTCCGCTAGTTCAACTTTCAGAAAATTGTCAGCCAAATATATATATTGTTATATTTACAGTAGCAACCATAGGCTTGGCATACTTGTATACAGGGCCATGCATTTACCTCATGATACTAAAATCATACTAATCTTTATATAATATGACAAAGTTTCTTCTAAACTTGCTCTAATTTTTTGACATTTGACACTTCAAATGCTTGACATGTGTCATATTTTCCATCTCTTAATTATCCACATTAATATACCATAACTAATTTTTCTTTTTATTCAAATCAATAAATATCTCTCCATTACTTTACTTTCCAATATTTTAAGTTTTGATTCTTTTCTTCCATACTTTTTAATACCAATATAATATTGAAAATAAAATTCATATAAGATACCAATATTGATTTCTAATCTTTATTATTATCAAAGTGTTTAATTATTCATATTATTTTACCACAATAAAACCAAAAATCTTATGTGACACCATTATTGTGGAAAATCAGAAAATGAATATCTTATAATAATTTACAGTAAAATTATTTTACGTATTTTCAAATTTGTAACCCCATACTAATAATTATTAATTTTGAGTTGTTGAACATTTATTTTGATTAATTTATTTTTAATTATAATTTTGAAATTTTATATAAGGAGTAAATTAAATAGTTGAACAGAATATTTTAAGAAATTTGACTTATACTGTTTATATAGCCCACAAATTTTTAATCCATGAGAGTTAATTTGGTATGTTTTAATTATAATTGGAAAATGGTTATATAAAGTGTAAATTAAATAGTTTAAAATGTTCACTTTCTTTTTATTGGGTTACTTGACAATTCATTTTTACATATTTTTCCTTCTTTCAATAGTTAACAAATTAAATGAAAAATAAATAAATAACTTCTCCTCTATCTTTTATATTCCAATGTTGTGATGTTTTTGTTTTTTTTTGTTTTTTGGTGAGCACCGGGGGAAAACTCCCCCTGAATTTATTAAATATATATATTACATCCGAATCCGTCGTAGAAGCGTAGTTCCAACAACATCGTCTCTCAAAATTGAATCAACAACAACCGGAACCGAAACAAAATCATGAAAACAAAGAGGCAAAGAAAACGCATAGTTAGCTAATCCGTCGGCAAGATGGTTAGCCTCCCTATACACATGAGAGTAACCCGGAAAATCTAGTCCCTCGCAATGAAGCCGTAGCACAAGCGTACCAGGATAGACAACGGATGAGAATCCCCAATCACTGTCGTAAGAAAACCAACCACCAAACTCGAATCCACTTCCAATACTAACCGTGTAACGCGGTGCTCCCACGCCGTATAAAGCCCATAATACACTCCCCATAGCTCGGCTAGCGGAGCGGAGCATCTCCCAATGTTCAAGGCGAAACCCCCGCACCACTCTCCATCACTATTCCGCAGCACTCCACTCGCCGTGGCTAGCCCCGGATTCCCTTTGGACGCTCCATCGGTGTTCATCTTACTCCACCCATCCTCCGGTGCCACACATCCAATCATCCTCTCCACGCGGGGTACATGTTAGCTCTTATTCAAGACCTTCAAATTTGTATTCGCATCTGTCACCTCCTTTGAAAGATCCTTAATGAATTTCACACGGTCCCTGCATTTCCTGCTTTCACCAAACACGTTGTGATGTTGTCATGTTTTCGTTTGATTGGGCCTAAACGTTTTTTCAATTAATAGCATTAAATTGGTTTGTGGTTTTAATAACTTATTAGCAATAACTTTCTTTCTCATGTGACTAATCACACGATTTATAACATATGGTGGACTCACATATGATTGATTAACTACATTAACTATGTAATTTGCACATTTCAAATTAAAATCCCAACTAAATTTATATAATAATTTTTTATTTTGCTGAAAAGAAAACATGTATACTTTGAAGTTGTCTTTTTTCCTAGATTTTTCCTTATTTTATCTTCTCATTCTATAGTTAAAATCAAATAGCATAATTTAAAATTAATTTTTTTACATAATATTAATTTTTTCATTGTTATCAAATTTAATGAAAATCATAAACTACCCAATTAATATAATTTGAGACAGGCAAATACACTTCTACCCAATTAACTTTTTTTTATTCTTATAAAACGTAGTCAAAATTACTTAATGACTCTACAATATAAAGAGACATGAACTAACGAAGACTACTAAATGACCAACGTTAACTGTTTCATAGTTATCAAATTTAATGGAAACCATAAACTACCCAATTAATATAATTTGAGACACGCATATACACTTCTCCTCCAACTTTTATAAAACGTAGTCAAAATTATTTAATGACTCAACAATATAAAGAGACATGGACTAAAAAATACTCCATCCGTTTCAAAATATAAGGCGTTTTACCTAAAAGTACGCCGATTAAGAAGATCTACTTTTTAAAAGTTCAGCCAATCATAAAAGAGACTGCATAATAGAAATAATCATAAAATATTAAAGGAATATATAATTTGCATAGAAACTTGAAAACGACTTATATTGTGAAACAAAAAAGTTTCTCCAAAACGCCTTATATTTTGAAACGGAGGGAGTACTAAATGACCAATTATAATGGACATTAAAATTAGCATTAACTTGGGCATTGAAGTTTCATAATTTCCAATGGTAAACTAAAACTTCCAACACAAAAATAAACGTCAATCTAACATTAATATACTCCCTCTGTTTCATAATAAGTGTCGTTTAAGGTTTTTGCACACATATTAAGAAAACAATTAAATTTTCTGTTTTACCCATTATCTATATATTTTATTATTTTTTTATTGGTCAATACATTAAATTAGTAGGGACAAAACTGGAAATTAGACCAAACATCTGCATTGAAAACACAAAACGACACTTATTTATAAAAAAAAAATCAAAGGCTAAAACGACACTTAATATGAAACGGAGGGAATATTGTACTAATAATCTAATATATATAGACTAAAATTAAAACTTCCAACACAAAAAGAAACGTCAATCTAACATTAATATATTGTACTAATAATCTAATATATATAGACTCTTACTTACATCTAAGACTCATATTAACTCTTATATTTTGTTATTTAGTTTTTGTGATTGATTCAAATTGTTTAATGTTTAATGTTTAATATTTTTCTAAAATGGTTACATCAATCTTTAGTTACATGCGTTTTTTTTACCCCAAATAAAATTGAAATAATTCTTATACATCTCCTCAAGAAAGAGATGTTTGTCTCACATCACAAGGTGAAGAAAATTCTATTTTGGAGCATGACTATTATCTATCATGATGTAGTTGAACTAAGAAAAGGATTGAGAGGCATCAGATGAGCTTTAAATGATTGAATGCATATGGAAAAAGGAGTTGACAATGAGAAGTAAAGTTGGTTGCAAGACAAAGCAAGGATCGGACTAACGAAAAAAAACTGGTGGGACAAAAGGTTCAAAATTTTTTTTTTCATAGATCAATTACAATGTAGAAAGTTTGAGGCAAATGTTTTGGGTAATTTTGAAGAATGGTGGATAATTGATGATATGTATGATAATCATCTCTTACCAATTGGTATTATAACTAAACCGCTAATTTTTAACATATCTCATTCTCTTACTACTATCTTTTTTGGTTCTAAAAATACTATTATCTTTTTTTTCATGTTATCGTTGTTGCCGAAAATATATTATTTTGTCATCATTTGAAGACCCTATGTATATCTATCATACATCTAACTATCATTTTTGGGCATTATAATTTGAAGGAAGAAAAACAGTTATATATTGGAGTAGATTATCATCACAAATAGCAAACCATTCTCTATAAATTTTCATATTTGGTTTTAAAGGGAATGGCAAGAGTTTGTAAAGCTTAGTAAGTGGTCAACACGATTCTTGATGACATTCGTTTTTAGATTCTCAAACTGCATGAAGTATCTTCGATCTCATCAAAAGAATGAACATACATATTTTTTGATTATATATATATATATATATATATTTATTTTTAATAATTTCTTTGCTTAATGAAATAGATGGTTAAAATATATTGCCACTTCATATAATTTGATAAGATATATTTTAATAGAACCATATAAAATAGTATATGGTCACGTTACCTCGTGTATTATAGGTCACACATTGTCGATCTAAATGATGTAAAAACAAAATTCTCATTACTATTTCAAAACTTCTATATTTTAAAAAAATCTCACTTCAAAACCTAAAAAATAAACTATTGAAGACAAAATTCAAAAACCATTTAGGAGATTTTTTCATATATGTCATGAGAAAAACTATTTATATAGTACTCACTTCAGAAAAATATTGAAGGAATGACCTATCAATTTTCAACATTGCTACATTGATAGGAAAAGATTATCATTATGAAACCTACAAAAAGATTGTCAAAGATATTATTTGTTATATAGATACCATGAGAACAATATTCAACAAATAGTACTTATTTCACAATAAATTCATTGTCAAAATTTAGAATTAGTGTTCTATCAACACTTAGGTAAGAGAAGTTTCTTTTATAACATACATAATTTAACTAAAATAAAAAATTTAGCATGTGTTTTGATAGACTAGAAAATACTTAGAAATGCATTGAGAATATTTTATTTTTTGGTAAAATTTAGAATTGAATCTAGAATAGTTTGTAATTAAAAATCCAAAATAGATTTTTTAAATTTTGTCGAAAAATAAAATAACAGAAGTTTTTTGTTTTTCTTATGATTAACAATGATTAGATGAAAGTGTTCTATAAAATACGTAATTTAAATTTACATTCATCTCTTGACCAAAAAAGTATATATATATATATATATATATACATGAATTAAAAATCCACGCATCGCGTGGGCAACCTTCTAGTATGAAATTAAAGTCAAGTGATCCTAATGAAACAAGATATTTATTAATCACAGAAAGTAGCAAAAAGCATCAATCCAGCAAGAAGTATCAATCCAGAATTAGCACGCACCTCGATTTCATGCTTAGTTTGAGGTGCAAAAGTTGTATTAGTAGACACCCCATCAACAATGTATAGACATGCTCTTTGTTTGTCGAAGAATTTCTGTAGATAGTGTTTTTTGTCAAGTAGATTGGAGATGTCAAATCATGTTTCCTCTAAGACCTGTGTTACACAAAGAAGATCAAGAATGTGTCAATGTATCTCAATAAAAAGTGATGAAATTTAAAGAACATACCTCACGTATTGCGCAGACATAGTCTTCCTTATCCTCATAGTCCTTCTTCCCCCCGGGGAAAGGTCCAGGAAGGTCCTTTATACCCCTTTACCAACAAAATCTTTTCAAAATCCTCGTCCAGTATGATTGCTCCACTCACTGGCAGTGATCGTTTGTGGGAAGTAAAAAGCTTCACTGTATCCGCCGGATTCTTTGCATGACGTCTCAAACGATCGCATCTATTGAGTACATTGCTACATTGATAGGAAAAGATTATCATTATGAAACCTACAAAAAGATTGTCAAAGATATTATTTGTTATATAGATACCATGAGAACAATATTCAACAAATAGTACTTATCTCACAATAAATTCATTGTCAAAATTTAGAATTAGTGTTCTATCAGCACTTAGGTAAGAGAAGTTTCTTTTATAACATACATAATTTAACTAAAATAAAAAATTTAGTATGTGTTTTGATAGACTAGAAAATACTTAGAAATGCATTGAGAAGATTTTATTTTTTGGTAAAATTTAGAATTGCATCTAGAATAGTTTGTTATTAAAAATCCAAAATAGACTTTTTAAATTTTGTCAAAAAATAAAATAACAGAAGTTTTTTGTTTTTCTTATGATTAACAATGATTAGATGAAATTTTTCTATAAAATAAGTAATTTAAATTTACATTCATCTCTTGACCAAAAAAATACATAATATATATATATATATATATATACATGAATTAAAAAATCCACGCATCGAGTGGGCAACCTTCTAGTATATATATACTAGGGAGTGTCCCACATGATGCGTGGATTACGCATTCAATTGTTCTTTATATTGAATAAAGTTTACATTAAATTATATATGAAGTGCACATATAGTTGTTAACATATGTTATGAGAAAATTTTAAAAGATATTCATTTATATGTTTTTAGATAATGGAGTATTAAAAAAACACATTACTTTAATACAGTTTATGAAGATATTCATTTCAATGCAGTTTAAAAATTTAGAAGTACTTTTGTGAATTATAAAGATAAACTTCATTATCTTTTCTTGAAAATAGTATATATATAAACACTAAATAGTATGTCTTTCTAAGGTTTTTAGTAATAAAATCCCTCAAATAAAGATGTATAGTAAAAAACCCTCTTAACTATATATTTAATAAGAAAACCCCTCAACTTAAAATCTATTATTACAAATCCTTCTCCGTCTACATTTTCGTGAAAAGTGCATGGACTACAATTAAATTGAAATTGACAAACGATATATATACACTTAAACAACATGAATTATAAACAAAAACAACAAAACGTCCTTCTATCCGATTATAAATCCCCAAACCTTAGCTCTAAATTTTTCAAAGTAAAAAATCTAAATGGATGAACCCTAATTTATCATAGTGAGATTCTCTGAAGTTTGCGTGGTGTCGAAATCGATTAGGAGAGATTCTGAAAAAGGTTAAGTTTTAATTTGAATTATAGTCCGTCCAATTTTCACGATACTGTAGACGGAGGAGAATTTGCATTAAAAGATTTGAAGTTGAGGGGTGTTTTTTCTAAATATATAATTGAGGTGTTTGATTACTAAATTATATATAGATCACCGCTTTTTCGTAATTTGCACACAACATTAATAATTGTCTAGAAACAATAGATTAACCTCTACAATTCAGTTTGTTTGGTGTATGTGTTGTGGATATAATTGTAATACATGCATAAGTTTATATTTAAGTCATGGAAACTATTATTTAAAAACTAAAGATGTAGTAAATATGTTTTTTTAAGATTTAGAAGACATGATTTTATTAAAAAAAATTAAAATATTGCTAATCATTGAAAAATAAGCAATATTTTAATCGCCTTATTTTAGAAGACATGCATAAGTGAATTACCAGACTCGATATGTCGATTTTCCACTTATATCCAGGCCCAGTGTATAGATTTTAAATTTTAAATTTTTAGTAATTTAAGCATTGTCACATTTATTGTCAAGAGTCACAAACCTTGTATATGTCTTTCACGGGTTTCACTTCATAAACGGACTTTAACGGTCCATATTACTTGGTCCGCAAGATACACATTTTGCTCTCCAAATTATTTCCAATATATATCTAGCGATTAGTTGCCCTAGTAACTATAAAGTGTCGGTGATATTTCTATGGTTACAAGATTCACCACCTCACGATACTAAAAATATGCTAAATAAATTTATTATATTGTGCGGCAACAAATAGACCCACATGTTCGTTGTAGTTTCCACTGTTAGACAACTTTTTGCGTGTCGAAAATACATATGTTCACATTAAATCATAGTTTGTGGTTTTGTTAAGACATATAGTTTGACTATATTATACTCTGTTTTAATTTATTTGTAGTTTAAAGAAATTTTTATTACAATAAGTGTTGTTTCAATTTTCTATGTAAAAATTAAATATATTTAATATTTTTAAAAAATTATATATTACAATATGTTACTCACCAAAAAAAAATATTACAATATGTTTTTTTTATTGGTTGAATTAGTTATAATTAATAATATTTTTATGCACAAAAGGTAAATTATAGTTTCAATTTATTTGTAGTTTAAGGTTTTTGAATACTATTATATTTTAAATGTTTATAATAATTAACTGATATATAGAATTTTGTAAAAACACTACTTGTTTATACAACTTTTATTAATTGTTCATAAAAGTATACAACTTTTATTAAACGAGATTATATTATACAAACATATAGTTAGGCCGATTTGATTCTTTCTACCACTTTCTTCATGTGCTCAATTTGTTTCTCTCTAGGAGGAATACATTCCCTCACGATCTCAATTTCTTTCAAATTCTTGATCCATCGGTTTAGTTCTGGAAACTTTTCCTCTGGAATCATATCAATTCCCATACCTTCCCAACCTCGAGCAAGACAAAACGGGATCATACTTCCTGCGACCATGTCTAAGAATCCAAATGTTTCGCCACCGAAGAAATCTTTTCCAGTGACTTCCTTCTCAAGAAACATAAAGAGTTCTTGAGCCTCCTTGATTGCAACCTCTTTTCCCTTCTCTGCTATTGCCAGAGACCTAAAGGCTACTGGTCCAACCTACAAGATAGTAACCATTTCAGCAGAAAATTAACCGCAATTAATTTTTGTTTTGCATAGACATTCTTATGTAATCAAAATCATTTTACAATTCTGCCTTTCCTAGCCTACCAATCGAACAGAATCAGAATCTTGATTTTACTATTCAAAATGTAATGAAATTCTAGTCATCGGTGGTTCTAGGTGTTAATCATTTTTAGAAATCACCTATGCAATTAGTTGAGAAAGGTATTTGTTATAAAGTTACCTGTTCATCAATGAACTTGGCCCAGAATAAAGCCATGGCTTTCTCGTAAGGATCTTGAGGAAGGATTGGATTGTTTTTCCATATTTGGTCGATGTATTCGAGGATCACATGTGACTCGGATAATACTTTTCCTTTGTGGACAAGAACCGGAACCTTCTTGTAAACTGGATTTAGTTGGAGAAGCAAAGGGCTCTTGTTCACTATATCTTGCTCCAAGTACTCGTAAGGCACGCCTTTGAGCTTGAGAGCCATCTCGACTCTACGACTAAAAGGGCTTGCCCAAAATCCTAGAAGTTTCACATCCTCTTCTTTCTCCGCCATTGGACCTCTAACTTTTTTTAATGTAACTCCTCCTCTATTGTTCTTTGACTAGTTTATGTGGTTTTGTTCTCGTGAGTGTTTGATCGGTTCATGTACATATAGAGCTTATATGGTTTTGTTCTCTAGGCTTTAACGCCTTCTTTTTGACTAGTTTTTGTGGTTCCGTTCTCGTGCTTGAAAAGTATATGAAAACGACGTGGCAAGAAGAAAAGGACCATTTTGATTTCTCTTGATGTTCATTCATTGTTAAGTATCCAATGAACCGTGAACACATTATATCATCTCCCTATAAATTCAAATAGTATATTCTATCTTTTCAATTTCCTCAAACATACCAACTTTAAAAATAATATTCAACATTCAACAAGTTTGTCCTTTTCTGTTGATTTTTTTTTCTATATCTTAGATATACGTTTCTAGTATCTTAAATTAATTTTTATTATATTTCCTTACTATTCCTGCAAATACCATTTTTTGTTCCTTAAGCAAGTTTCTTTATATTTTTTTGTCATTTTTATTGAACTCTGCGGTTTCTTTACCTAATTAAGGAAATTTAATAATTTAATCTAATAAAATAAAATAAAATACCTTTTAAACAATAATTTTTGAATGAGTAATTCAAACTGTTTTTTTTTTGTTATGATAATCTAAATTATAGAACAAAATATGTTATGATAAATTATGATCATATATCAATAATTAATTACGATAGAACTAGGTACTCTTACACAGTGGTGGACCCAGAAATTTTTTTTACCTGGGTCAACTACCTTACTAAAAGAAAAAGTATATTATGTCAACAATTTTAGTCATCGTAATATATTTAAACCAAATATACCTAGATAGTTTTTACAATATTGCTTTTGAATTTTTTTTATTATTTCTGAGATTAAAATATATTTCTTTAAATAATAAACATAATTTAATTGACATAAAAAAAACAAGAGAAAATTTGATGAAACTACGCCAAATACTTAAAATTTGGGCTATAGCCCAATAAAAAAAATAGTAAAAGAAAGTAGATAAGTCATGTCGTGAATTCGAACCAAGGACTTAGGGGGGTCAAACACTAATCTCTCAACCAAATCAGCTAACAATGCACAACACATATTGGCCAAACTGTCAAATATATAAATTTAAGGTGGGTCAACTGACATCCCTTCCTTCTACGTGGGTCCGCCACTGCTCTTACAAACTAAATTATACTACCACTGCGGATACATGTATCACTCATCTTTATTTAGTAGATTGTTCATAAAACTTTTAAATAACAAGACAATACAAATGTAGTTAACAACTTAACATCACGGTCAAAGAGTATCATGTTGTCTTCTAGGCCGCTTTGATTCGTCCTACAATTTTCATCATGTGCTCAATATGTTTCTCTCTATCAGGAATACATTCCTTTACGATCTCAATTTCTTTCAAATTCTTGATCCATTTATTTAGTTCTGGAAACTTTTCCTCTGGAATCATATCAATTCCCATACCTTCCCAACCCCGAGCTAGACAAAACGGTATCATACTTCCCACGACCATGTCCAAGAATCCTATGGTCTCTCCGCCGAAGAATTTTTTTTCCTTGATTTGATTCTCAAGCAACATAATAAGTTCTCGAACTTCCTCTATTGCAACGTCAATTCTCTTCTCTGATTTCACCAGAGACCTGAGCCCTATCAATGTGACCTACACGGTAGCGATATTTAGCAAATGTTTCATGACAAAGTTATATAGTTATTAGTTAGAATTATTGTGCATAGATATACATTGTTACCATATCATACACATGTTAAGCATAACTCGTAAAATTTTTTTTAGCAACTTTAAATTACTATACGAGTTATTCAGCTAAAATGTTATTTGTAATTATAATTTTTGAGTAGGGATTCGGTAAAACAATATTAATACCGCTAGGTGTCTATTCGGAGGGAGAATCTTGGTTTCACTATTGAAAAGGTATTGAACTTATAGTAACCGGTTGTTCTAAGTGTTTATCATTCTAGAAATTACATATGCAATTAGTTAATAAAAGAATTAGTTTTTAGAATTACTTGTTCATCGACGAATTTGGCCCAAAATCGAGCCATGGCTTTGTCGTACGCATTCTGCGGTAGAATTGGATTGTTCGTCCATGTTTGGTCGATGTATTCAAGGATCAGTTGTGACTCGGGTAATATTTTACCATTGTGGACCAAAACAGGGACTTTTTTGTAAACCGGGTTGAGTTGAAGTAGCAACGGGCTCTTGACGACCAAATAATCTTCGTCCAAGTAATCGTATGGCACGCCTTTGAGTTTGAGAGCCATCTCGACTCTACGACTGAATGGGCTTGCCCAAGACCCTATAAGCTTCACACCCTCTTCTTTCTCGGCCATTGAATCAATCTCTTTCCCTCTTTTTATTTTTTATTTAACTCCTCTACTCTTTATACTTTCATGTAAATTATGCTTGATTATAAAGGCAAAAAGGAAAAGGAAGAGGAAAATAAAAAGTCCATTTTAGGCCATTTACTTCAATAGTTATCATACTTTTCTTAAGAGTTGTGAGGAACACTTAATTACAAGTTCAATGTATGTACATCATTCATGTGTATCATCTAAGGACATCTAGAAGGTAGTTGTTCATCACTGACGTCACTTTCAAATTTGTTCATCATTTATCCTCACGCCCTCAACATTTCATCATGTGTTTATCATGGATATTTTTGGTAGGATAGATAGTTCAAACTCCAAAATATTAAAAATCCTCAAAAGTCAACATTTATGTCTATCTTTGACCATGTTCTTTTTTTTTTATAAAGAATATTTGACTATGTCTTTCATCTTTCACTTCCGATGCTGTATTAGTTTTGAAGAAATATGTTAATTATTTGTTATTTCATTTCTTGAAGAAAATGAGTTAACAATGTTAATACAAAATTGGTTAGAGTGCTAATAGATTCAGAAAAGCACTAAACTGAAATACTAACCAACTACACACAATAAACCAATACTAACCAACCATACGTAATGTCTTAATATTAGCCAAAGAGTGATGTTCTTTTCAAACTTCATGTAATCAATACCACTCATCATGAAACAAATTAACTCATCCTATCGAACTTATCAATATACCATCTTTGCAATTCATTGTCCTTAAACTATAAATCAAAATTTGTTATTATAGTTATAATAGATAGCTTTCAAGATTTCACTTTGCACCCATTGATTCCATACCAATGCAGCTACATTCCGTCTTAATCTCAAAATTTTCAATAACAAAACGATACAAGCACATAGTCATTATTTCAGAACACAGAGTTATGATGATGTTGTCATTAATTTAGGTAGACTTAGCTCTCTCTATAATTTTGTTCATACGCTCAATATGTTTATCTTTTGGAGGTATACATTCCCTCACGATCTCAACTTCATTCAACTTCTTGATCCATCTGTTTAATTCTGGAAAAGTATCCTCTGGAGTCATATCAATTCCCATACATTCCCAAGCCCGAGCCAGACAAAACGGGATCATACTTCCTGCAACCATGTCCAAGAATCCGATCGTCTTGCCGCCAAAGAAATCTTTTCCAGTGACTTCCTTCTCAAGAAACATAAGCATTTCTCGAATCTCTTCAATAGCAACATCTATTCCCTTCTCTGCTTTTACTAGGGGCATGAACCCAACTGGTAGGATCTACAAGTTATTATATCAATCTATAAAAAAAATGCTTGGAAAATTACTTTATTCTACAAATAATCCTGATATAAATGCTTGAAATGTATTGAACTTCTAATAAGTCTCAAGTATTTATCGTATAGTATGCAACCAATATTATACATCAATTTAATTAGTTAGAGTACCTGCTCATCGACGAACTTGGCCCAGAATCGAGCCATGGCTTTCTCGTAGGGATCTTGAGGTAGAATTGGATTGTTATTCCAAGTTTGGTCGATGTATTCGAGGATCACATGTGACTCGGATAATATTTTATCATTGTGGACGAGAACCGGAACCTTCTTGTGAACCGGATTTAGCTCAAGAAGTAAAGTGCTCTTTTTGGGTAAGTCTTCTTCCAAGTACTCGTATGGTACGCCTTTAAGTTTGAGAGCCATCTCGACTCTACGACTAAAAGGGCTTATCCAAAACCCTAGAAGCTTCACACTCTCTTCTTTCTTCGCCATTAGATCTCTCTCTCTCTCTATATATCACTTTAAAAACACCATTGTGCTCTTTTTTTTTGTAGTCTCAAGCATATCTTGAAGATAAAACCAAAAACGACATCATTAAGGTAATCAAGTCATTGCTGACGTCACTCTGGTTATTTTATTCTTATTTTCTAGTAGTGTTGGCTTTTATAATCTCCAGACACTTACCACGTTGTCCTTTACGAACTACGAGCTTTATTTGATTGCTATAACTTTCAAAGATTTTCTTTTCTTTATATTCTATAGTTTTATGGGTTAACTAGGATTTAACTCGTCATATACGGCGAGATAATTTTGTGTCGCACAATTTTAATTAAATCAGTCTGATTCAACATATTAAAATATTGTTGGTGTTAATAAAATTATAAAATAAAAATTTAACTCATATTAAAACGTTAATATTTTAAATCTTTATTCATCCTGTGTTATTTAATTTTTTTATTATATATTTACATATTTCTAATATTTTTTTTAAAAAGTTAGGTTTAAATATATCAATTATAATATTTAAACTTTTGAAAAATTTTAAGATTTAATATATCCGGTAAAACTAAAAACCCAAATTCAACTGTATAGAAACAATTAAATTTGGATACTTGTTAAATTACGATTACTTCTTATTCAGATTTGGATACATTTTGATATTATTTATAATATGACTCTGAATCATTGTATAAACATTTTAGCCAAGGTGGGAACACACATTGTTTTTTCACTAATCGAGTAATTATATAGCTGTTTTAAAATTTATGAATTACAATCATCCCTATAAATTACAACAATTAATAGTATCTGAAAAAATAACAATAGGTAAGCATAATACATACAAATATTATAATACAATTCACGATTTTCATATGTGTAGTCAATATTCCGATTCTGCAAATATTTTCATTAAGCGAAAGAACAAATTAATTAAGGAAATAAACAAATTCCACATTCTAAACCATAATGTTTTGATGTCAAGAAAAAAAAGAAAAACGAAAAAAAATGTCTTTAGCCTCTCACCCATCTTTAACAATGAAGACATCGACAAGACGACAACCCACTTCAAATTCCCTTGGTAAAGTACTCAAAGATTATTAAAAGAAAAAAAAACTTATTAGAAGAATATTGATAAAGTCTAGTGACACATTTGTGCAAATTATGCACATGGATGACCATTTACCTAAGCCACATAAGCGGCTGATTAGAGCTTTAACAAAAAACCATTTCTCATTATATAGTTTTCTAACCCGTTTTGTATGATTTAATAAAAGTCAATATTTCACCAATCCAACCTGCAGTATCGTATGCTAAACCCCTTTATTGCATTGTAGGGTTAAGATAATGAATGGGAGCCTTTCTAAGAACCAATACATGTAGATAAAGAGATCTGATCTCTTAGTATATTACCACCACAGTCTTGGTCGCATTAGAATGGAGTGTGAAATTTTGAGATTTAATAATGGTTGTGCTAATCGCGAAGTCTGAGATTCTTATAAGCCAGTCGCAGAAATATATGATTTTTACTCTAATATATGAAAATCTTTTGATATGGATGTTGGATGGGAGTTGTATAGGCGACGTTTTAGGGTTGTTTCAGTGGTTGATACTTCGTTTTGGTTGGCTGCATCAAATAAATCATATGAAACATTTGTTCAGAGTCTTAACTTTGAAACTGAATCCTTTGACCCTTTAGCAGTGCCTCCCCTTGGTGTGGAAGAAGGGACTGTGGCGTTATCCTCTTCTAGAATAGAAGATCTTTTCCTCCTCAATTAAAGATGCAAAGACTTGAATTCTGTCATATGGATCAAAAAGAGAGTGAGAAACATATTAGTCGGAATTTGGGAAAAACTGTATTCTATAGCAGCAGGACATCGTAGATGGTACTTTCCAAGCTTTTGTTTACATCAAGAGGAGCTCCTGATTCTAAATGAAGATGTATTTAATATAGTTACTGAAATAAAGCTTACAGAAATAGCAAAAGGCACAGTGACAAAGACCATACATATCGATGCCTATGCTTATGTCGGTCTGTCAAGTATTTGAGTCTACCAACAAAGTTTAGTTCATGTACCGATGAGAGAAATTCACTCTTACCATAATTGTTTGATTTGGGGGCAATTGTGTTTTTATCTAATTCGTAATCTGAATTTTCTTTAACATGAGAAGAAGGAAAGGAGTTTGAGAAGAATGGTGACAAGAGTCTAAGAAGAAGAAAGATAATCTGAGTTGTTAATATTGTCATTCTCTTACCGAGAACCGCGACTGTAAATAATTAAATGTTATAATAATTTATATTATAAATCAAAAGTTGCAATTGTTCTTGAAATAAATTAATTGTTGCAATAGTTCAACTAAACGGTTGCAACCGTTTATGTTTAGTTAAAAAAAAATATTTAACGAAAAATTGCGATAAAAAAAAACAACAGTTCAATGCATTTTAATAATTAAAAATAATAATTTATGAAAAGTTACACTAAGAGACGCGACTGTATATAATTAAATGTTATAGCGATTCATAAAATAAACCAAAAGTTGCAATTGTCAATAAAATAAACTAATTGTTGCAATGGTTCAACTAAGATACGATAAAAAGACACAACCTTAGAAGACATTTATTCGGATTGCAACTTTCTACAAAAAAAATAACACAACCATAAAAATTATATTTTATTTTTAATATAAAAATATAACGAAAGATTGCGATAAAAGGACACAACTTTTCAGAACTGCAAAAGACATTTATTCGGAATATTATTATTATATAGATTTCAAATTAGCTTGATCATTTTGTCAATGTTCATGAGATTTTTACTTATTTCAAATTATCTTAAAAGTAAGTACTATGAAGATGGAAGCGATATTCTAGAATAGAAGAACATCCACTTAAAAATGTTGAACTACTAGGATTTTGAAACAGATTGTGCTGAGCACGTCTCTGTCGTATAATCTCCAAAGAATTGATCCGCTTTCTCTAAATCTTCTTGACGAATTTAGTTTACCCATAGTTGATTTTTCATCTTTCTCTCTTTTAAAATTTTCTCATTTTCCTGCTTTAATTTAAAAACTTTTTATAAAATTAATAAATTATATCACTTTTATGTAATCTTGAAGCTGGTTGTATAGCGAGAACTTCTAGATCTTTGATTCATAATTTTTCTATGAATAGAAATCTAATGAACATTGATATTAGTGTATTTTGGTTTGAGAAAAAAGACACATGTGAAAATGAAGAATGCAATATTATACTTAATTAAAAGCTGTTGACAAAAAAAAAAGAATGCAATATTATACAATTTTCTGGTTTCAATTTTTATTTTAGTGAAAAGAAAACATAGGAAAAATACAAAAATGTGGCTTGGGATTATTTTATTTTATTTTTTAAAAATAGGTTATTAATTTATTACTTTAAATGATGCAAAATAAAAGAAAGAAAAAATATTGAAAAATGTGTATACTATTTTTAGTATAATGATATACTTAAAATCCAGTTAAAATAGATATTAGTGTTTTTAAATGTGGGAAAAGAAATACAAAAACACATGTCAAAAAAAAGGTTGCCACGATTTTGTGGAAACCTTACTTTAGTATATTATAAGATATATTTTGAAACTTTTCCATCGTTTCTAAAAATTTAACGGCTATTTGATTGAAAATATTTTGAAAGTATATATTTAGTATTCGCCTTAATAGATATACGAATATTTGCCGTAACAAAATATTTTACCATGTTCACGTGTGATCTCTTGATTTATAACGTAAGTACTTCCAAATATCCCCCGTAACTTGATCTATACATTTCTAATACCATACTGCTACATTCCATCTCTATTTCGAAACATTTCAATATAAAACGATGCAAGCATATAAAGCAAATATTTTCGGATACAAGAAGTATCTTTAATTTAGGCAGACCTAATTGTCTCTGCAATCTTGGTCATGCGCTCAATTTGTTTATCTCTTGGAGGAATACATCCCCTCACGGCCTCAACTTCTTCCAAATTCTTGATCCATCTATTTAATTCCGGAAACTTCTCCCCTGGAATCATATCAATCCCCATACCTTCCCAAAGTCTAGCTAGACAAAATGGGATCATACTTCCTGCGATCATGTCCAAGAATCCGAGTGTCTTGCCGCCGAAGAAATCCTTTCCAGTGACTTCCTTCTCAAGAAACGTAAGCATTTCCCTAGTCTCTTCAATAGCAACCTCTCTTCCTTTCTCTGCTTTTACCAGGGACCTAAACCCTAGTGTTAGGATCTGCAAGTTTAGATCAATACATAAGCAAAAGAATAATATTTTCTTCTCCATAGAATACTGATTTAAATGTTTATCATTTAATCTACAAATTAATAGTATTAATATACCTGCTCATCAATGAACTTGGCCCAGAATCGAGCCATGGCTTTCTCGTAAGGATCTTGAGGAAGAATTGGATTGTTCTTCCATATCTGATCGATATATTCGAGAATCAGATGTGACTCGAGTAATATTTTATCATTGTGGACAAGAACCGGAACTTTCTTGTGAAGCGGGTTTAGCTCAAGAAGCAAAGGGGTCTTGTTGGGTAAATCTTCCTCCAAGTATTCGTATGGTACACCTTTGAGTTTGAGAGCCATCTCGACTCGACGACTAAAAGGGCTTGCCCAAAACCCTAGAAGCTTCACACTCTCTGCTTTCTCAGTCATTCGATCTCTCTCGCTTTTTGGTATCTAACTCTTCTGTTTCTTGCACTACTTTTTTCTTTGTGTTTCGTTTACTTGATTGATTACTTAGTTTACTATATATTCTATATATAAATGAGGTTATGAGTGGTGCAAATAAACAAATAAATAAATAAATAAAAGGACCATTTTGCTTTCTCTTTTGTCTTCGTATCCGAGGATATCTTGAAGATCAAACCAGAAAATAAACAAATAAATAAAAGGACCATTTTGCTTTCTCTTTGTATCAGATGATATCTTGAAGATCAAACCAGAAAAGGATTAATTTATATTTTAAGGTGTGCACGTCATTGCCAACGTCATTCGTCTTATTGTTTAAGATATTTGACCAACACTTAAGCGTTGCTAATCTCCAGACAATTAGACGATCAAGAAAAAACAAATCTCCAGTCTCCAGATGATTACGCTCTACAATTTATATTTTAAGACTCATTTGTTTAAACTTTTAAAGCTGAGAGATTAATGTGTCGATTCACACATAATTTTTTTATTTTGATGAGTCTATTTTTGGCCAATTCATTGTGTGCCAAACATTCGAAGGAGACCAAATAAAGATCTTCATGAAGTTAATAAAATATATTACCAAATGTTAGTTTTTAATCCTTAATCGAAACCGGACAAAGCAAAATACTTTTCTCTTCCACGGACATATCCATTATCCTTGTTAAGTAAAATTGTTCTTACAACTTTTTAACAAATAAAAAAAGATACAATCATACAAACATATAGTGAACATCTCCATATATCAAAGAGACTTATGTTTATCTCTTAAAGGCTGATTTGACTCTCTCTTCATTTCTTTTTAAGTGCTCAATATGTTCCTCTCTTGGGGGTACACATTTCATCACTATTTCAACCTCATTCAACTTCTTAATCCATCTATTTAATTCCGGAAACTTCTCCTCTGGAATCATATCAATACCCATAAATTCCCATGCTCGAACTCCACAAAACGGAATCATACTTCCGACAACCATGTCCAAGAAACCAATTGTCTTGCCTCCATAGAAATCTTTTCCGGTGACTTCCTTCTCAAGAAACATAATTAGTTCTCGAGCTTCTTCAATTGCAACCTCTATTCCTTTCTCGGCTTTCACCAAAGACCTGAACCCTGCTGGTGCGACCTACAAGACATATAAATGTAACTAACCATTTCATTACAAGATAATGCAAATAATTTTCAAATATCTGAAAATGTATGAGTTTCTAGTTTGTCCATAAAAAAAGTATGAGTTTCTAGTAATTGGTGGTTCTATATATACCTTGACGACTAAAAATCACATATGCAATTAGATATAATAAAGGAATTGGAATGTAGATTTACTTGTTCATCAACGAATTTGGCCAAGAACCGAGCCATGGCTTTGTCGTACGGATCTTGAGGTAGAATTGGATTGTCTGTCCATGTTTGGTCGATGTATTCGAGTATCAGATTTGACTCGAGTATTGGTTTACCATTGTGGACAAGAACCGGGACCTTCTTGTGAACCGGGTTAAGCTCAAGAAGCAAAGGACTCTTGTTCATCAAATCTTCTTCCAAATACTCGTATGGTACACCTTTGAGTTTGAGAGCCATCTTGACCCGACATGTGAAAGGGCTTGCCCAAAAACCTAGAAGCTTCACTTCTCCTTCTTTCTCCATTTCACTAGCTTTTTTTTTTCTCTAACTCCTCCTTCTTTTAGTCTTTTGACTTGTTTTTTTTTTTGGTATTTGTTATCATGATTGATCAATGTGCTTAAACGACGTCATGTCAAGAAGAAAATAAACTTTTTGCTTTTGGTAATTGGTATCCATTATCCACTAAGATGAAGCCACAAATGTAACTTTCACCACGTCATGGCTCACGTCACATGGGCATTTTCTTTAGAATGGGACTTTTGGTATTTTTTTTATTTTATCTGGACTCGGTTCGGTTTGACTCATAGTCCAATCTGTTATGCTAATGTTTGATAGGATGAAATAACATTGTAGTAAGTAGACAAATGTTTATGATTAAACATATTTTCTAGTTTTGTAATGAAATTCATATTCAGATCATTTGAAAGTAAATGACATAGTAAAACAGAAGAATTCGATTACTAAACAAAAAAATGTTAATCCTATTGAAAAGAAATGATGATACGTGAATCAAAATATAACATGTATAGTGTGAACATTTTCAATTTTTGGTTTTGGTGTTGGTTCGGTCTTGATTCAAATGAGTTCGGTTCGGCTAATTTGGTTTAGTAAAACCCAAATTAAGCGAAATCATTTCGTCGGTTAAAGGGTTAGACATGCTTTTTGTGTTTTCGCTGCTTCATATAGTTTTTGTGAAAGATTTTAAGTTGCATACAACAACACTCTGAAACTTGCCTGATTAAACTTCTTTTGAATTTAGACAAAGGTTAATAACTATTATTTATTCCATACATAATATAATAGAGATACATCATAACTCAAACTGATTAGTAATTATTCTAATTTAGATAAGACTCACACACTCAGTGAAACCAGAACCACAACCAAAACAAACACAAGAAACTCCGACGGTAAGACTCGAACCAAGAACCTCGAACCAATTACTCAACCAGTGATCTGAATAGACTTCACATCAGCCTTCTTAGTCTCAGCCTTAGGGACAGTAACAGTCAAAACACCATTCTCCATCGCAGCCTTAACCTGATCCATCTTCACATTCTCCGGTAACCTAAACCTCCTCGTAAACTGACCACTCGATCTCTCCACACGGTGCCACGTGTCATTCTTATCTTCTTTCTCCACGTGTCTCTCTCCACTGATCTTCAAAACACTATCTTCCTCAATCTCAACTTTCACTTCTTCTTTCTTCAGACCAGGCAAGTCAGCTTTAAACACGTGTGCTTCTGGTGTCTCTCTCCAGTCCACACGTGCGTTCACGATCGCTGAGTTTTCACGTGAAAGTGAAGATGATGTTAGTTCTTTGAATGGATCCCAAACGTCAAGAGAGAATGGATCGAAGATGTTGTTGCCACGCCTGTTGTTGTTGAAGAAGCTTGGAATCATCGACATTTTTAGTGAATCTGATTTGATATTTCGTTGCTTGAAGAAACTTTTGCTGATGTTTTTGTGAATTTTGATTTCTCAACTTCAGATGAAAAACACAGAGGATATGTGAAGCTATTTAAAGGCGCGAACCGAATTTTCTTGAGCTTCTCGAGTTTTACGGGGAAATATAGAAACATCTAGAGAACGTGAATGAAAAAATCAGGTGAATCTAGAAAATTCTAGGAGATTTTAAAGTTGTTTGAGCTTAATGGGCCTTGATGGGCTCTACAAATATGTCCTTAACGGGCTGGTCCCTTCTTAAAATTCGTTATTACTTTTGTCAATTGAACAATGCTATTGTTGCTGCTAGCTGCTGATCTCTCTACTAGGAGAACTAGCACATAAAGGACATCCTGAATTTGGAGATATCCATTACCGTTGTTACCCGATTCGACTCTTACGGGTAATAGATACTAGTACTCGTATCCACCTCGAAAAAATGGATATATCGACAGATAAGAATTCTTAAAAAAAAAAAAAAAGGATTTATACCGATTATCCGATTCGACTTGTGAAACCGAATGGAATATCAAAATAATTGAACTCTAATCACTATCCAAAAAATTCTAAAACATTTGCTTTAAATACATAATCCGAAACATTTAAGACTGTCTGAGTATTATGGGCCATGGGCTTTAAAACCAATTATATAACGTGCTGAATTAAATTGAATATTACTAAAAAAACTGGGCCCATCTTAATTCTCCAATCAATTGAGACGATTAAACTAATCCAACGGTGGATATAAGACTTTTGAGCTCCACTAAGTAGGGTCACGATGACGTAACTTCCCGCGTTCATTATGGAATCTTGAGCGTACGATTCTACTATTGGGGGCCCATCTTAAAAAATTCTACTGTTTTTTTTACTAAATCCGTCGGCCACAAAAAGATATATGTTTTTTATTTATTTATTTATATTCCTAAAGAAAAAAAAAAACAACTTCGACGAAAGACTCGGCGAACAAAACACACTCGCTTCAACAACTCTCTCTCTCTACTTGTCACTCTCTATCTACATACAAAATTAACAAAGCTCTCAAATCCTCTCTCTCTTCTCTTACTCTATACCTCTGTAGCTGATAGGGTCAGCTTCGTCGGCGCTATTTCTGCCGGATTTCACGGACGATTTGAGATCTGTTCTTCCTTCTTATTCCTCTCCTGATCTGATTTCACACTAATCTGCTTCAGTCTCTGTGTTTACTTACTGATTCCATCGAGGTACGTCTCGATTTTTCAAGCTTTTTCACTCTCCGACACTGTCAATAATCGTTTTCATTTGCTAGTAAAATGTTTTGTCTGCGAAGAAATTTATGTTTTCTGCTTAAGCCTTTCCTGTTACTAATCTTGTTTTTTAGTGTTTCTTTGGTAAACTAAGAAAGTTTGTGATTTTTGTTTTGGTCTTTTGATGATACTTAATCTAATCAGATCCCATTGATTCTTTAGGATCTAAAAAGATCATGATCTGTTTCTATCTGTTAATTTTATTACATTGTGTGTGGATAAGAAAGATGTACTTTTTTTTTTTTTTGTTATGACCTCTTACCATTTTTTTTGTTACTACAGTAAAAAAATGTGGAGCATTTCAAGCTAAGGAGTCATCTAGTTCTATAACAGATGGAGTGTCGTTTGGAGTTGAAGAAGGGTTCTTGTGATAGACCACCTTTTGTGGCTGCTGAGAAGAAGGTACTGACTAAAGAAAGCTCAAAGTCATTTACACCGGATAAGTTTAGAGATGACAAACGCGGGTTATCTTACTCCGATTTCCACCGCGAGATTACGAAGAAAGTTGAAGATGTATGTCCTAAACGGTTGGAGAATCGTTTGAAGTCAAGGATAGGTAGAACTGCGTCAGGAGAAAGAGATCTTGTGAAGTACAAGTCTTATGTGCCGAGTTATATAAAGAAATGTGATAAAGTTGAAGAGAAGAGTGTTAAAGCTGGTGGCATTGTTGGTTCACAGGAGCTAAGGAATAATAGGCAAGCGAGTGATAAACTGATGGATAAGCATACGAGGTCTTCGTTGTCTAACACAAGTACATCGTCTTCACTATGGACTGATGAATCATCTACTGATTCCAGTAGAGGTCTTTGTGCTTCTCCATTTCGTAAAAAGATCAATCATCCTCCATTGCAGTATTATCTGATGTCATCTAAGCCAGGGGATAATTTTCAAGATTTGGAGCTGCCTCGAGATAACGGTGATGCGACTTCCCAAAGTCATATCACCGACACGCAAGGGGGTCCTGTTAGAAGAGATGGGCAGTTTCATCAAACCCCTCGTGCAGCGGCATTTCAACAGAATGAGAAGAAAGATACTGATGTTAAGATTGTTCTGAAAACCAGAAGTTTCTTTAGTCCATCGAAGCCAGATAGTCCTTCTTGCACACGGATAATATCAAAGAATCTAGCTGAGGATTTTAAGAAAAAAGGAGAGAAGTTGGAAGAGAGAATCCGAAATCCTCGTGTTCATGATCTCTTTGGAAAAGAAAAGCCTGCTGCTGTATTTGTACCAGGGATTGTTTCTCAGAAACAGTTTATTGGTTTGTCCAAGTTCTATGATTCAAAAGTGTTACTAGCTGAGCGAATGGCGGAAAGTAATCGAAAGGGATTCCCAGAAAGGTTAGCGTATGGGAAAAGTGTAGTTCTGGACTCTGATGTAGGTCCTTTCCGACGTGAAGCTGATGGAAGTAAGCCATTTTTAAAACGTATCAGCTTCTTATCAGAAAGATCATGTTCAGCTCCACGATCAAGAAAGGCTGATTCTAGTCCCTCCAGAAGCAGGACTCTAGATAGAAGGTCAACAGAAACATTATTCAAACAGTCAGATCAGAAACCAGCTAAAGTTGTATCAGAAAGAGCAAGGAGCATTTCACCATTTCGCCGACTCAGCTTCAGCATTGGAAAGTCCAGCAAAAACTCCAGCGCCGAAGATGCTAAGAATCCTCCACACTTAAGTACAGCACTTATTTCATCACGAGCTGGTTTAGACAATCCATCTGCGTCTTCTTTCAGTGACAGCTCTTCTTTTGATAAAACCAGTGCAGCAAACAGAGGCAGGTCTAGTCCGTTGCGAAGGTTACTCGATCCTTTAATGAAACCAAAATCAACCCACTCATGTAGTTCTCCTGAGCCATCACATAAGGAAGCCCCTTCAAGGCAGCAAAAGGATATTCTTTCTGACAGTCAACCATCTTCGTCGTCCCTTCTGTCGAGAAATGGAAGATCTTCAACTGTTCAGGCTCTATTTCGAGTGACATCTAAGAATGATCAACCACTTTTCACTTTTGCGGTTGAAAAGGAACAAAGTATTACAGCAGCCACAATAAGAAAACAGACTCCCCCAGAGAAGGAAGACTATGGACTCAAGTATACTTTTTTCACTGTTCAAGAAGTACAGAAGAAAAATGCAAAATGGATGAACCACAACAGGAAGGTTCAAAGCCAAGAGTACACATCCAACATTGTCGCTCAGATGAGAGTCTCAGATCCTAAGCCTCTGATTCTCGCTGGAGAAAGACCTGTCGATAACCTCTTAACTAGAGAATTTGTACTCGTCGCATCTGAATCACAGCGGACTAACGAGCTAGCTGCCATGGTGATCAAGATACCAAAACTTACAGACACAAGCTCAACCAAAGACCAGAAACAGAACGAAACCACTCTTGGAGATTACTTTGCAGACGTTAACGCAACAGTGGTACTTCCAAGTGGCATTCACAGTCTCCCACACAAAGGAGGGCCTTCGTCGCTGATCCAACGATGGAAATCAGGTGGATCATGTGACTGTGGAGGCTGGGATATGGGCTGCAACCTTAGAATCCTCACAAATCAGCATAATAAACACAGAAACCCTTCTCCTTCCACTTCAGATGCCTTCAAGCTTTTCTTTCAGGTTTCCATAACATCTCAAAACTGTGAATACTAACATCAACATTTGGCTAAATTATGAAATCTCACTAATGTGAATTTGTTGCAGGGAGGAGTACAAGATAATAACAACCAACCATACTTGACTTTCACTACATACAGAGAAGGAGTTTACGCAGTTGAGTACAATACATCGCTCTCACTCTTGCAAGCATTCTCCATTTGTATAGCTGTTAACGAGGGACGGAATCCGTCAAAGACCGCCATGGAACCGAACACTTCACGTGTAGAGAACAAAGCTTATGGAGGAGAGATGTCATCGATTCAAAACGAGAGGGTGAAGTCATTTTCAGGTCCTATTGAAGCCGAAGCTCCGGCGAGGTATCTCTCACATCACCCACCTTTGTCTCCTGTTGGAAGGGTTTAGTTACTTCTTCAAATAAATCTGCCTATATATGTTTTTTATATATATATTTTCTCTTTTTAGTCTCTCTAATGGGGTTCGTATTTTCTATGTAATTACGGTGTGGAAGTAGATTACGTTAAATAGAAATTTGTGAAACTTGTGTTAATCGAATATCCACCCATTAATGTTTAAGCAAATAAAACTCTTTATGTTCTTTCTTCTTCCATTATCGTGTTCCTGGCTAGTACATAACTCGTTGATCTCTTTCGTTGAAACCATCAAATGCAACACATAAATGCTTTTAGAAAAAAGAAATCGACTAAAAATAATGGTGCTGCCCAGGATCGAACTGGAGACCTTTTGCGTGTAAGGCAAACGTGATAACCACTACACCACAGCACCAGATGCTTATATAGCTATCATTTAATTATATTATACTTTTAGAGTTTGATGAAAACAATTGAGCGGTTACAGAATTGGCTCTGACAAGAATTGTTTTGCGTAGATTGCACAAAAAGTTGAGTCCTTTCTCCGACAAGACAAAGACCCATTTGAATCGATTCCTTAAAAATTATTGATTTGGGAATATATTTTGTGTCAATTCAGGTGAATCAAACTGGTCGGTCCGATTCCTGATTGTCCTCGAATTTGTTTCTGTGATCGAGTTCTGTTTTCTTACAAAAAGCAGTTGCATTTTGATCTTGCTACATAGATTAATGTTCATTCTCAATCTTAACCATGCCGGTTTACGTTGATCGCGAAGCTCCTAAGGTTTTTGTTTCTCTCATTTTTCCTGCGTTTTCATAAAAGGGTATAATTGTTTAGTTTAATATTTATGCGTCCATGGTTGTGTGTGTGTGTGTGTGAAGCTATGGAGACGAATTTACTCAGAAGCGACATTAGAAGCTTCTCTTCTTGCTGAAAAATGGAAGCTTGTTCTTGCTGGACTTGCATTTCAGGTTCTATAGCTCCTTTCTTCCACCGAATTTACGGGTTTTAATGTTGGTTTAGGTCTATCTCGAGATCATAAATTTCATGATCCATGCTTGGTGTTCAGGTTATAGTTTGTTGGTGGTATGATTAAAGCTAAGTTGTGATAGATCAACTAGTTATGATGAATTTTGTTTCAGTAATTTGCTTAAATGTTGGAGCTTTAAAGACAATTCAGTTTATAAATCCTATTTCTATTGTCATTTGTTTTTGGTACCTCTCAAATCAGTACATTCATGGACTTGCTGCTCATGGAGTTCACTACTTACACCGACCTGGTCCAACGCTTCAAGATGCCGGTTTCTTTATTCTTCCAGTCAGTATGCTTGCTGTGGCTTTTTTTCTCATCAATTTTGTTCTGTACTAATTTGTTTGGTAATCGATAGGCGCTTGGGCAAGATAAGGCCTTTGTTAGTGAAACTGTGTTTGTCACTATCTTTGTATCTTTTGTATTAGTAAGTTTTTCTCTCTCAAGTCTCAAGTATCTGTTTTTTTTTTTCCCTCAACTCGCTGTAACGGTCTAATGGCTCTAACATGCGGTTGTTTACCTTGATCGTAGTGGACCTTTCATCCCTTTGTTTCCCACAGTAAGAAAATTTATACAGTTTTGATATGGTGCAGAGTTTTTGTTTATTTAGCTGTAAGTATCATCACTTACACTACACTAATTCTTCTATTTGTACACACACTGAAGATAGAATCTGTTTTCAGTTTAGTATTGCTGAAGTGGTTAAGCTTTTATATGTTTTAGGCTTCTCAAAGTCTGAGGATCATCACATTCTTTGCAACACAGCTACCTGGGCCGAATTATCATTGTCGAGAAGTAAGATTCGCAGGGCGAGGCTTTGGTTTCTTAGTTGTGACTTTTTTTTGCTATGTTGTGATTTCTCCCTGGTATATATCAAATTCTCTTTTAGGGCTCCAAGCTCGCCAAGATTCCGCCTCCAAAGAATGTTCTTGAAGTACTCTTGATCAACTGTTAGTTTGAATTGCATCTTTTTGCAAATTTTTAGTTGATACAGAATAACTCATAAAGTGGCATTTGATTAAGGTTTGTGTTCAAAATGCAGTTCCTGATGGAGTGATATATGGTTGTGGAGATCTAATATTTTCATCACATACAATATTCACCTTGGTCTTTGTACGCACATATCAAAGATACGGCATACGAAGGTTCTGTCTCGTAGATCGTTCTACAGAAGTTCATAATGTTTCACAAGATTCTTACATCTCATGTTTGTAAAATTCCCAGGTGGATCAAGCATCTGGCTTGGCTTATGGCAGTTATACAGAGCCTATTGATTATAGCATCAAGGAAACATTACACTGTTGACATTGTTGTTGCTAGGCCTGGGCGTTTGGGTAAATGGTTCGGTTCTAGAACCGAACCATTCGGTTCTTAGTATTTTGGTTCTGAAATTTAGGAACCATATTGGAACCAAATCAAAATCGGTTCGGTTCCGGTTCGGTTCCTCTACGGTTCGGTTCGGTTCGGGTAATAAATTTTGGAACCAAATTATTTCGGGTATTTTTGGAAACGAAAAAACAAAACAATCATAATACAATATTCAAATGCAATTAGGTAAGTATGCAATCACATATTAGTAAGCATACCATTACAAATCCAAAAAATATTAGAAACTTGGAAAGTGTTATGTCAAAACTCAAAAGACACCCAAAGTTTCAAAGATACCGAAAAACACAAGTTTTTAAGACACCAAAATAACCCGAAGTTTAAATCTGTTACAATTTTCTGCTTCTTCTTCTCTTTAGGTTTATGAAATATATATAGTGGGTTGTTGGGCTTGGGTTTAGGTTTAGGTTTGTATGGATTTGGGCTTTGGGATATATAGATATAGGTACATAGATTATATTTTTCGGGTACCCATTTGGATCTCGGTTCTTACCCGAACCGAACCAATACCCATGGATCTGAAATTCAAGATCCAATCGATATTTTTACTAGAACCAGAACCGAACCATACCCATCAATTTCGGTTCGGTTCGGTTCGGTTCTATGTGGATCCATATTTGTGCCCAGACCTAGTTGTTGCATGGTCAGAAAAAAGAAGAAATCAAATATCTTTTTTCGCAAAATTGAATCGTTGAATTATCTCAACATTTCAACATTTTCTTCTGCAGGTATACTGTGAACCTTGTGATGTTCTACGTTGACAGTAAATTGCCAGGTAAGTTTCCTCAAGAACTCATCATTCTCCCAAAAGATAACAAAAACCATTCTGCAATTTCTGCTCCCAATTTAGTTCCTATAGTCATCTATCTTGGCCAAAACTCGAGACTGCTATTTGTTTCCATACTGTGTCAATCTGAAATGGTTGCCCTACCCAAAAAATTAGATCATTACAGTACTAAAAATGTAGTAACTGGCTCAGATTTGGCCAGATCATTCTTAGTTTAGTTTTTGCTACTGCCTTAAAGAGTATAAACCCAACACAGGTTTTGGTCAATCTTGTGCTAAACTGTAATGGTTGCTTGTTACTTACTTATCCAAAAGATGAGATCATTAGAATGCTAAAAATGTGGTAACTGTTCTCAGATTGCCAAACCATTTCTTAACTTATTCTCTGATATCCACCCAAAAGAGTATATTATTATTATGAACCCAACATAAGTTTTGGTCAATAAGCTAAGTAATTGTTAACATATTCTTATTACAGAAATGGCAGAGCGTTCTAGTGGACCTTCTCCGACGCCTTTACTTCCACTGAGCACAAAGGACGGTAACAAAAGCAAAGAAGATCATCAGAGACTTCTAAACAAGACCAATGTAGCAGATGAGCTTTGATCTTATGTTTCTATCTTAGTCAGAAGCTATGCTGGTTGTACGCATGTTTGTCATAAACTTTCTTTGCTTTAGTGCTTTAGGATACACAGTTCTCTTAGTTCTTCATCTCTCCAATGTAAAAATACAAATTATACAACTCATTAATGTTTTGTGATTTTCGATTTTGTTATTTCATTTCACCCCTTTAGTAATAATGGGTTCACAGGGAATTGCTTAATTGATAATTTTGTCCAAATCAGAGCCAAAAATGTGATGCAATTTTCTTGACAATAAAAACAAGATTGCCTTGAGCTTTAGAAAAAAACAAAGAACAGAGTTTTGTTTCCTCCAAGAGCTTTTGGTCTATAATAATTGCCTTTAAACTGGAGGCTTGCCAGCACTTAGAAGCTGTCCAACCATTCCATTTACCTGAAAACGAGTTTCATGAAAAAGAACATAAGTAAATAAATTTGAATAATGGTGGTCAACTATAAGAAGATTTGAAGTATCAAATTGTTAATTGCTTTGAAGTATCATAGCCTTACCTGCCAGTACTTGGAAACACAACGGTCGATGCAACTATTCTCACCCATGTTTAACTCAGCTTCCTTGTACCTGGGAATCAGATTGATATTAGGCAAAGAATCTCAAAACTGGTGCAACTGACTAATCTCTCAGCTAATAAAAGTTTCTGACTAATCTCTCAATTACAGACAAATTCCATGACATCGATAGAGAACATCAAAAAGAGATAATTTACCTTTTATCCACACATTTATTAAAGCATGTTTGAGCAAGCCTGCATTACAAGAACAAGGCCTATCAGAAGGATACACAAAAAAAAAGATGCGACATTCTGCATAATCACAATGGACCAATCACCACTAATTTAGTATGTCAAACAAAGTATATCAGGATGAAAGGAAACACATATAAAGATGTGACTTTCTTTATAATCTCTAACCCAAGGAATCACAAAATGGCACAGGGCATTGAAAATTAACAGAACACCATCAAACCATATGTTATCAAAGTCTAATCTCTACATAACAGCTGAATACATATGCACCTAAATCGAGAATTCCTCATAGAAAGATTTTAGATTTCATCCTCAAGATAAACAATTCAGGCAGCGTAATGATTTTCGGCATAACAACAGTCACAAACTTATACTCCTCTAGCTATATATCACTATTTGAACATAAAAGAGAAACCCCAAACAATGTGATCAAAACAAATTCAAACCAATACCAGATTAGCAATCAAAAGTGAGAGCATCAATTTCTAATCTTATACGAGAAAATCGAATTCATAACGAAAGATAAACCAAATGGGTCTTTGATTCAGTACTTGTTAAAGAGTTCCACCCGATACTCCATCTCCGTTTGTGCCATACTAAACGCCTGATTCAAATCCAAGACACCAAATAAGCAAAATGAGAAACTTGAATACACCAATCCAAATCTAATAAATGGCAGTGTCATACGCTTAAAGATCTGAATCAAGATACAATTCAACCCTAAGCATTACAAAAACATTGAAACCTATATGTCAAATTAGATCAAGATACAATTCAACCCTAAGCATTACAAAAACATTGAAACCTATATGTCAAATTAGATCAAGATACAATTCAACCCTAAGCATTGCAAAAACAGAGACAGCTAAAAACTTAATCTTCCATTGTCTAATTAGATCAAAGATCGGAGCTTTACGATGTATTAACAACAAAGGACGAGAAAAAAACCCGAACCTGTTCCTTAGTAACGCCGGCGGGAATAGGACTGGGAGAAGCCATTTTTTGCAGTACCTGAATACAAAATTAAAGATTCGTAAAAATCGAAACTTTATAATTCAAGACTTGAATTTGAAGATAAAAAATCCTTACTTTGTCAAATGGGATTTTGTTAGAGAGGTCAAGAACACAACAAAGGGTTCTCTTTTGCTACACAGCCGAATTAGGGTTTAAGAGACATTAAACGCCACGTCATCAAACGAAGGGTATATATGTAATTACGCTAAAATATCGGAGCTTCTCTTACGACTAAAAGTCGCCGACTAATGGAGCTTTTAGGGTTTTAGCAAATTTCTTTTGGAGGTATCTTTCTATCTCACAATTTTTTTGCAGAAAATTTCTTCAATTTCGAGTTTTTCTTTGTGGGTTTGTTTAACTATTCAAATATTTTGATTTTGAGTTAGGAATTGAGTAACAAGAAGGTGAGATATGGAGCACGGTTCGTTCACGAATGATAGTCATGCTTCGTTTACTTTATCGGAAGAAGATCACACACTTGCTAATGCTGTTAGATTCGTCTTAAACCAAGAGTTAGTATCTTCTTTTGAATCCTTTTGAACCTGTTATGTATATATAGAAGAAGCTATACACTTTTACAGAGAAAGGCTTTAGCTTTATTATCTCATTCTTAGTTCTTGACTCTCAAATTGTTATTATTGACTTTATAGTTTTTCTCATTAAGAATTAATCTCTTACCTCTCTGTACCATAGCTGCCAGTTTTTGTTTTTGGTTCTAATTATTGTTTGAACAATCAGTGTGCACTTTGTATGTGTGTGCCTTTATAATGTGATTGTGAAGTTGAGTTCGATTCAATGTTGGTCACATTATTGTTAGAAAGATAGTCTAGAATTAGCTCCTAAATATCCCAAAGTAATAAGCTTTTAAGTCAAAATAGATATTCTACAGACTTTATTTGTTTCGGGGGATGAGTTCGGTCCATTAGGTTCGCCATTATATTGTGATTGTGATACTTGAGTTTTACTCAAGTGTTGATTTACATTCATGTTATGTTGTTTAGAGATTCTCATTGTATGCTAAAACGTTTCGAATGATTCCGAAGAAAAGGTCTTTACTTGATATTCAATGAATGCCATCTTATCTTATCATTGTGGTTGATATGCTGCACAAGTATGCTTGTGTGCAGACAATGATGATTATGTCACTAACCAGTACTGTTTTTAATTCTGCAGTCCGAGAGTAACCGTGGCTGCATACACCATTCCACATCCTTCCCTTGAACAGGTCAATATCCGGGTCCAGACAACAGGTACTGGTTTTCAAAACTCTGTTCATCAGAGTTAAGCTATATGTTCTTTCTTTCTTTCTGGATAACTCTTATCAGAGTTTTTTTTGTCTGTGTCTAACAACATAAGACTTGTTGGCTCTGTGATTTTTAGGTGACCCGGCAAGGGAAGTTTTCAAAGATGCATGTCAAGAACTTATGCAAATGAACAGACATGTGAGAAGCGTTTTTGATAAGGCTGTTACTGAGTATAAGGCTGCTAAAAAGCTAAAGGAGGAGGCTGAAGAAGAAGAGCTTAAGAGGCAGAGGGATCTATTTGGGTCCATGGACATTGAAAGCAACTGATTTTATAAAATAACATTTGTATTTCCTCTATGGAGTTTTATACTGTTTTTTATCCTAAATCCACATTTGTCCTTATAACTACTCTAATTCGCAATCCACAACAAAATTAAGCATGAAATTTCTAAAATACTACTACTTGCTCGTTGTCTTCATCAAATTCACAATCTACAAACAAAATTAACAAAAAGTATAATATGGAACAAAGAAAATAGTAATATGGAAGATTCTTGATTTAGCAAAATAGATTGTTTGAAAATTGATAAATCCTCTTAGCCTAGGCAGAGTATGATAACTAATAACGCAAGCGATAGTTACAGAAACTATAAAAACTTAGGCAGAAGAAAGTAAACAGCAACAGGAAGTTGAGGTGTTTTTTTTTATGTTCTGTTTCTTCTTCAATAACCTTCTTCTTGCTCGTACTCAGCTTCTTCGTCTTCATATTCTCCTTCTTCATCAGCCGTCGCATCTTGATACTGCTGATACTCGGAGACAAGATCGTTCATGTTGCTTTCAGCTTCAGTGAACTCCATCTCATCCATACCTTCACCTGTGTACCAATGCAAGAAAGCCTTTCTCCTGAACATAGCAGTGAATTGTTCGCTGACACGCCTGAACATCTCTTGAATCGATGTCGAGTTACCGATGAATGTTGAAGCCATCTTCAGACCAGTAGGGGGAATGTCACAGACGGTTGATTTGACGTTGTTGGGGATCCATTCCACAAAGTAGGAGGAGTTCTTGTTCTGAACGTTCAGCATCTGTTCATCGACCTCCTTGGTGCTCATTTTGCCACGGAACATGGCTGAAGCAGTGAGGTAACGACCGTGTCTCGGGTCAGCAGCACACATCATGTTCTTGGCATCCCACATTTGCTGAGTGAGTTCTGGAACAGTGAGGTTACGGTACTGCTGAGATCCACGAGAGGTGAGAGGAGCAAATCCCACCATGAAGAAGTGAAGACGAGGGAATGGGATCAGGTTCACAGCTAGCTTTCGAAGATCAGAGTTCAGTTGACCAGGGAACCTAAGACAGCAGGTCACACCAGACATGGTTGCAGAGATCAAATGGTTCAGATCACCAACTGCACAATTCAATAAACAAACAAGAGTGCGTTAGTGAAGTTTCAAGCATTTTGAAACATCAAGTTTCAAACATCTCACATCTGCAAACCCATGTTTCAAATTAAAGCATTTAGCATCATAGTTATGAATAACTAAGCATACAGTAAAACCAGAGCGATAGAGTGACAATATTGATATTGATTGAAGAAGACTGAGACTCAAAACATTGAGGAGACTAATCTCGTTATGGTCACATCAGCAGAACCAAGTTCAAATTAGAGCATAACACACCATACTAATCAATAACTAAGCATCAAACAAGAAAACAATAAACCACTGAGACAGATACAGTAACAACATTGATACTTAATCGAAGAAGATTAGGATACTCACAACTTGGAGTGCTAAGCTTGAGAGTGCGGAAGCAAATGTCATACAATGCTTCATTGTCAAGAACCATACACTCATCAGCATTCTCAACAAGCTGATGCACAGATAGTGTTGCATTGTATGGCTCCACAACAGTGTCAGACACCTTAGGAGATGGGAACACAGAGAAAGTCATCATCATACGGTCAGGGTACTCCTCCCTGATCTTCGATATCAACAAAGTTCCCATACCAGAACCAGTTCCTCCTCCTAAGGAATGGCACACCTGAAACCCTGTAAATCCAAACAACAAAAAACCATAAGTAAACGAAAACAAAACCCTAATCCGTAATTCCACAGTTCAAAATCAGAAATCTAAACCTAAAACAATCAATCACTACCAATAATCAACCTAAATTTACAGATCCAAAACCCTAAGGGATTCAAATACCTTGAAGGCAGTCACAGTTCTCAGCCTCTTTGCGAACAACATCAAGGACCGAATCAATAAGCTCAGCACCTTCAGTGTAATGACCTTTAGCCCAGTTATTCCCAGCACCGGACTGACCAAAGACGAAATTATCCGGTCGAAAGATCTGACCGTACGGACCAGATCTAACACTATCCATCGTTCCAGGCTCCAAATCCATGAGAACAGCACGAGGAACGTACCTTCCACAACTCGCCTCGTTGTAGTAGACATTAACCCTCTCAAGCTGCAAATCGGAATCTCCATGGTACCTTCCCGTCTGATCAATCCCGTGCTCGAGATTAACCACTTCCCAGAACTTAGAACCGATTTGGTTTCCGCATTGACCTGCTTGGATATGAAGAATTTCTCGCATCTTCGCCCACAGAGAAGAAAACCCTAAAACTGGATCTAAAAGGGAGAGAGAGATTTTTGAAAAAGGGAAAGAAGAAGCAGAGAGGATCTTTTTTTTTATGAGAGAGAGAGGAAGAGGAGGGTCCATTTATAAAGAAAAGGAGGTTTTAACGGCTAATATTTGGTAATTCAAAATCAAATCGACGGTTGAGATACTGCCACGTAAATCGAGGTGGCAACGGGTGGCAAAATTCAAAAATTAATGGCTCGTGAATAAAAGTTTTTAATCTTTTTTTTGAATTTCGTAAAAATCTGTTTGTGTGAATGACAGCTGGATTCCATTAAGGAGAGCAATTACTAAAACGACGCCGCACGTGCTTTGTGAAGAGATAAAAAGCCGTTCCAACCTGGCAATCGCACGTGAGAGACTTCTTATGGGCCCAAAAATGGGCCGCTTTTACTCTTTTCAAATCTGCTTGACTAAGAAACGGAGTGATGTTCTGTAGCGAAATCCTCAGACGGCAAGCATGTTTTAGTAAAGTGAAACGTCATCGTTTTATGATTGAATATGCTTATTGGATACTGAACCGGAGCCTGAACCAAAAATACAGTCAAATCGGAAAATGAATTTCAGATTCAAACTTGTTCATCGAAATTTTTCTTGAAGATTCGAATCGGAGAAGTCCGTGGAAGAGGAAGAGGAAGAGGAAGAAGAAGAAGACGATGTCTGTGCAAGAGTATTTAGACAAGCACATGCTTTCTCGGAAAATCGAAGACGCCGTTAATGCCGCCGTTAGGGCTAAAACCTCAGATCCCGTTCTCTTCATCGTAAGTTTCCTTCGAATTTCGAATTTACGTGTATCGAAGTGAAATTGTGTTACCGTGCTCATTGAATCTTCAATTGGAAAAGTGCAGGCGAATCATATGAAGAAAGCTGTATCATCGGTGATAACGAAGGTTAAAGCACGACAGATCCTTGATAGCAGAGGAATTCCAACAGTTGAAGTTGATCTTCACACTAATAAAGGCGTTTTTCGTGCTTCTGTTCCCAGTGGTGATTCTTCTGGAACGTGAGAATTCTTCTTACTCTCATCATCTGTTGTTGTGATTGTGATGAATGAGTTTTATTTGAATTTTGTTGATGCATGGTCCTGACGTGAGGAAATTGGTTTACTGATTTTCAAGGTATGAAGCTATTGAGCTACGTGATGGAGACAAAGGAATGTATCTTGGAAATAGTGTGGCTAAAGCTGTTAAGAACATTAATGAAAAAATTTCAGAGGCGTTGATTGGTATGGACCCAAAACTTCAGGGTCAGATAGATCAGGCTATGATAGATTTGGATAAAACTGAAAAGAAGGTAGGTGGGAACTCTTTATTAGGATTGTAACAAGTTCATGGATCAATGTTCCTCATGATTAATTTGATTTGAATATCCTGCAGAGTGAACTTGGTGCTAATGCTATACTTGCTGTGTCAATTGCGGCATGCAAGGCTGGAGCTGCTGAGAAAGAAGTATGGAGTCTTCACAACATTTTCTCTTATCCTATGTATTTAATGCCTACTTTAGTTAGGAGATTTTGATTGAAGTTATATATCAGGTCCCTCTGTGCAAGCACCTTTCTGATCTTAGTGGCAGAGCAAACATGGTGTTACCTGTACCTGCGTTCACTGTTTTGAGTGGCGGGAAGCATGCTTCGAATACTTTTGCCATTCAGGTATTCAACATTAAGTTCACTATTAACTTCTCTGTTCTACCTCTTTCTGATAATCTTTTGTCATATTTTACTGTTGATCCTCAAAGTTCTTTAAGAATGCTTTTGGGTTTCAAGTAATTTCATTCTCATATATTGTTAGGAAATTATGATTCTCCCAATTGGAGCAAGTAGATTTGAGGAGGCCCTGCAATGGGGATCTGAGACATATCATCATTTAAAGGTCAATTTTCAAAGATATATGGCTTTCTGGAAGTGACGTTTCTATTTGCATCCGTAAATTTGTCTATAAGGTGAGTATGATCTTTTGCTGTTTATGGCAGGCTGTCATTGCAGAAAAGAATGGTGGTTTGGGATGTAATGTTGGTGAAGATGGTGGCCTTGCTCCAGATATCTCGAGGTACATATATTTTTCCTCTCTGATACTAATCTGCTTGCATCTGTAGATTGTCAAAACTGAGAAAACCATGTTAAGGTTTGATGGCTTAGTGCCTAATATGTGTAATTGCAACTGTATGCAGCCTCAAGGAAGGTTTGGAGCTTGTAAAAGAAGCTATCAACCGAACAGGGTACAATGATAAGATAAAGATAGCCATTGATGTTGCCGCCACTAATTTTTGTTTAGGTAATATACTGCTTCCTGGCTAACTGATTTCTTTTGCGGCTTCTTGTAGTCATGGATAGTCTTGGTTTGGTTCTGGGCATTGTCATTCACAATTGGCTAGTGACACAAAAAAGATGTTAAATCATCAAATGTGTAACCTATCAATATCTTGCTTTTGCAAGTTTCAACTATGTTTTACGTTTTCGTGTATTATTTCTTACCTTGTGGAACTGTTCTTTCCTGAACAGGTACCAAGTATGATCTAGATGTCAAGTCTCCAAATAAATCTGGGCAAAATTTCAAGTCAGCGGACGATATGATAGATATGTACAAAGAAATTTGTAATGGTATGTCTGTGCTCGTCTGAACAATATTTTTTTTGTCTATTTTAGTACTCTTGCAGTATTCTAACGACCCGATTCTCTGTTTGGTCTCCTTGTGGGTTTAGAGTATCCAATCGTGTCTATAGAAGACCCTTTTGACAAGGAGGACTGGGAACACACCAAGTATTTTTCCAGTCTTGGAATATGTCAGGTCCAACTCGGTTCCCCTACTAAAAACGGTTCACATAGATTTTTTGTTCTTTCAGATGACACCGTCTTCTGATTCTTTTCACAGAATCAAATGTCTAAAGAGAGAGACCCTTAAATCTTCTTGTACAATCAATTTCCATGTCTAAATTCTCAATGTTAAACTCTTGCAGGTGGTAGGTGACGATTTATTGATGTCAAATTCAAAACGTGTTGAGCGTGCCATACAGGAGTCTTCTTGTAATGCTCTTCTTCTCAAGGTATATCGTCCATGCTAAATTTTTTTATCCTATATACTATGTATTGCCTGTGCTCGTATTGTATGATTGATACGCTACTGCCTAAGAACGACAAAGACATAATGTGCACTCGGTGATACAGGTGAATCAGATTGGTACAGTAACAGAAGCCATTGAAGTAGTGAAAATGGCAAGGGATGCCCAGTGGGGTGTGGTGACATCTCATAGATGTGGAGAAACAGAGGACTCTTTCATCTCTGACTTATCCGTGGGTCTCGCAACAGGTGTGATAAAAGCTGGTGCTCCTTGCAGAGGAGAACGTACTATGAAGTATAACCAGGTCTGGATCTTTTTCCAAACTAATATCCTCAGCACCCCTTATGCAATTACTCTAGAACATGATAAATTACGTGGAGTAACCTGCATTGGAATTTTGGAGCATAGAAACAGCTCTTTCATCAGCTTATTTTTAGCTTTTAAGTAGCTGAGTTATGTTGTGGTATGTGACTCTTTTAGCGACCTAGGCTTAAGTTTCAGTTCTTTAACTTTTGGATAGTGCAGGCTTAGCTTGTTACTAGATACAATTATTTCCCTCATTGGGTAATGATTGACTTTGGAGTAACCATGTACATTTAGTTTCTAGATAGTGTTCTCATTTCGTGTTTAGTGTTCACTGTAGAAAGTACTTTATTAAAAAGCTGAATCACAGTTGAAATGTTCCCGCAGTTGCTACGGATAGAGGAAGAGCTCGGGGATCAAGCAGTGTATGCTGGAGAAGATTGGAAGCTATCTCTCTAAACAAAATGCACATGTGATATAATTGTTACACTTCTCGTCTTACTTCATTGTTCTCGAGTCTATTTCTCACGCAGACAAATTTCTGTGTCTTGAAAGTTCAAAATTTTTGTTTTTTGGCCAAATTTAAGAACAAACAGAAGTAAAGAGTGTGAAACAGATTTTTTTCCAAACTGTAAAAGCAAACAAACGTGTTTTAGGGCTTTGTGTCTTCTTTTTCTTCAATCTTACGGGCCAAGTAGTATCAAATGTAACCCATCTCAGCCACCTTGTACTCCACCAAGATTGGTAGCTCCGAGGACAATCTGATTGTCACAGTTTCTGACAATGGAGTTGTCTTTGTGAAGAGATTCATGTACCTCAATGCAAATGAAAGCGAAACAGGTTCGTTCATCTCTATCACAATAGCATCTTCAGGCTGCAAAGACACAAAAACAATAGGCCATTTCAACATTGTATTGGACAGATTATAACAAAAAGCTTTAGATGAATTATTTAGTATTCATACTTTGTCCCCATTTGTATTCTGCCTCAGTACAATGCTCACTGTTCCGATATCACCTTCTGTTGAAAACCTCACCCTTTCTTTTGTCATCACAGAGATTACAACTGCAATCAAAGCCAGATTTATTGTTTATATATAAAAATAGAAACAACATTACAGTTACATAGAACAGTCCACTTATCTACCTGTGTCACTGAAACTACCTAGATCTTTGCATATCCTGGAAAATTCACCAGAGGGCATTCTCACAATTGAGTGGTACTCAGGAACTGGTATACGTACATGCACACTGACGATACTCATCAGCTTCAGCTTCAGCTCATAGTCTGCAATCTTGTCTTGTGCTGCATCCTCAATTCATTCAAATCATAAGATTATGCATGTTTATAACACAGTCTGCATACAAGTTTTTCTGTTTTCTTTCTCTAAAGTCTAAATCAAGAAACCTTATTCACTTTTACACTATAGATTTCAAGATACGAACTTCAACATTCTAATTGTAGTTTATGGCAAATGAAACATATAATTTAGCATCATAATCATCGACAACAAATACAAAATTCTAACAAACATGAATCGAGAACTTACTGGAACTCTCGGACATGAAGGTGACAGTGTCACTGCCGCCATCAGCTTTAGTAGTGATGATGTCATTTTTCCCAGCACATTTCAAAAGCTTGGACATGCTATTCATCATGAAGATGTACCTATCGCACCTGGAGGAAATCTCTCTAAACAAAAGCAAATGTAATATAACTGTCAATACTTCTCGTCTCACTTCATTTCTCAGTCTTATTTTTCACGTAGACAAATTTCTTCAAATATTTTTTTAAGAACAAACAGATGAAAAGAGTTATAAACAAGCTTTATCAAATTGCAAAGAGACAAAACTGTCATTCGATTATCTAGTTTACCGTTGCCTTAACATAGTAAATCCAGAAAACAACTGAATCAAGACAGACATTTCAACAAAGGGACTCAAACGAAAACTATAAAACATTCATCATTATTAGGGCTTAGTGTCTTCTTCTTCTTCAATCTTAGGAGCCAGATAGTATCGAATGTATCCCATCTCAGCCACCTTGTACTCCACCACGACCGGTAACTCAGAGGACAAACTGATCGTCACAGTTTCCGACAATGGAGTAGCCTTTGTGAAGGAGTTCATGTACCTCAATGCAAATGAAAGCGAAACAGGCTCGTTCATCTCTATCACAATAGCATCTTCAGGCTGCAAAACACACACACACAAACATAAGGTCACTTCAACATTGTATTGAACAGATTACTAAACAAATCTCTCTAAATGACTTGAGATTGTTCATACTTTGTCGACAGTAGTATTCTGCCTGAGCACAATGTTTGCTGTCCCGATATCACCTGCTGTAGAAAACTTCACCCCTTCTTTCGTCACAGAGATCACAACTGCAAAATCATAACATCAAAACCAGAATCATAATTAGATACAACTCAAAATACCATTTCAGAATCATCACAGTGACACACCTACAGAAACAAACAGTTCATTTACCTGTGTCACCAATACTACTGAGATCTTTGCATATCCTGGAAAATTCACCAGATGGCATTCTCACAATTGAGTGGTACTCAGCATCAGGTATTCCTAAATGCTCACTGTCAATATCCATCAGCTTCATCTCAAAGTCAGCAATCTTATCTTGCGCTGCATAATCATCAATACGCTCAAATCATGAGATTATGTACACTAATAACATAGTCAACATCAACTAAAGTTCTTCTCTAACTCAAGAAACTCTATTAACTTTCAAACTATAGTCTTTAAGCTAAACACTATAAATGTTCTGAAAACAAAGCCCTAACAAACATAAATCGATTTGGGTAAAATGAAGAACTTACTGGGACTCTCAAACATGAACGTCACAGTGTCGCTACCATCATCGGCTTTGATAGTGATGATATCATCATTTCCAGCACATTTCAGCATCTTAGACATGTTACCAAGATTCATCCCCATAGAGAGGTTCCTATCGCACCGATAATGCTCAAAACCTTCGGATCTCAGCAAAAGAGACACCAACGCGACGTGACTCGAATCCATAGCTTGAAGCGAGAACCCTGTGCTTGAACAGTCGAAGTTCGCATCGTTCACAAGATCTTTGACCGCTTCTAGAACCTTCTTTAGTAGAGAACCTTGAACTAAACGAAGCTCCAACATCTTCTGGGAAATTATCGAAAGCTTAGAGTGTGAATTGAACGGTTAGGGTTTTTAGGGTTCTTGAAATTTTCTGAGAGGAGATTGCAATTGTAGCGGGAAGTGATATTATAAGCCGAGATTTTGTGGCGCCATTTAGCAATTTTAGGGTATTTTTGTTCCCGCCTATGTGATTGTGGCTGACGACGAATTATCACCTGTGTGAGACCGTATTGTTATTTCGGTACACCATCACTTTAAGCTTTCTTTTTATTGGTTTAAAAATGGCCCAAACAAACATTCGGCCCATAACCAGCCTGTAATATTGGTTCAATTCGGTTTACTACGAGAAAGAAAAAGAAGATATTTTTTAGGATATTTTTAATATTCCCGAAAAATTCGAAACGAGAGCAAATCTGCTCTTCTGGTAATCTTCTTCCTGTTCGAGGCTGAAGAAGGAATCGAGCAAATCATTGAGGAAGGAAGAGAATTAAGTAATGGCGCATAGAATACTGAGAGATCACGAGGCTGATGGATGGGAACGTTCTGATTTCCCAATCATTTGCGAGTCTTGTCTCGGTGACAATCCTTACGTGAGAATGGTAAAATTCTTCGCTTCTTAACGTCGAACAAGATCCATTATTTTCCTTTAGTTAGCTTTGTCTTTTAGCAATTCCTGAATTTCATTAGGATCTTCTATAGTTATCCATTTTCGTGCTTTGATGATTTTATGTATCTTAGTTAGTGTTGGAGCTGTAAATTTAGTTATTTGGGATGTTAGGGTTTATGCGATTTAGTATTCATCGATTTATAGTTCGAAATGATATCTTCGGTTTGTTCTCATCAAATTTGCTTAAGAGGGAATGTAATTCATTGATTACTGTGTGTCTCATGTTATGTCTGGTAGTGATGTGCTTTCATGTTTGATTGATGTATTGTTGTTGTTTTGTATGCAGACAAAGGCGAATTATGATAAGGAATGCAAGATCTGTACTCGGCCTTTCACGGTTTTCAGGTGGCGACCTGGCCGAGATGCGAGATACAAGAAGACTGAAGTTTGTCAGACATGTTGCAAGCTGAAGAATGTGTGTCAAGTTTGTCTCTTGGATCTTGAGTATGGTCTTCCGGTTCAAGTCAGAGACACGGCGCTCAACATTAGTACTCATGATTCTATCCCAAAAAGTGATGTGAACCGGGAGTTTTTTGCTGAAGAGCATGATCGCAAGGTATGACTCTATGTTCAATCTAACTAGTTATATATGAATATTGGTTGGTCTGAGATTTGGCTATACAGTTGCTCGACTTTATAATGGTTTATTGAAATGATATTGTATTCTTATGCAGACGAGAGCTGGACTAGATTATGAGTCTTCTTTTGGGAAGATTCGACCTAATGATACCATCCGTATGCTTCAAAGGACAACGCCATATTATAAAAGGAATCGAGCACATATTTGTAGTTTCTTCATTAGGGGAGAGTGTACAAGAGGTGCTGAGTGTCCATACCGGCATGAGATGCCTGAAACAGGGGAGTTATCCCAGCAGAACATTAAAGACCGTTATTATGGGTAAGCATATTTCTAACTTTCATTTTCTTCTATTATGTTTGAGTATGGTAACGTTGAGTTACCCCTCAATCTCTTGCTTTGGGTATATCATGAAATAGAGTTATGAAAATTACATCAGTTTGTGTGCGTAATTTGCTAAATTGCGTCTCATATTTGCTGTTATTTTGGTGATTTTGGAACTGGTTTCTCATCTTATTCTTCACATCCTGCAGTGTAAACGATCCAGTTGCGTTGAAGTTACTTGGCAAGGCTGGTGAGATGGGCACTTTGGAATCTCCAGAGGATCAAAGCATCAAAACGCTTTATGTTGGTGGGCTAAACTCGAGAGTCCTTGAGCAAGACATTCGCGATCAATTCTACGCCTATGGAGAAATTGAATCCATTAGAATCTTGGCTGAGAAAGCATGTGCATTTGTCACATACACAACCCGAGAAGGCGCAGAGAAAGCAGCAGAAGAGCTCAGCAACAGGCTAGTTGTCAACGGTCAGAGGCTAAAACTCACATGGGGAAGACCTCAGGTTCCCAAACCTGATCAAGATGGTTCTAACCAACAGGGCAGTGTGGCTCATAGTGGTTTGCTACCTCGAGCAGTTATATCTCAGCAACAGAATCAACCTCCACCAATGCAGCAATACTATATGCACCCACCACCACCACAACCTCCTCATCAAGACAGACCCTTTTACCCATCAATGGACCCTCAGAGAATGGGTGCAGTCATTTCGTCCCAAGACAGCGGTTCAAGCACCAGTGACAACAGAGGAGCTTCTTCTTCTTCTTACTCGATGCCACCACATGGCCACTATCCGCAGCACCAGCCATACCCGCCACCACCATATGGAGGATATATGCAGCCACCTTACCAGCAGTATCCTCCTTACCAACATGGCCCACCACAAGCTGCTTATCCTTACCCGCAACAACCGGGTCCTGGTTCAAGGCCTAATGCTCCTCCTCCAACCTTAGTCGCTGCTCCACCACCTGACTCTGTGTCTGCAGCACCTTCAGGATCCTCTCAGCAATCTGCTGATGCTGCTGTTACCACTGGTTCGACTCAATAGAAATCATTGTCCAGTTTAATATGTACTTCAAATCTCTGGCTACATCTGCCTTCCGAATTTTTGCTTCTGTTATACAATTGGCTTCCTATGTATCGACAATTCTTGCTCAGGAATTGGTTTGTGTTAAATTTTATGATGGAAGTAAGAGAAGAGAATAGTTACAGTAGTTGTAGACTCTTGTTGACAGTATAATTTTGATAATTCAACATACATTAAAGCCAAGCTGAAACCATAGACAACAAATTCTCTTGAAGCTTCTTCAAATTCCTCTTTAAATCACAGCTTTCGATGTCGTATAGATGAGACAGATTACCATCCTCATCAACATAACTATCACAGTTACTGAATGGTGGTTCGGTATGATCTTTATAAGCTATGTACAAAGGTTTTAGATTCACAACCAGAAAGAACAAAAGACCTAACAAATCCCAAACCAAACTTACCTAACCATAATCCTATTACTGAAAACAGACATAACAGTGATGAAAACACTTAAAGATGAGTGTTATAGTGCCAAAAGAAAGTTGGACTCAGAGCTTACTAGCTTGTCTACCAAACATAGAATGTCGACCTTCCGCTATAATCTCTCCGGTCATCTTGTTTCTCACAACAACAATCGTTCCTTTATAACCTCCTCTCTCTCCTAACAATCTCGACGTTATCTCCAACTCCTCCTGAAAATATTTTCCCATTTCAAAATCACATCTCTCTCTATATCCCTTTCTATGACTTCTCAGCAAACCATTACTCATTTAGCAAACAAACAGTCCCAAGTAAAGATTGCGCAGACTTACACCAACCTTAGCTTTTGAAAGGAATGCAATAGACATGTCCACTGAAACAAGAATTGGTAAACCTTCAACATGTACAAGTGCTCCACCAACTTCATCCACAAGATTTGCAATCGCACCATTAGCTAGATTCCCATCTCTGTCCTGCCATTTATCAAAACCTTAAAAGATCAACACCATCTCAAAGAAAAGAAATTATCAACTTGATTAATATCACACCAATGACTTAGTGGAGAATTAATAAACCAATGCCAAGATCATTCACGACTATAATAACCAATGGTTTGATCAATCCCATTGAACCTCAAATTATCCATTTCCAAAACCCCGTCACGCTACTTCTACATACTCTTCTAAAATATAATTTTCCCAGAAATTGAATCTACAGACATCGGATTGAGGAAGACGAACCGTCAAACGAAGCGGGACCTTGAAATAGCAGGAAATGAAACCAGGTTCGACTCGGTTGACTCGGATTCCTCTGAGGCTAAAGTCCTCATAGAAGCTTTTTCCTTTCCCTAAAAACTCTTCCACTCGCGGTGCCTCACCGTCGTCAACCACATCATCGCTCAGTTGCAGATACTCTCGAATTTTCTCCATCATCGTCATTCTAATTTTCTTCCACTTCCAATTTTTTTTTGGATAAATAAACAAATTAATTATTCATATTATTATTTTGGGCCTTAGGCCCAACTTTTGCCATCGTTTTATACGACGTCGTTAGTGTTTCGTTATTATAAATACAAGAGCATTTTTTTCAAATCATCAATTTCAAACTCACTTTTCAGTTAATTCGTTGCTGCTGACGTCACACGGCGATGGCTTTCATCTCTGAAACTTCCGACGACGGCTCTAATGGCGGCGATCCAACCAAGAATCTGCAACAAGAAAAAGAAGATAATCAAAACGAGAATGTTCAAGAAGCAGAAGAAATACATAACGACAATCCTCAAGAAGTAGAAGAGAATCTTCCGATCCCTCAAGAAGAAGAAGAGATACATAACGACAATCCTCAAGAAGAAGTAGAGAATCTTCCGATTCCTCAAGAACTTCCAGAAGATCTCATCGTGAGCATCGTCGCTCTTATCCCAAGATGTCATTACCCGTCGCTATCTCTCGTCTCCAGAGCTTTTCGTCAAGTAATCTCTTCGGAGCAACTCTTCGTAACGCGCTCGCTCCTCGGCTTCACCGAACCGGTTCTTTATTCGTACATCGGATTCCCACCGTTTATTCCTCCAAGCTGGTTCTTTCTTCGTCGGAGCAACATCGGATTACAATTACGCAGAATCCGTTCACTTCTTCCAATGTTTCCTGCAGCTGCTGTAGTCACAATCGGATACAAGATCTACTTAATGGGTGGTTATAATTCCCTCGTCGAATATCGACCCGTATCGACTGTAGTTGTCATCGACTGCAGATTCCATACGTGGCGCAATCTCCAGGATATGCAAAGGCCTCGTTACCATGCAGCAGCTGGAGTAATTGACGGAAACATTTACGTAATCGGAGGTTGCAAGAAACAAGATGATGATTGGGTCGAAGTGTTCAATGTGACGACTGAGACTTGGGCAACCGTGCCTAGTCAATGCCCTGAAGATGCTAGTGAGAATGGAGAGTTTATTACATATGTGGTGATGCAGGGGAGGATTTTCATTTTGGAGCTTGGGGGTTGTTTTGCTTACGAACCACGACAAGGTTTATGGCAGTCATGGGGTGTTTTAAGTGAGTTGATGAGATTTTGGCACTCGTCGTCGTCTTGTGTGATTGGAGATTTGTTGTATACACTTGATCTTACGTGTTCTCGTGGACATCCGATAGTGGTATATTATCCGAATGAATTGGTTTGGAGACCTGTGCAGGGTGTATATTCTTATAATTTGCCTATTCTGAGGTATAATTGGTCTAAGATGGCGAATTTTGGTGGGAAGTTGGTGATTTTGAGCGGTGGCTATTCTTTGTGGTTTAAAGATATTTGGTGCATAGAGATTGCGTTGGAAACACGTCAAGGAAATCAGATTTGGGGGGTGGTTGAATCAATCTCGCTTGTGTTTAGAGACGTGATGATGGCGCCTTCCATTGAGCTTTGTCGAACTGTTACTTTTTGATGATTCGATCGTGGCGGGTGGTTTATGTGGTGAGTTTGGACTATTGATGATGAATTTATGTTATTTCTTGAGCCTCAAGTCTTAGTTTGGCTTTCATGAATATGCAGGTGAAGGATCTTTTATTACATCTACTGTTTTAGGAGCTTGTTGATATCAGAGCAACTATGGAGAAAAAGTGGTTCAGAAGCTGTTATATCTGACACCTTAAAGAGTAACTCGTCTTTCTTTACCTTTGTGCACAATAGGCCGTTCTTGTTTTAGCCTTGAGTATAGTTCTTAAGCTAGTGTAAAATAGGCCATTCTTGTTTTAGCTATACTCTGTTTTGTTGTGCAGTTGCACTAATATAACGAAACCTATTCTGCTTCTACTATATGAATAGTACTTGGTTTGGATTGGAGGATGAAGCAAAACAAAGTGATTTATTTAACCGGTGGTTTGATTTTATGGGTAAAATACAAAGTCATGAAGCTATGCTTCAAGTAATATGAAATCTTGGTTCAGAGATGTGAAGAAGGTCTGGGAGCAAAACAAACCGGTTTAGTTATTGATAGTGATTACAAAAATCTGTGCACTTAACGGTAGAGAGGAGATCCAAGTCACTAAACTGATTGATCTTCTTATGATAGTAATGCACAAAAAGGTGGAACAAATACAAAATTGACTGAGTTTATTCTAGTAAATCTGAAATTCATCGGGCTTAGCTTTTGAAAGGAATGCGATAGACATGACCACTACAACAAAGGAGAAGTTCTCAATCACAAAGGAAACTCCTACATGATTCACAGAGTATGGTTTGGTCAGGCACCACAATGTGACTATAGGTAACATAATTCTGAATAAGATAGTTTCTTAATCATAACAAGCAAAACCTATATATACCTGTCGCTCTTCTTTAAGCATATGAGATGATGCTAGCTATTTAGCTCTCTTTGTCCTAATTATATGAATCATTAGCACCTAAAATGCATAGTTTTGCTAATTTTCAGGTACTTTGTTTGGGCCTTAGGCCCAACTTTTGCAATTGTTTATACGACGTCGTTAGTGTTTCGTTATTATAAATACAAGAGCATTTTTTTCAAATTATCAAATTCAGGCTCACTTTTCAGTTAATTCGTTGCTGCTGACGTCACACGGCGATGGCTTTCATCTCTGAAACTTCCGACGACGGCTCTAATGGCGGCGATCCAACCAAGAATCCGCAACAAGAAAAAGAAGATAATCAAAACGAGAATCCGCAACAAGTTGAAGAGAATCCACAAGAAGTTGATGAGAATCCACAAGAAGTTGAAGAGAATCCACAAGAAGAAGCAGAGAATCTTCCTCCGATTCCTCAAGAAATCCCAGAAGAACTCATCGAAAGTACCGTCGCACTCGTCCGGAGTTGTCATTACCCGTCGCTATCTCTCCTCTCCAAAGCCTTTCGTCGCGTCATATCTTCTCCAGGACTCTACCACAGCCGCTTGCTCCTCGGCCTCACCGACCCGGTTCTTTACGCCTTGATCGGATTGAGACTGTATATTCTCAATCGAAACGTTCCAAGAAATATCTCTTTACGATTGAGCGAAATCGGTTCACTTCCTCCTCTGAATCATGGATCTGCGGTGGTCACAATCGGATACGATATGTATGTGATCGGTGGACACAACCACCAATATAAACCCACATCAGATGTGTTTATCATCGATTTGAGATTTCATACGTGTCTCTCTCTCCCGAGAATGAAGAGGCGTCGCGTCTACGCAGCCGCAGGAGTAATTGACGGAAGGATTTATGTGATCGGAGGTTGCGCCAAGCTATATGATCATTGGATCGAAGTGTTCGATATAGAGAATCGGACTTGGAGTACTGTGCCTGATCCAGACCATAACGATTCTAGTTTGAGAGGAGGAGGGTTTGTGACATGTGTGGTGATGCAAGAAACGATTTACATTTTGGATACTCTGTTTGGTTTTGCTTACGAACCAAGACAAGGTTTATGGCAGTCAATTGGATTGGAAACTCAGTTGATGGTTCATTGGCGCGACCCGTGTTGTGTGATCGAGGATTTTCTGTATTGTATTGATCCTATTCCTAGGTTGGGACATCAAATAGTGGTATATGATCCGAATGAGTTGGTTTGGAGACCTGTGAAGGGTGCATATGTTTTGCCTCATTTCTGTTATGATCAGTGTAAAATGGCGAATTTTGGTGGGAAGCTGGCGATTTTGGGCCTGCGTGGTTTGGAAGATGTTTGGTGTCTAGAGATCGCGTTGGAGAAACGTCAAGGTGGTGAGATTTGGGGGAAGGTCGATTCATTGGCGATTGTGCTTAAATCAGTGAACTCGCCTTCCATTGATCTGCTTCGCTCTGTTACGTTTTGATGATTCCTTTGCAGTTCCAAGGTATGTTAATCTTTGACGAGTATGGACTATTTAACGGTTTCTTGAGCCTCAAGTCTTAGTTAGACTTTCATGAACTTGCAGGTGAAGGATCTTTTTATTACATCTACTGTTTTAGCAGCTTGTTGATATGAAGAAAAAGTGATGCAGAAGCTGTTATATCTGACACCTTAAAGAGTAACTCGTCTTTCTTTACCTTTGTGCACAATATTGGCCGTTCTTGTTTTAGCCTTGAGTGTTCTTAAGCTAGTGTAAAATAGGCCATTCTTGTTTTAGCTATACTCTGTTTTTTTGTGCAGTTGCACTAATATAACGAAACCTATTCTGCTTCTATACCATATGAGAGCTGAGAGAAAATATGAAATTTTGGTATAGAGATGACGCAAAATATAGTGATTTAGTTGACCGGTGCTTTTGTAACTAAAAATATGATTCAAATTTAGATGATTCAAATTTTAGTTGACGCAAAATATGGGTAACTAAAAATATCGAAGTGAGAAATAATACGAAGTCCTGAAGCTATCTATAGGCCATTATCTTGTGCACAATAGGCCATTATCTTGTTTTAGCCTTTATACAAAAGTTCTTACGAAACTTTTTGAAATGCATCTTTACTTAGTCTAGGGTTTTTCACAAGGTCGAACAAATTCAAAATTGACTGAGTTTCTTCTAGTAATTCTGATATTCACCAAAAATCGTTACAAGAACTGAAATGGTTAAATCGACACTGATCCCTCACTATAATCTCTTTAATTCTCTCATAGATCTGAGATATTAGCTTAGCAACTGAATGACAATCTCCACGCACCCTTAAATTATCTATAACCCAAATCAGTCCACAATTAATCTTCATCATTGATCTGCACAACCTTGTGCAGCTATGGTTATTGGTTCGTAACCATTCTATTCCAATCTCTTCATAATCGAATAAAGTAAAACAGCGAAAGGCATTGAGATTACCGGAATCTTCGTACCATAGAATCAGGTGTACACGCCATTTGAAAGACAAATTAGGGTTTCTAAGGTGAGAGAACAAAGAGACGTGTGAGTCACGTAATCACGTTGAGTGTTGCTTGATTAATTTTTTTATAGAATTTTTTCATTGGTGAACTTTTTTATTAAGGCACAAAACTTTAAACAAAACAAAAAAATAAATTTTGAAATAAGTGTTTAAAATCTATATATAATAGCAATCTAATAAATACCATTTGCACATCTGAACGGTTGCGTCTTTTTATCGCAACTTTTCGTTAATGTTTTTATTAATTAAAATATATATTTTACGGTTATGTTTTTTTTTTTATAAATTGCATTCTAAATGTTTTCTACGGTTGCGTTTTTTATTGTAACTCTTCATAAACAGTGGAAACCGCTTATTCGAATCATTGCAATATTTAGTATATTTTACGAACAATTGCAACCTTTGGTTTATATATTTAGTTTATTTCATGAACAATTGCAATTTTTGGTTTATTTTATAAATAGCTATAACATTTAATTATCTACCGCCGCGTCTCTCGGTGTAACTTTTCATAAATTATTATTTTAATTCTTAATTTTTAATTACTAAAATGTATTTAAATGAGATTGTAACTATTTAATTGAACTGTTTCAATATTTGGATTATTTGACGAATTATTGCAACTTTTGGTTTTGTGTTACGAACCATTGTTATCATTAGTATATTTGATGAACTATTGCAACATTTGGTATAATTGACGAACCGTTGCAGTTTTTGGAATATTTAATATCTACGGTTGCGTTTCTCAGATAAGTTCGTCATATTTTTAAAAAATATTTAAATACTAAAATATATTTAAATGAATTGTTGTTTCCGTTTAATTTGACACAATAGCAGTTGGTTTATTTGACGTTGAACGTTTTGGCTTATTTATCAAAGGGAGATTGACAAAAATAGCCCCAAAAAAGTTGTTTTTTCCAAAAATAGCACCTCATTTGAAAAGTTCCACAAATAGCACCATAAACTTCAATTAAACTTAATGAAAATATAAAGCGGACTGCTTAGCGCGCTCTTCTAGACTTTTATTTTCAGAAGCTACTTTTGTAAACATTTCTCCTCCTAGTTGGGCAACCAACCAAGGAACTTTTTAATAAATGTGTGGTTGACAAAAAAAAAAAAAAAAACTTAATGAAAATATAAGATAGAAAATAAAAAAAAAGAGCAAACACTAATCTAATATTAAATTGAATCAAAATTGTTTTTAAATAGTGGAAATATATACCCTAATTTGGAAATAGGGAACCCAAATATAATACCACAAACTAATATTAAAATAAAAATCTCTTTTAAAGGGTGAAAATATATACCCTAAATTGGAAATAAGGAACCCAAATATAATACCATAAACTAATATTAAAATGAATCAAAATCTCTTTTAAATGGTGGAAATATATACCCTAAATTGGAAATAGAGAACCCAAATATAATATTTTAAATTTATTTCTAATTTATTTTGTTGAATAGCTTTTATATAAAAGTTGTGGTATTATTGAAAAAAAAAAGCTAGTGATAAAATTTTTAGAACAAAAACACTAATAGTAAGTTAACTAGTGCTATTTTTGGAAGTTTATGGAGTGTGTGCTATTATTGTCAATAAAACTTGTTTTAGGACCATTTTTAGGAATTTCTCTTTATCAAACCATTGTAATATTTGGTTTATTAGTTTATGTTTTTTGGACTTGAGAATAATTTTTTAGTTACAAATTATTGTTTTTTTTAATATTAATATACTTAATAAATGCTTGTGAGGGGTTTCTTTATCATAATTTTTGTAAAATATATATTGATTTGTTATTAAAAAAATTCAAAATTATTAGAATTCATTATGATTTTTTCGTTTGATATTTTTTTAAATGATTTTTGAAATATATTCGTAAAAAAAAGGTGAAAGTAGGTGAAGAAAACAACATTATTAAAAAAAACTAATGTTTGAACGAGATTTAAGAAGAAGAAGAAAAATGATTTAATACAAATTACCATTTTCGATTTATTTTTTAATGATGCACACATTAAAAAAAAAAAAAAAAAAAGAAGTATCTGAAAATCCTTAAACTCAGAGTATTTATTTACTCATTATGGATTCATTATAAATAGGGTATAATACTCAACATCTTTTTCATAAGTCCAAATTAGTCTCGCTTTCCGTTATAATTCGTTGCTGCTGAAATCACACGGCGATGGCTACAATCTCTGAAACTTCCGACGACGGTTCTAACGGCGGCGATCCAAACATGAAACCCGAAGAATCCCACAAGAACCCGCAAGAAGAAGAAAAAGAGAGTCAAAACGAGAAACCGAAAGAAGAAGATCAAGAAGACGATCCTCAAGAAGAAAAAGTAGAGAATCTTCCTCCGATTCCTCGAGAAATCCCACTAGAACTAATCGAAAAGACCATCGCACCCATCCGGAGATGTCATTATCCGTCGCTATCTCTCCTCTCTAACGCCTTTCGTCAAGTAATCTCTTCGGAGGATCTCTTCCAAACTCGTTCGCGCATCGGTTTGACCGAACCGGTTCTTTATACCTTGATCACGTTCAAGAACCCAACTTTTGAAGAACCAAGATGGTTCATTCTCCATCGGAGCAACGTCTCTCTACAACTGACCAGAGTCACTTCTCTTCCTCCCATGTTTCTTGGATGCACTACCGTCACAATCGGACACAAGATGTACGTTATGGGTGGATGCAGGTCTTCCTCAAATCGACCCGTAAAGACTGTGTTCGTCATCGATTGCAGATTCCATACGTGGCGCTATCTCCCAAATATGGAAAGGGCTCGTTGCTACGCAGCCTCCGGAGTGATTGACGGACAGATTTACGTTGTGGGAGGTTGCACGAAACGACATGATGATTGGATCGAAGTGTTCGATGTGACGACTGCGACTTGGGAAACTGCGCCTGGTTTAGTATCCTCCCTTGCTAGGTCGAGAGCAAAGTTTGATGTACATGTGGTTTTGGATAATATGATTTACATTTTGGATGGTGAACATTGTTTGGGTTACAATCCAAGACTACGTAGATGGGAGACTTGGGGATTTGAAAGGCTACAGTGGTATTTCTGGCACGCGTCTTGTGTGGTTGATGATTTGTTGTATGCCGTTGTTCCTAACTCGGTTCTTGGATCTCCCATTGTCGTGTATGATCCAAGGAAATTGGTTTGGAGACCTGTCATGGGTGTAGATTACTTGCCTAAGCTCGTTTATAGTGAGTCTAGATTGGCAAATTTTGGTGGGAAGTTGGTGATTTTGGGAAGTTATCAAAGCCGGGATAGTTTTGATAAATACGGGGAAGTTAATGTTTGGTGCGTAGAGGTTGCATTGGAAAAACGTGAAGATGGTAATATTTGGGGGAAGGTCCAATCACTCTCGCTTGTGAATAAATTCCGCAAGTCGCCTTTCCTTGAGCTTTCTCGAACTGTTACGGTTTGATGATTCGTTTGCAGTTGCAAGGTATGTTAATCTTTGATGAGTATGGAGTATTGATGATGATGATGATTATGATGTTTTCTTTAGCCTCTCAAGTCTTAGTTAGGGTTTCATTAACTTGCAGGTGAAGGATCTTTTCTTACATCTACTGTTTTAGGAGCTTGTTGATATGAAGCAAAAGTGGTGCAGAAGCTGTTTTAGCTACTTATCTTTTTATCTCACATTAAAGAGTACTCTTTAACAGAATTAGCCTTGTGTAGATTTCTTAAGCTGTGTATAAGTAGGCAGTTCTTTTAGCCTTTATACAAAAACTCTTACGAAACTTGTGTAATGCATCAGTCAGTTAGTTCTTTTTACCATACGAGCGATATGAAACACTGGTTTAGAGATTAGCTAAACGAAGTGATTTAGTTAACCGGTGGATTTGACTTTATGGGAAATTATATACAATGTCAAAGTGAGAAAATACAAAGTCATTGTTTGTACTTTGTATGTAACATTTGTATCTCTTACCAAAATCTTAACATTAAAAGACCCACTGTGCATGCTTCAAGTATATGAGCAATATGAGTGAATTATTTCTTTGACCAACTATTTTTGGAGAAATTATATAGATAATATTTCCCTGAAAAGAAAATTTTTATTGAAAAAAACTTGAAAATAAAAGCAAGTAAAGATCCCTAACAATTCTTCCTATTTTCTTTTATAATATATTATCCCTTCTGTAATTTCGAATTAGTCACATCACATTGTGATTATTCACACCTTTTATAATTCAATAAAGCAAATTTTTAGTAGATAATAAAAAACACATTACCAACAAAATGATAATGTATAACGAACGAGACTTAAGAAGAAGAAAAATGATTTAATACAAATTATCTTTTTGGAATTTAAAAAAAAAACAATAAAACTTTTTTTTAAACGAAGTTTCTGAATGCGATGCGTGCAATTAGAGATACCTAGAGAAATGACATTTTGGTTTCCTTATAAATACCCAATCAACATTTCTTTTAACAACAGACTACTAATTTCAGTTAATTCGTTGCTCCTACTTACGTCACACGGCGGCGATGGTTTTACTCTCTGAAATTCCCGGCGACCCTAATGGCGACGATCCAAACAATAATCCTCAAGAAGAAGAAGAAGATAATCAAAACAAGAATCCTCAAGAAGAAGAAGAAGTAGAGAATCCTCAAGAAGAAGAAGAAGTAGAGAATCCTCAAGAAGAAGTAGAGAACCTTCCGATTCTTCTAGAACTTCCAACAGATCTCATCCAAAGAATCATCGCACACATCCCAAGATGTTACAGCCCGTCGCCAACTCTCGTCTGCAGAGCCTTACGTCAGGTAATCACTTCGGATGAACTCTACGTAACGCGCTCGCTCCTCGGCTTCACCAAACCGATTCTTTATGCCTTAATCAGATGCACACCGTATACTCACCCAATCTGGTTCTTTCTTTGTTGGAGCAACATCGGATTACACTTACGCAGAATCCGTTCACTTCTTCCAATGTTTCCTGGAGCAGCTGTGGTCACAATCGAATACAAGATGTATGTAATGGGTGGTACCAATCCCATCGGGTTTACTAATCAACCTGTATCGACTGTGATTGTCATCGACTGCAGATTCCATACGTGTCGCAATCTCCCGGATATGCAAAGGCCTCGTTACCATGCAGCAGCCGGAGTCATTGACGGAAACATTTACGTAATCGGAGGTTGCAAGAAACAAGATGCTGATTGGGTCGAAGTGTTCGATGTGACGACTGAGACTTGGGCAACTGTGCCTAGTCAATGCCCTGAAGATGCTAGTGAGAATGGAGAGTTTATTACATATGTGGTGATGCAGGGGAGGATTTTCATTTTGGATCTTGAGTGTTGTTTGGCTTACGAACCACGACAAGGTTTATGGCAGTCATGGGGTGTTGAAAGTGAGTTGATGAGATTTTGGCAGACGTCGTCGTCTTGTGTGGTTGGAGATTTGTTGTATGCACTAGATCTTACGTGTACTCTTGGATATCCGATTGTGGTATATAATCCGAATGAATTGGTTTGGGGACCTGTGCTGGGTGGATATTCTTCTTATTTGCCTATTCTCAGTAACTATCGGTCTAAAATGGCGAATTTTGGTGGGAAGTTGATGATTTTCTGCAGCTATCGTGGGTGGTTTCACGATATTTGGTGCATAGTGATTGCGTTGGAAACACGTCAAGAAAATCAGATTTGGGGGGTGTTTGAATCAATCTCGCTTGTGTTTAGGGACGTGATGACAATGCCTTCCATTGAGCTTTGTCGAACTGTTATGGTTTGATGTTACGCTTGCAGGTATGTTTCTTTGATGAGTTTGGACTATTGATGTGAATTTATGATGTTTCAGACATTTGCTTTAGCCTCAAGTCTTAGTTAGCCTTTCATGAACTTGCAGGTGAAGGATCTTTTTATTACATCTACTGTTTTAGCAGCTTGTTGATATGAAGCAAAAGTAGTGCAGAAGCTGTTATATCTGACACCTTATTGAGTACTTCGTTCTTCTTAACCTTTGTCCACAATGTGATTACTCTGAGATAATTAGCCCTGTGTAGAGTTGGCCACTCTTTTAGCCTTCTATACAAAAATTCTTATGAGACTTGTTGAAACGCATCTTTAGTCTCTTGGGTCCCAACTTCTTCCTGTTTACTTTTAGATATATAACTTTTGTGTAAATAGCAGCTGAGTTTACAATAATGAAAATCTGCTTCTACTATATGAGCAATATGAAAGATCTTGGTTTAGATATGAAGCAAAACAGAGTGATTTAGTTAACCGGTGGTTTAGACTTTTGACTCTATAGGTAAACTATAATATCAAAGTGAAAACAAATAACTATATGGGTTTCTCTCTATCATAAAACTGAGGTATTACTCTATTAGCTTGGTAACTAATGAATGACAATCTCCACACACCCTTAGATTCTTGATAACCCGAATCACCTTTGGAGTTTCTGTTGATCAGTCCATAAGATTAAGAGACTGTGCCTTCATTTCTGCTTCATCGAGGATCTGCAGAACTTGTAACCATTCTATTTCGATATCTCCATATAATCGAATAAAGTAAAACAGAGAAAGAAATTGAGATTACCGGAATCTGCGGACTTCAGAATCGATTTATATATGTCGCCAACTCAAGAAAATGGCTCTCTCAGTATCCTTTTCATCAGTGTCCCAGTCAAGACGACGAACAAAGCACTTGAATTCAACATTTGTGTAGAGAGAACAAAGAGACTTGTGAGTCAAGTAATCACTTTGATAGACATTTGAATCAATTTTTAAAGATTTTTTTCATTGGTGAATTGTTATTCAGGTTAAGGAGCTTAAAAGAAAAAGTAATAATTAGAAAGTACTGTTTTTAAAAAAAATCTACTATAGTTTTCCAAGAAAAAATTACATGCAAATTTCAAAGTGGATTTCTTTTTATAATCAAAGTGAATTTTTTTTACCAATTGTTTTTTTCGAAGAAATTTTATATATAATATTTACGATGATATTGAAAATATGATTTTAAGTGATGAAAATTAAAACACATTAAATGATAATGATTTCATACATTAATGTATTAGAAAGAGATTTAAGAAGAAGAAAATAATGATTTATTACACATTATCATTTTGATTTTTATTTCTGATGAACATATTTTTTCTAAAACGAGTTTCTGAAATTCCGTGAAATAAGAAAGTATTTATTTAGTCATTATGCTTTCATTATAAATACACAACGTACTCTTACGTAACAGCTTCTTTCAAAACTCAAATCTAGTCTCGCTTTTCGTTAATTCGTTCCTGCAGAATCTGTGACACGACGATGGCTTCAATCTCTGAAACTTCCGACGACGGCTCTAACGGTGGCGTACCAAACAAGAAATCCGAAGAACTCCACAAGAACCCTAAAGAAGAAGAAGAAGAAAAAGACGATCAAAACGAGAAACCGAAAGAAGAAGATCAAGAAGACGATCAAGAAGAAGAAGAAGTAGAGAATCTTCCTCAGATTCCTCGAGAAATCCCACCAGAACTAATCGAAAACACCATCGCACTCATCCGGAGATGTCATTACCCGTCGCTATCTCTCCTCTCTAACGCCTTTCGTCAAGTTATCTCTTCAGAGGATCTCTTCCAAACTCGCTCTCGCATCGGTTTGACCGAACCGGTTCTTTATACCTTGATCACGTTCAAGTACCCAAATTTTGAAGAACCAAGATGGTTCATTCTCCATCGGAGCAACGTCTCTCTACAACTGACCAGAGTCACTTCTCTTCCTCCCATGTTTCTTGGATGCACCGCCGTCACAATGGGCCACAAGATTTACGTAATGGGTGGTTATAACCTCCGTTATAATCGAGCCGTAGGGACTATGCTTCTTATAGATTGCAGATTCAATACGTCTCGTCAGCTCCAGCGTATGGAGAGGGATCGTTGCTACGCAGCCGCTGGAGTGATCGACGGAAGGATTTACGTAGTCGGAGGTCGCCAGAGACGAATAAATGATTGGGTCGAAGTGTTCGATGTAGAGACTGAGAGATGGGAACTTGTGCCTGGTCCATTCTCTCCCCTTGCTAGTTCTGGTGGAGAGTTTTTTACACATGTGGTTTTGGATAATAAGATTTACATTATAGATGGTGATTTTTGTTTTGCGTACGATCCAAGACAACGTACATGGCAGACTTGGGGACCTGAAAGTGAACAGAGGAGGTTTTGGCACGCGTCGTCTTGTGTGGTTGATGATTTGTTGTATGCCACTGTTCCTCGGGAGATTGTTGGAGTTCCAATTGTCGTGTATGATCCAAGGGAAGTGGCTTGGAGACCTGTCAAGGGTTTAGAGTTTTGGCCTTATCTCGTTTATATCGAGTCTAGAATGGCGAATTTTGGTGGGAAGTTGGTGATTTTGGGATGTTATCAAAGCCGGGAGAGTTTTGATTATTACGGGGAAATAGATGTTTGGTGCGTAGAGGTTGCATTGGAAAAACGTGAAGATGGTGATATTTGGGGGAAGGTCCAATCACTCTCGCTTGTGAATAGATTCCGCAAGTCGCCTTTCTTTGAGCTTTCTCGAACTGTTACGGTTTGATGACTCGTTTGCAGTTGCAAGGTATGTTAATCTTTGATGAGTATGGACTATTGATGACGAATTATGATGTTTCACACGTTTTCTTGAGCCTCAAGTTTTATTTAGGTTTTCATAAACTTGCAGGTGAAGGATCTTTTATTACGTCTATACTATTTGAGCAGCTAGTTGGTATCAGAGAAAAGTAACTCAGAAGCTGTTACATCTTACACCTTGAAGCGTAAATCGACCGATGCTTCTTAACTTTTGTGCACAATATGATGTGAATACTCTTACAGAATTAGCGTTGAGTAGATTACTAGCCTTGTCTAGAGTTGGCCACTCTTTTAGCCTTTTATACAAAAATTCTTATGAGACTTGTTGAAATGCATCTTTAGTCTTTTGGGTGTCAACGTCTTCCTGTTTGCTTTTAGATATATAACTTTTGTGTAAGTAAGCAGATTAGTTTAATTTACACTAATGAAACCTAATCTGCCTCTACTATTTGAGCAATATGAAATCTTGGTTTAGATATGAAGCAAAACAGAGTGATTTAGTTAACCGATGGTTTTGGTTTTATGGGTAACTACAATATGAAAGTGTGGAATTACAAAGTCCTGATGAAAGCTGAAGTTATCTATATAGAATATAGAAAAAGAGAAGATTATATTGTTTGTATGAAACTCTGTTCTCATTTTTAAAAGACTCACTGTGCTTCAAGCATATGAGCAAATATAAAAGCAAGACAATATTGTAACTTTGTATGTATCTCTTACAAAAATCTTAACATTATAAGACCCACTGTGCATGCTTCAAGTATATGAACAATATGAAATCTTGGTTTAGAGATGTGAAGATGCCAATATGGTTTGGGAGCAAAACAAACTGGTTTACTTAAACCGGTGGTTACTATCTTATCTGATAATGATTACAAAAACCCGAATATATATTTAAAAGATGATTTTCCATAACATTTATTAATCTCAACTCTGCACATCCTATGACATCTCTGGTCTGGTTCGTAACCATTCGATTTCAATCTCCCCATAATCGAATACACTAAAACAGGAAGGCAGTGAGATTACCAGAATCTGTCCAGTGTGTAGACAAATTAGAGCATCTAAGGTAAGAGAACGTTGCGACTTGAGAATCACGTAAGCGTTTAGACTTGAGAGTCGTTTGATTCAATTAGGTTTTTCCGTTGTTGAATTTTTATTATGGTAAAAAAAAAACTTTGAATAAAACAAAATTTTTTAGAAACTAGTGTTTAAAATAATAATATTAAAAAAACTTTGATGATATAGTTTCGGAAGGAAAACAAAAATCACATGCAAATTCTAACAAACCATCATTAAAAATTATTTTTTGGTTAAGATAAACTTATAAAAATCGTCCAAATCCTAAAGAGAAAAGGATTATCTTAGCGAGACTTCGGGTCTATATAAATAATATAGAGCTCTCTCAACTTCTCACCAACACAAACTCAAAACTTCATAAAATCTCTTACAAAGTTGTTTTCTTTCTTTTTTTTGCTGCTTAATTCTCTCGTATTCAAACCAAACATGGCCTTGATCAAAAGCAACGTCTTCTTTACTTCTTTGCTAATTCTTGTAGCACTTTGGGGAGTTGCCATTGGAGGAACCGTTCACAAAGTCGGTGACTCCGACGGATGGACGATAATGAGCGTCAATAATTACGAGGAATGGTCATCTTCAAGAACTTTTCAAGTCGGAGACTCTTTGGTCTTCAAATACAACAAAGATTTCCACGACGTCACTGAAGTCACTCACAATGATTTCAAGCTGTGTGAACCGTCTAAACCGCTAGCAAGATACAAGACCGGGTCTGACACCATCATTCTAACCAAACCGGGACTCCAACACTTCATATGTGGATTTCCTGGTCACTGCGACATGGGCCAAAAGCTTCAAATCCATGTATTACCAGCCTCGTTGGGACCTGTCGCTGCTCCGGTTCCTAGACCTGTCCGATCACCAAGCTCTTTTTCGTCTCCTTCACCATCTCCGTTGGCTTCACAGTATCAGACGGGACCATCACCAGCTCCACTTAGCGCAGCTTCAAACTCTAATGTTTGGATTGGACTCTGTTTCATTCCTTTACTTTTACTTTTCATCTTAGTTTGATATATTTACACACGTTTTGTCTTATTGTTTTTTGGTTCAAAGTCTCTACTAATTTCTAAGAATATAAACCAATAAAATAGTGAATTATATATCTCTCTCTTATTCGAATCATAATCAACCCACATAACTTTTAGTTTGTTGTTGACTCAATCTCATTGACATCACGTAAATTGATTCTAATTCCAAATTAGATTAGAAGATATCTTTTTCTTTTTTTCTCACTTGATATATTTGAACATATAATAATTAAGAAGATAATAAAATTTGAATATTTGATGCATGTTAAAATCTATATGATTGATTGTTTGATTTTCGTAATTTTTTGTAGACCTGAAAAGATTGAGATGTTAGAACAGTTTTACCATATAAAGAAAAAGATATATTAAGTTATTAACCAATGAATAGATAAAAATCTGAAATTAGTCTAACCGAAGATAAAATCTACAAGGCACATGAAAATATATAGGCGAAGAAAACAAACATGTTTAAGAGGATCTCCTCCGTTGCCTTGCGCTCTAAGGAAGCAAAGCACACACAAGAAACCTATACATTCTCTGCTATACTTTTGTGTATGAAACATAAACTTTATTATACAACAAAAAACATAAAATCCTATCTACACAAAAATCTTATCATTCATTACACCTTTTTGGTAGCTGCAGCCAGTGGCGGATCTAGGATGAAAATTTGTATGGGGCACCAATCATATTTAAGTAATAATTTTTTTTTTTAAGTAATAAAAACTGTGGGAAAGAAAATAAATTGAAAAACAATTGTAGTTAATGGGCATCGAACTCAGATCCCTTAAGCTTACATGGAGCACTCCTTCCAATTGAGCTAAGAGATATTCATGCCATAAGTTGATAAATTTAATAATTATTAAGAAAGAGTATAGGGCACGTGCCCCACCCCCTTACACTGTAGATCCGCCCCTGGCTGCAGCTATATATGGTGTTTGATTCTATAAACCAAAATGACTTGGTTCTTTGTTGACTTTCCGTAAATGCGATCGAACTGGAGAACAAAGGGAAAAGAATCAGGTTGTGTTTTCTTGTAAAAGTTATACCCAAAAGCTTATAAGAGACCACTTGAATATCAAAAGAAAACGATTTGATTTCATCTAAGGAAATTATCTCAAGCTTAACATTTAGTCTAAGCTTACCATTTCATCAATTGATTCCATCGGTTTCATTGTTTTTAAGTTCTACAGTCAATGGATCGATGGACTGTCTATGGTCTTCAGCAGAATTAGACTCATCATTGAATGTTACTTCAAAGCCCTGATAGTTTTATGTTCAATGTTAAGCACAAGAATAACTATACACTTTTAGTTAAGTAGATACAGAGCATTGTAAGTTTGAAAACAGATAACTACTCACCTCTTGATTCTCCTGAAATGTTCCTGTGGCATCCGAACAAACCGTTTCTATTGTAGTTTCCTCAGTTGTCTCAATACGTTCCTGCAAACGAAAAGTCCACGCGTCAAACAAAGTACATTTATGTTCTTAGAAATGGTATTCTGCTTTAGGAAACTTGGAAATTACATCTAATTGATAATGAGATGATTCAGCAGGTGGAACCACATTTTGCAGCTGACCAACTGATGCATGATCCAGAACCTCAGAATGAGTCTGGTCTAGATGTAACATGTCTGGTAACACTGATCTTGGAGAAGTAACAGATTCTTCAGAGTTTCCATGATGATTAACATCAGAAGCTTCAGCTTCTGCGAGTTGTTGCATTTCTTCTCCATCATTTCTCTCATAAGGTTCTTCAGATTCTTGATCAGTCCTCTCGGATGGTTCATGTTCGTCGACAGAATCATAACTTATCTTTATCTCATCAGCTGAGTTCTCAGGAAGTTCCTTCAACTCCTGACAAAAAGTTGCAAAGATTATGTTCAATGTGTTAACATTTATACCATTTTCATGAGACCAGAACAAAAAACATGAACTAACCTCATCAGATTGAGGAACCATGGACTCCAATTTTCTTGCTTCTTCATTTAGATCTTGATCATCTTTCCCCACAAGTAAGACTTCAGATTCCCCACCATTAAACCCCATTTCTTTTCCGATCTCCGATTCATAAACAAACAGAGATCTCTCATAATCAGAGTCATTCCCATCAACTGAAGTGGGAGGTGATCCAAGTTCAGAAACCTCAACTTGAAGATCAGAGTCAGCAGAATGTGTCACCATATGATATTTTCTTGTGCTGTAACCAAAATGCTCCATATATCTTTGCCTCGCGGTTGCTAGTGAACTCGAACCACTGCCTCTAGGCACTAAACCCGCAACAGAGTTTCCAAGACGATCATTTCGTTTGCAGAAAGTTCCGGAAGCATCTGATTGGTCCGAGGCATTGAAATCTTTGTCTCTTTCTCGCGGAGAAAGCGATGCGTTCGAGTCACTATCATCGTTTCTGATGGAATCCGTCTCTATCCGTACCTCTCCTGCCTCCATATCATTTCCTTTTCCTCTTTCTTTCATTAGAGGTGCTTGATCACTGCTACCTAAATCAACAAGAAAAGTCACTAAGAAATATAGAAACCCTAATAATGATCTTGATTAGGTCACTAACAAAACTGTAAAATGTCATACCTTGTAGTGGCTTAGGCCTACCATCAACTGTATTTCTCCACAAAGATGTTAATTTAGAATCTTTTTGAGATTCTGATGGAAAAATCCTGTGATGGAAGCTCTCATGGCGGCAAAAGAAGATATCTTTCGGGTTAGTCTCAGCAAACTCTTGCTGAAAACTATCTCCTGTCAGGTTCGGTTTCTCTTCCAGAGGATCGTAAGGAAGGTCAAATGGGTTTCTTCTTGGTAACAAAACAGAAGGTGCAGAGCTTGGCATGAGAAGTCCATCGATTTCGTAGTTTCCTTTATCGAAACCATAAAAGTTGTTTCGACCAATACAAATCCGAGGAACTTCCATATCCATCAAGCTTCCTTCAGCTGCAAGTAAGAAAAATCTCCTTGATCTTCTTCTAGAAATCAAATTCTCTAACCTCTTGTTCCGTTCAATCTCAGATATCCCAAGATCCATCAAATTCTTCTGATCATCCTCTGTCCACGGTACTACGACCTTGCTTATATCTTCGCGCCTTTCTTCTTCTTCTTCCCTTTCTTCTTCTTCTGATGATGATGATGAACATTCTACTTCACTTTCATCACCATCAACACTTATTAACCTCTCCAATGGATCTAACTCAACAACAGAGTTAAAGGAGGTTTCTTCTGCAACAAGCAACGTCCTTTCTCTCTTGAATTTCTCCATATCTGAACTAATCGTCTCCGATAATACTTCCCCATAGAGAGTTGTCAGAATAACCTTACCTCTCTCATCCTCACTAGCCTGAGAAGAATCCCAATCTTTCCCAACCTCTTCAACTTTCCTTCTGGCATTTCGTCGAACACTTTGTTGGTGCTTTAACTTACCCTTCTCTATTCTTCCTTCTTGAGAAACCAAAGATAACCCACGATCCGTTCTCTTCTCTTCCTCCGATAAATCACGAATCTTCGAACTCAGATCATGATTCAGTATATAAAACGAAGCAAAAGCTATCAACGGAGAAGAACAGAGCAAGAAATAGAAAACCGAAGGAAGAAAAGTATACAAGACGATCATAAACATAGAAACACCAGAAACAATTGGGTATCTCTTCACGTATCTGAAAATTGTATTCGTTGAGAATCTAAGAATTTTCCAAACGATAAAGCAAACATCTTTAGCATCAATTTTTCCCATTTTCTTCTTCTTCTAGTGAATCAAACAAACCTGAAAACAGAGAATCATTATAAGACGTCGAAAACACGAAATGATCAAAACTATTGAAGGAAAAATTCAAAATTGATGAATAAGAGAGGTCAAGCTTTACCTTTGAAATGATAACCAGTCAAAATACTTATTGGAGGGGTTTTATTAATTGCAGATTTAGAAAATTTGCTCTGTTTTCTTAAATACATGTCGGTGTGGTAGAGAGGGGATGGTTTTATGTACGGATCGGATCGTGCGGGGAAGACAAAATAAAAAAAAACGAGCGAGTTAGTTGCTTACATGTTGTATTAAACTTTTGAATTTTCTTGATCATGATATTTATTTTAGTTTCTCATTTTTTGTATTTTTTCTCAGATTTGTTGAATTTTGGGCTTTTCAAATGTAAGCCCAACGATAAGACCATGACAATTTCTATAAGAAACATTAATGCGTTGATATAAATTCTTTGGATATAGATTACGATATACAATTAGTTTATTTAAATATATCCAAATATAAATGCGTCAATGGTTGTTGTAACTTGTAAGATTATCTTTCTATTTAAGAGGAAAATTTCTCTTCGTAGATAATTTTTTTAATCATTTTCCGATTTTTCTAATTTTTCTAGATATGATTTGATTGAACAATTAATTCGTGGTTCTTTGAATGAGATATCGATCTCGACTGTATTTGATTTCAGTAAATTAATAATAATTGTCATTTACGTCCCAAATCTTTTTAATGAAATGTCATATCTCAAATTCTCAATATATGGACTTACATATTCTTATGCATTATCAATATATGAACAAAACAAAATATCAATGTCGCTTTCAGAGTGAGTGAACAAGAGATATTGAGAAATCAATTTGTATGGTTTATTATCAATTGTCATATTTTTGCCAACATTTTATGAGAGTCCAATAGATATTTATTCCTTTTTAAATTTTTGTCGTCTTAAATTTGTTTTAGTGGGCATCCTAGAGATGGAAACTATACATGAAATTTTCTATAACTAGGTGTTATCACTCTTATTTTTCTAATAAGTTTCACAACTATGAACTATACATCTCATATTTTTCTAATATATTCTTTTTTAATTAATATATTGTTCTAATAAGCTAATGATAATATGTTAAGAGACAGATACATAAAAGAGAAAAAGTTGTCCTATTTGTCAAAAAAAATTAGTTTGATCTACATATTTGTCAATTTTGAGTTATGTTTTCATGAATTTTTATTTTTGGGGTTTAAAAGACCAAAATTTAGTTATATGTACATTTTAAAGTGTTTTCTATAACAAAATAAAACGAAAATTGCAATAGTAATTTAACGAAATCAAATAACCAATAATTCACCTTTTTATTGGTTTAAAGGTGGTTTACTCGCTCTCCACCTCACGTATCTTATCTTAGAATCCTGATCAACGGACGACAAAATATCTGAGAAAGAGGACACGTCAGCAAAGCCTTTCGCTTTTGGCTGCATTGGCCGTGACAATTATCACAGACGATTCAGGAGGTTCGTTCCTTTTTTAAAGGACCCTAAAACCATTTCTCTTTCTTCTATCACACTCTCTGATTGACTCAGTGTGCGCGATTCAGTTCACTTCTCGACCAGATCAGATTCACAGCTTCCTCTTCCAGGTTTGATTCCTTCTTCTCCACGATTCCTCTGTTGACTTCACGAATGTGCATGGAATTTGGTTGTTTTTTCCTTAGATTGTGCGTTTAGATGCAATAATCGGCTCTTTGTTGTTCGTCAATTTCTATGTTTTTGTTAATCCATGGATCGTATCGGAAACAGTGATTAATTCATATCGTCGTTTGTTTCCAGCTATGGCTGCTTCAGTACACAGTACCTTGATGTCCGTTGTATGCAACAACAAATCTCACTCTACTTGGCCTAAACTTCCAAACTCGTCGTTATTACCTGGATTCGATGTTGTTGTTCAAGCTGCTGTTGCTACTCGATTCAAGAAGGATACAACAACCACACGAGCCACTTTGACATTTGATCCACCAACCACTAATTCTGAGAGAGCTAAGCAGAGAAAACACACCATTGATCCTTCTTCTCCTGATTTTCAACCAATCCCATCTTTTGAAGAATGTTTTCCTAAGAGCACTAAAGAACACAAGTACTAATTGCTTTACTTAAATTCACATTTTTTCCATATTTGGAAGAGTTGAGAAATCACTGGTTTGGTTTTTGATTGGTTTCAGGGAAGTTGTTCATGAAGAATCTGGTCATGTTCTTAAAGTTCCTTTTCGTCGTGTTCATTTGTCCGGTGGTGAGCCAGCTTTTGATAATTATGACACTAGTGGTCCTCAGAATGTTGATGCACACATTGGTATGTGATTCCACCTTGTGTTTTACCCATTCACTTCTTATTTACTTTCTCTGTGAGTATCACTAACAAATGAAACTTTTCCAAACAGGGCTTGCTAAGCTAAGGAAGGAGTGGATTGATCGGCGAGAGAAGCTAGGAACGCCAAGATACACTCAAATGTACTACGCTAAACAAGGGATCATAACTGAGGAAATGCTCTACTGTGCTACTAGGGAGAAACTAGACCCTGAGTTTGTAAGATCAGAAGTTGCACGAGGGCGGGCGATTATCCCTTCCAACAAGAAGCATTTGGAGCTTGAACCGATGATTGTTGGTAGAAAGTTCTTGGTTAAGGTCAATGCGAATATCGGAAACTCTGCTGTTGCAAGCTCTATTGAAGAGGAAGTCTACAAGGTTCAGTGGGCAACCATGTGGGGAGCTGATACAATCATGGATCTCTCAACTGGTCGTCACATTCACGAGACACGCGAGTGGATCCTAAGGAATTCTGCTGTGCCTGTTGGTACGGTGCCTATTTATCAAGCACTTGAGAAAGTGGATGGAATTGCTGAGAATCTTAGCTGGGAAGTCTTCAGAGAGACTCTGATTGAACAAGCTGAGCAAGGTGTAGACTATTTCACAATCCATGCTGGAGTTTTGCTGCGTTACATTCCCTTAACAGCTAAGCGTATGACCGGGATCGTTTCGCGTGGAGGATCCATTCATGCTAAATGGTGCTTAGCTTACCACAAGGAGAACTTTGCTTACGAGCACTGGGATGATATTTTAGACATCTGTAACCAGTATGATGTGGCTCTTTCCATTGGAGATGGTCTGAGACCTGGCTCGATTTATGATGCTAATGACACTGCTCAGTTTGCAGAGCTCCTTACTCAAGGTGAACTAACTCGCCGAGCGTGGGAGAAAGATGTGCAGGTATTCTAAAACTACTTATCTAATTCACTTATATTCATCCAGTTTGTCTTGGATACATATTCTCAATACTAATTTTTTTTTTTCAGGTGATGAATGAAGGGCCAGGGCATGTCCCAATGCACAAAATTCCAGAGAATATGCAGAAGCAGTTGGAATGGTGTAACGAGGCTCCATTCTACACTCTTGGTCCTTTGACTACTGATATTGCTCCTGGATACGATCACATTACCTCTGCCATTGGAGCTGCCAATATTGGAGCCTTGGGCACAGCTCTTCTTTGCTATGTAACACCGAAAGAACACCTCGGGCTACCAAACAGGGACGATGTGAAGGCTGGGGTTATAGCATACAAGATCGCCGCTCATGCAGCTGATCTAGCCAAACAGCATCCACATGCCCAGGCATGGGACGATGCGCTGAGCAAAGCGCGATTTGAGTTTAGATGGATGGACCAGTTTGCTCTGTCTTTGGACCCCATGACTGCTATGTCTTTCCATGATGAAACCCTTCCAGCTGATGGAGCCAAGGTTGCACACTTTTGCTCCATGTGCGGACCAAAATTCTGCTCTATGAAGATAACAGAAGACATCCGAAAGTATGCAGAAGAGAATGGTTATGGCAGTGCTGAAGAAGCCATCAGACAAGGAATGGATGCTATGAGCGAAGAGTTCAATATTGCCAAGAAAACCATTAGCGGAGAACAGCACGGTGAAGTAGGCGGAGAAATCTACTTGCCAGAGAGCTATGTCAAGGCTGCTCAGAAATAAAAGGTCAGTATGCTTAGACTGTTAGACGTTGCTTGCTCAACAAACATGTTTTTTACAGCTTGCTAGTATAAAAACATTCAAAGTTATAATGTTGTCTTAAATCTGCAACATATGGTTAAATCTTAAATGAGTCCTTACTGTGATCTTTGTTTTTTTTCATCGTGTTTCTTTTTCTTCTGCTGCCTCAGGGAAAGGGTTCAAACAAGATCTCGCTTACCCAAGTCTTGGTGCCTGTTGGACTATACCTTCGATAAAGGCACAAACTGTCGGTAAGCTTAGTAGTCTCTATGTCATGTTAATTTTAGAACTATCTATGTTTCTGTCTGTTCCTTTGAGTCAGAGTCAGCAATAAAGACAATCTAAGTTGATGTTTTCAATACTTTATATGTGATTTGATTGGTGAATTGACATGCAAAAGCACCAGGGGTGCTTGAACCAGGCTAGCCCGCTAAAAGGCGGGCTATCCGGGACCAGGCTGAGAAAGTCCCTTTGAACCTGAACAGGGTAATGCCTGCGCAGGGAGTGTGCATTTTTTTTTTTCTGTTCTGTAGCTTTCTAAAGGAGAGGAGCTACTGTTGCCGCTCTCTCGAGTCTCGGTCCACGGTTTTCGACAGTTAGTTTCTTATGAGCTAAGATTCAGCTTAATTGACTTAACAGCCATAAAAGAAGTCTTAAACTGATGCACTTAAGTCACTAACAGTAAAGATTAATTCAATCAAAATTTCATTCAGATTGATAAAAAAAAAACCTTTTGCACTTTGAGGCATATAGCTAAAATCAATCTGCTCTGTTAATTTGTTTGACAGCTCCACAACACAAATCGGGTTTTTAAACTATATGATCATGTTTTCTAATTATACTCCTTTTTTAACTATTTCCTTTGAGTGTTGTCCACATAAATCGCCATGACAAAGAAATTTAGATGATCAATCGTTCACTTTGAGCAACATACTGGGCAAAGAAATGCAACTTTGTCATTTTATTACATACCGCAGAGGCGCAGAGTAGTGGAATGACATCAACCAGACCAAGCAGATATAGGGAAAGTGAAGCTCAGTCAGCTACACTCATGAAAATGATCCATTGTGGTTCTCATTGTTCAACTTTTATAAACACAAATGCGCCAGTCAATACATAAAAGATTGCAGTAGACCATAAGTAAAACGACAGTACCAAATGCAAACGAAAGCTTTTCGAGCCGGGAGGATCAAAAGGTTACACATTTATGTACTCATTTTCCTGCTATATGAGATCACACAATTTTCAAGAACCTGAAACTCTGAAATACCAATATTTAGACACGTTACATTGTGTCTTAAATGGTTTGAAGGTTTCTCATTAACCAGCTCCTGTATTTGACATTCTTTTGTTTCATATGGTTAATGTTCCTGCTAAAATGAACCATGAGAGATGTGAACTATTTCTATATCATGTGTCTGTAATGTTGGTGGCTTGTGACTTGTGACTTGTGAGCTTCTTCTTGCACCTCATGTAAAGGCAGTGAGAGAGAGAGACGGCACACTGTTTCCTTCGGAAATCCTGGACGTTGTGATGTTTTTATCGTAGGCTTTGTGACAGGTAAATAAAAAACAGCATGTATGTTATGTTCAAAATGTCAAAACGGCAAGTAGTTTAATACTCATCCAACACCGTCGTCTTCTTCATCTGAAAATTGAGAAAAAAAAAAAGGTCACCGTAGTTTCTCTCAATCTAAACCCTAATTTTCTTCACCGTAATTCTCCCGAACATGGCAGAATCCGAATCTAAGATCTATCACGAACGACAACGATTACAATTTTGCCTCTTGCACTCCCTCAACAATCTATTTCAGGTGATTGATTCAATTTCTATTTCACTTCCAAAATTGCATCCTCCGAATCACTGATTAAGAGTTTTTGATATCACTCTCGTTTGATTTAGGACAAAGACGCATTCACTAGAGAAAGCTTGAACTCAATCGCAGAGAAGCTCGTGACCGATGATCCAAACAAAGAAACATGGACACCTCTCTCATTCCTCCTCAAGCCTCACCACAATACACTCACTGGTAACTACGACGTAAACGTGATGATTACAGCTCTTGAAGGAAAAGGCAAGAGTGTTGTTTGGCATGATAAGCGTAGTGGAGCTTCTTTAATTGATCTTGATGATGCAGATACTTTAATGGGTATTGTGTTGAATGTTCCTGTTAAGAGATATGGTGGACTTTGGAGAAGTAGGCATTGGGTTGTGGTTAGAAAAATCAATGGTGTTTGGTATAATTTGGATAGTGATCTCGTTGTGCCACAGCTGTTTAAAGATGATGATGAAGTTAGAGGGTTCTTGGATCAAAATATGAGTTTAGGTGGAGAGGTTTTGCTTGTGAATAATGCTTAAAGGTCAACAATGTGAGTTTCAATTTTCTGACTTCTCTCTGTATGTTATTGAATACTCATCAAGTGTGAAAATGTATCTAGTACATGTCTTGTAGTTTATATTCCAACATTGTTGATCACATTAGAGAAAATTTCAGTGAATTTGCTCCACTTATGAGTTTTGGAATTTCATGTCTCAAAATACAAAATCTTTTCTTTGGTGTCTATGAGTTAGACTGGTATGCTAAATGTTTTCACTTTCCACTCTAATTAGACTTGATGAAGTAGTTTTTGTATTCCTTATCGCGCTTTTGCAATTTTGAAACCTACCATTTATGTCTATCATCTTTCATTAGCATTTACAACCAGCTAATCAACCATTCATTGATTATTGCTCTGATCTCAATGATGTTCTCACATGTAAGAAATCATTCTCCAGAGGTTGATGTTTTATGTATGTCATGAAATTGTATGGTTATTATCTGCTTGCTGATATTCTTGTGCCCACCATTGACTTCGCTTTATTCTTGGTAGCCTCAAGTCTCAAGTAAGGTATCTGCAATTTATAAAGGTTAGTTTATCTCAGCCTCTCCACCAGTCAAAAGAATTTGTGCACAATTCGTTTGTGCACACACCTGAGTGATCATCAAATAGGAACAATACCGAAAGGTTGCTTCAAAGAAAGTACCTTTTTCGCTTAAACAAACGGTTTTAATACCTCTGTGGACCATCTTCTACTTACTTTCCCTAATGGAAATGTAGAAAAACGAAACAAATTGTCTTTTTCTTTCTCTCTTTGGCTAGCTTTGCTTTCCAAATTTCGGCGTTAGAGTTTTGATATCTTTAAATCTGTTAGCTGTTAGAAATCTTTGATATAAAGTATCTAAAGTAAGTATGAAATTGAACCTACCTACTATTCTTTTATTTGTATATGTTTTGAATGCCTACAGTACTCATGGCTTTAAGTGTTAACATGTCATTATTGATACATTATTAATAATCATGACTTCTCGGGTCTCTACCTGAACTCTTATAGGCAACTGTTTCAGCATCAATCCCTTTATATACTCTCCTTAAGTTTGTTCTCACAAACTACTCTCACTCTCTCTTGATATGTCAGCTACAGGAACAAAACGGTTCAATGCAAACACTAGACCAGTAACTCCTGGTAAGCAATCCTCAGTCAAGGGACCATATGGTAAGAATCCGGGATGCACAACAAGCTGTGGTTTGAGGCTACCGAGGAAAACGGAATGCACAGCAGCAAGACTGATCAGACATCTCAGCTGTAAATTCGTTTTGGGCTTACGTCTGGTGGTGATGAGGAAGAAGAAGAAGAAGAGATCTCCACCATTAAAGAAGGCTTCTTCTTCTGGTATATCTCAGCCTTCGGTCATCTCTGTCGTTAATGATAATAATCACAGATCAGACGCAATAGAAGACTGCATACAATTCATAAACTCATCTTCCTCCTTCACAAGATCAAGTTCTGACAGTGGGTGTAAATCTTAAGTTTTAGTTATGCCTTTACGTTTCGATAATATGTTTGCTACGCAATAGCATATTAGATAATTGCGTGTAATATCTATATGATATAAATATATATATAGAGCTGAATAGAGATTTTGAGTAATCTTGAGAAAGTGTGAGCTTTGATTATGTACAAAAAATCATCTGTGTATATCTTTCATCTACATAGTATTATTCATATGAGTTTGGCCTAAATCAACGAGCAGAAAGATCCTGAAGAATTTTCTGGCAAAAAAGGAATATTCCGGCAAGCTCTCAGACTGCAATGATACGTGTATAATCAGAGTCTGGCGTGAGGTGAAGTTGCACCTGATGAGAGGTCTTGGAGCTGAACTATTCACTGATAATTTACTATTCTCGGAATGGATCAATCGATTATCTTCTCTCCGGTTGAAAATAGATTCCATACGACGGTCCCAACAAGGTAAAGACCTACCGAAATCGTGAAAACGTCATCCCAAGAACCTGAGGCATTTCATGTCATTGCATGTTAATTTCATTGAGAACACAAAAAATTAACTTAAAAGAGTTTAATAAAGATTAAGCAAAGCATTGTCAGAATCAAGAAGTGTTTGAGAGTCCTGACCGTGTTGTAGGATGTGACCAGTCGCAGCTGTGCCAAGAACTCCGGCAAGTACTCCAGCAGTATTAGACAAACCAAGTAACACTCCCTGAAAAGACCAACAACATCAATGTGCTAATCCATTTTCTTTTGAGTAGCATGATTGATTAAGACTTGAGAGTAATTGACTAAACTTACAGAGTATCTTGGAGCAATGTCTTGATGGTTAGAGTAAAGACCAGACTGTGAAAACGCATCAGTCCCCTGGCTACAAGCCATGCACACAACTGCCATTGTAGGAGAATCTATGTGTTTCAGCTGTGTTAGGAAGAACGCTGGTCCAAGAAACCCAATTGTTTGCATTATCTGAATTTCATCATAGGACAGGAAGATAAAAGGGTTATTGAATGAATTACTTTTACTAGATCGCATTGAATTGGACTAAAGAAGTGACATGCAGGTACCTTGCGGACATTCGTGACAGAGAAACCTCGGCTGACGAGTGTATCAGCAATCCACCCACCAGCATTTGCAGATATCGCCATTGTCATCCATGGAAATACAGAGAGAAGTCCTGATTCCATTAGGTTGAACTTCAGCACCTGCCTCACAACCGTCCATATGATTCATGATCAGAAAACAAATAAAACATCAAGCCCCTTGATTAAAAGACAGTAATAGAACTGACTTGATGGTAATAAGTTGGCATCCAGGTTAAGAGAATGAATGTTCCCCAGTTGTGACAAAAGTGGCAACTGATGAGAGCCCAAACCGGTGGTTTCGACAATATCAGCCTCCACGGGATCGACTTCACTGGCTCTTTGCTGGCACAGTTGTCTGCAATTAGCTTTCTTTCTTCAGGGAGCAATGTTGGATCTTCTAATGGTGAACTCTCTGCCTATAATTAGTAACAAGTAACAACACACGTTAATGGTAATGAGACATGGGATCTAGAACTAGTTAAGAAGAGTTAAGAAGTCTGACCTTAGTTAGCCACAGAGTCAACCATACAGTTCCAAGAGACCCAAAAGAGTAAAACACAGAGGGCCATCCAAACTGATGAATCAAGAAAGGCGAAAAGGCTAAACCGGTGACAGATCCAAGGTACATTCCGCTGTAAACAAGCGCGAGCGATCTGCTTCTCTCTTGCACAGGCACCCACTTCGACAATATATTGTTCATAGCAGGCATTGCAACACCCTATAGAAACCAAGGAGATTAACTTCTCCTTATCGACATACACAAATCCTAGACTGATATCTAAAATCATAAAAAAGTAATCACAAACCTCTCCAACTCCCATGAAAGCACGAACAACGAGCAAGTACGGAAGACCGAGTTTAGCAGCTACCGGAGTGAGAATTGTAGCGATTGACCACCAGATAACACCGAATCCAAGAACCCTTTTTCCTCCAACTGTGTCTGCCCATATTCCACCAGCTATCTATCATATCAACAAACCAATGATTCAAATACACAACTTATTGATTCAAATGTGACAGCTAGTGAGAATCATTTGAAAAACATTGATCATCTAAAAAAAGAAAGTGGAAAGTCTACAAAGAAACCTCTAATTAAGGAATCAAGGAAAAAAGCTTACCTGTGTAAGAAGGTAACCCCAGAAGAAAGAAGACTGAATCAGACCAACAGTTGCCGGATTCCAACCGTACTCAGCCGACATCGGAAGTATTGCTATACTCATATTCACCTGTTAAAACATCATCTGTCCCAAATTGATAACTCCAATAACTCTAATTGATCAAAACCCAATTCCAAAAAACTTTTAATTCTCATAAAAATTCAATCTTTTTTGCTACTTACTCTGTCCATATTGCAGAGAAGAAAAGCTGAGAAACAGAGTAACACAATCACCCACCGCTTCGGAAACTCTTCCCACCATGGAACAACCGAGCTAGGCGAATCAGAAACGACGTCGTTGGTTCTATTTACTCCATCTCTATCTACGTAATAAGAATTACTGCTTTCTCTTTTGTCGGAGCTCCGAACTAATACCCGGAAAACGCCGGACCGATTACGCGAGTAGATCCATACCCGTAACGAATTTGGAGCTGGTTTGAGATTACGGAGGCTGCGAGAAGAAGTGGGTTTTTCAGGTGGACGATTTGAAGTGTAGAGAGAGTGAAGATTTGGAGAGCAAAGAAGAGCTCTCGCGTTCATGGCGGATATAGATTTTTTTTTTCTCCTCTGTTTTTTTTTTCTTCTTTGTTTTGAAAGAGAGGAACTGATTTTTTTTGAAGATCGTGGCTGACGTGACGACATGTGGCGGTTAGATATTGGTTGGGTGAAGATGTCATAATCTAACGGGAAGTAACTAACGGTTAACAGAATTATTGGAGGTCCATGAGTCATAAAGCCCATAAGAGGCCCAATTAAGCTTGCACACCAAAAAACACTGCGAGATTAACTTCGTTGTTTACCTTTCCCAAATAAAATAAAATCTCGTGAAGAAGATCATATGAGGCTTTGCAGATTCGAACATAACAATGGAGAATCTCCTTGTTGATATCCGCAGTAGGGCGGATCGCTTCACCGAATTCTCGTTTTCCGACAAATTATCTAAACTAGTTCATCGACAACAAGTTACTATTCATACTCAATTCAACCTTCCTATGTCTAAGGAGTTGTTTCTTTCAAGATTATGTAAACTTTTTCTAACACCTAATAAAAGACGTTAAAAACAAAATCTTGAATATGAAGTCAGGTGGGATATGAAAACAAAAGAAATGCGAAAGTAATACCATTAACAAAAAAAAATTCTGTGATATAATATTTAAGGATATGACCAATGATCTACTTTATGTGGAATAAAGGCAGGATCCAAAGGTGGAACTGAAACCCCCCCCTAATTACGTTCATAAAGATGCGAAAGAATATTTAATCCGACAATAAATTAAGTATAAATGAAATTGGTTAAAATAACTTAAATAAGTAATAACGCTACGAGCTAAATTTAGTTAGTGTACAAAAATAATACTATGGTGTTAGTAAACGACTAATTAATACTATGGTGTAAAAATATCATTTTTGTGAAATGGATGATGAAGCAGAATAGACAAAGGTAACAATTTGTATTCTTAGTGGACAATCTTTGAATATTTGTTTTCCATTATTTTCAGTCCAATTTTTTTTTGTGATTTAAATGAAATGTATAAAAGAACAATAATTGAATCATATGTAGATCGAATAAAGAATCCAAACTTGTAACAAAATCACAATTAGTAGAAGAATAAACTCCTTATCTTTTTTTTTTCTTAGGTCCAAGATTATAGGGGTGAGAATGATGTAAAATTGTGGTGCGGCAGATTTACTCATCGAAGGTGTCCCTTCTTGTCTACCATAAGAATTTCCTAGCTTAGGCTTTTATGACTGCCACTTTTATTTATTTTATTCTGCTTTTTAAGTCATCATTATTAGGGACTCTCATTATTATCGTGTATGTTAAATTATTTCTTTTTTGCATGCGTTATCCATTTACCAACATCTAAAATATTTTGTCGTGAAGGTCTTCCAAAATCTAAACCAAACGTAAAATTTCTTTACCAGTAATTCAATATTCCTCTTAAAAAAACAGTTTTCGATTTTCATCAATTAATATAACGACGTAACGAGATTACTAAACTATACGGAATTACGGATCATGCATGTTGTTGATCTATCGTCACGTAATATTATATATATTGTAGGTGTAATTAAACTAAAACCTAAGTTATGATATTCAATTCAAAACCGTCCAATTCAAAAACATGAAATAATGATATAGTGTCCTGTTACTTATTAGGGCCGTACCAGTCACTAAACAAGAAGGCAAGTTTCATTTCTCAAGAGCTAAAACGCAAACTTAGGCCGTAAGACACATGCAATGCCCACTTCATGTGGATGGAGACAGGAAGAGTTTCGAAATGACCCACTTTCCAAAAGTACATACTTCTCTCACGTGGCCCACTTCTTCAATTATCATTCACCATTTCAATCATTCATCACTAACTTTCCTTTCTCTATTATTTTATTTCTACATTTATTAGCTAAACGACATCTAAGTTATAACCAAATTACCCTTTCTTGATTTGGTTATATAGGAGAAAAAAATAATACGCGTTTTGTAGTTTAAACAATGTGATATTCTCTACCGACAATATGATGAATATAATTTATCTAACCAAGTGGTAGTAATTAATCTTATGACCTTCAATCGTTATCCTATATATTAGTTGAGCCTACGAATTGATTTTTGATAGGCACATCTTTTCTTAATCAATCCAAATCTTACATGGCATATATAATCTCATAGTGTCAAATTTGACGACTTTCCATCAAATGTAGTGATATTCATTGTATTTTCTTTTTTTTATACAGTGTATTTTTAAGAAGAAAAAAAGGTGCCGCAAAGCCACGATTGATTGTAATGACATTTATATTAAGCAAAACGAATCAAACCATTTGAGATCACTTAACACCTCTAACTGCCACTTGATTATTTCGTTTTTCTTTTCCTGAAAGCGAAACCTTGACCTATAGTTTTTGTCATGTAATGTCTAAATCACAAAAGCCTAATTAACCTGAATGAAACATTTTTATAAATAGGATATTTTGTTGCTAAATTAGTTATGGTCATATGCATGGATGTGTGCATGGATCTAAGCAAACACATATGCACTGATGAGGCGCAGAGATTAGAAATGAGACATGTGCACGTGTTCCTCTGTCTACGTCCACATCCTAAGCAACAAAAATTTGTGAAAATCAATTATTTATATTAACAAGTTATGTGTTGCCTTGGATTCCTCACAATTTCGAGTTTGGCTTCTGTATTATTGTATAATACATTGTACACAATAATATAAATGTAATTACATAACATCGTACAAATAATTGAGAAAAGAATGGAGAATAGATTCTATAGAAAGAAGAAGAGAAGATAATTCTGTATAGAGAGTTAAAACATTGAGATATCAGTGTAATGAATAACAAACACTAAACACCCAACATGGGTAGCTAATTAAGCTCCTCTGGTGGTAGAGTTTGGTATTGGCGAAAGTAGTTGTGTCTTGCGACTTTGTTGAAGTTGGGGGAATGATTTATGCCTGTTAAAAGATACCATCACTCGTTAGCAAGGGTCTAAAACCTAGAATTTCCAAGTTAACAAAAAAGTAATATATGCAACTAAACTATGTTAAGAGGAGGGAGCACTGTTCTAAAATACACGTCCTAGGCGGTAGTCGGACGGTGGATCATCGTATAGCGCCTACCGTCCGACTACCGACTAAACTCATTTATTTAGATTTATAGCGTATTTTAGAAGTAGAGGATCTAGTTTAGTCCAACCCCAAAGTTTCGTAGATCTCATAAAAGAAAAAAAGATAATAAAGATTATTCGAATTCGTTTTTTCTTCAAAAACACAAAAATAAAATTAGATAAACCTTTGGATAACAAATAAAACTTTCATCCAAAATGCGAGAGAAATCGATAGAATCCTACTAAGATCATCAAGATATAAAATTCAGTGAAGGAAAAAAGACAACGTACACTCACTCATATGCACACACGAACCAATGCATCGGTAAGATTCGCATAAACATACAAAATAGCAGTAAAACAGTAAACAAACAAAAACAAAAATTAAAGTGAGGAGACAAATATTCTAACAAAAAAATAAAAAGACATAAAATAGCGTCACACCTACTCTTTCTTCTTCTACCTTTAGTATATCTCCCTCCTGTCTTCATACTCCTTTACACTCCTCTCCTTCATCATTTCTTCTTCTTTACACCTCCTCCAATGGTAGAATCTCCCATTCACTAACTTTCTCTCTGCATACCAATTCCAAAGTCTCGTCAATGGCGGCTCGAAAACTCGGTTCGTTGTTACGTCAATACTTTTTCTCTCTATGCTTCCTCTTCCTCGGTTGCTTCTTCTTCCCTAAAGACGCAGACCTTAAACAAAAGAGAAGGAAGAAGAAACTTAGAACAGTTTCTCCATCTTCTGGTTCAGCTCTATCATCTTCTTGGACGTACTTAAAACGAGTTTTCTTATCAACAACAAGGATATCTAAATCCCGTAACCAAACACATCCTAACGCTACTTTAACATCCGCAAGATCATCTCAAAACTCACTCGTCACTCTCGTCCAACCCGATACCACAAACCAACCCGACCCGGAAACCCATATTCAACAACAAACCGAATTCGAGATCTCGTGTGGCGAGATTTTTCATTGTAACTCGTGTGGCGAGATTTTCCCCAGAATCAATCTCCTCGAAAACCACATCGCGATCAAACACGCCGTGTCGGAGCTAATCGCCGGAGAATCAAGCACGAACATCGTCAAGATCATATTCAAATCTGGTTGGCCGGAACAAGGTAATCACAAATCTCCGGTGATCAATCGAATCTTAAAAATCCACAACAGTCAAAAGATTCTCACCAGATTCGAAGAGTATCGTGAATTCGTGAAAGCTAAAGCCGCTCGTAGCAACGGCGGTGGAAGACGGTGGGACGATGAACGTTGCGTCGCCGACGGGAACGAGCTTTTACGATTCTACTGCTCGACGTTTATGTGTGATCTAGGGCAAAACGGTAAATCGAATCTCTGTGGTCATCAGTATTGTAGCATCTGTGGTATCATCGGATCTGGATTCTCGCCGAAGCTCGACGGAATCGCGACGTTGGCGACGGGGTGGAGAGGACACGTGGCGGTTCCGGAGGAGGTTGAAGAAGAGTTTGGGTTTATGAATGTGAAACGGGCCATGTTGGTTTGTCGGGTCGTAGCGGGTCGGGTCGGGTGTGATTTGATGGATGATGATGACGTGGATAAGAGTGATGGTGGAGGGTATGATTCTCTGGTTGGGCAGAGTGGGAACAAGAGTGGGGCTCTTTTGAGGATCGACGATGATGAGCTTTTGGTTTTTAATCCAAGGGCTGTGCTTCCTTGTTTTGTTATTGTGTATACTGTGTAACCGGTTTTGTGATCCTGTGTGTTTTGTTTATATTTTGTTACAATTGTGAAGTGTGAAACGCTTAGGTTTGTTTGGGAAAATGGTAAAATCTTTGTGGTGAGTTTCAATATGATCTAGGTACATTTTGAGAGGTTATGTGACTAAAGATTTAAAAGATAGTTCAACCGAAACATTTAGTCTAATAGTTTATGTTTAATAGTCGATATTGTCGAATGCGATATATGTTTGATTGTAAAGCATTTAGTCTAAAAGTTTCTGTTATAGTCGATTTCGTAGAATCCTATATATGTTTTAGTTTTTGTTATAGTCGATTTAGTTGAATCCAAATTAACAAACATTAGCACAAGACCAAATCATATAGGGATTAACCACTAAATGATCCTTTTCATATTCCTTTGTTGAATAATTGATTAAAGGAAGAAAATGGTACAGAACTCTATAAATATAAAAAGTTTTTAACTAAAGTAAACACTTTTTTTTGTTGGGCCGGGGGGTCAACTAAAGTAAACACTTTAGAGCATCTTTAACGCTAGTCTCTTAGGGTGATCTTAGTTTAAATGCAGAATTAAATTAAATCAGAAATCTCGTTTATAACCCTTGTTCTAAAAATCGGCCGCCTAGCCGCCTAGGCGGCCGCCTAGGCGCTGATCGGGTGGGGACCGCGGCGATTTTGTCCAAATCGGTAAAAAAAATCGGTGATCCGATTTTTGTCCGCCTAGACCGCCTAGGCGTCCGCCTAGCCCGCCTAGACGGCGCCTAGCCCAATTTTTTTTTTTTTTTTTTTACATTTTTTTTTTTTTTTTTGATCTAAAATTCAAAACGTCCCACTTATATTCATAATTTGTATAAAAATCATAAGTTTGACCTTAAATTCTTGTTTTCATGTGTTTAATGCAATTTTAAAAACAAGATTATATAAATTTCTTATTTATAATAGATTAATATGTTTTAAAAACATTAAATAGCCCTAAAACTAATCCCCGATTAATCCCCGTGTAATCTCCGATTTTCTTACTAGGCGCTAGGCGCACCCTCACCATCCGACTAGCGCCTAGCGATTTTTTGAACACGGTTTATAACTAAGAACGTCTCTTACTTAAGAGACAAAACTAATGTTAAGAGACGTCCACGTGGCGCTTTTTTTCTTTCTTTCTTTCTCTTTCTCTCTCTCAAATCGCGAAAACAAAGACGATGTCGGAAACTCATGCGAGCACCGATCGGTATTTCAAGGTATGAATTTCTATCTGATTGTGTGAATTGATGTGATTTAAGTATGTACAAATTAAGCTTCTGCTTGAGATCGAAATCGAATGGAGTAGGAAAAAAATCTCAATGGATGCTGATGACGATTTCTACAGCGGCACCGAAAACTACTCTGATTACGCTGACTCCGACGAATATGATGCCGACGCCGATTACGAGTTCGTTGAAGACGCCGCTGATGATTCCAATGACCTTATCTTCCGCCGCTGCCTGGTTTTTCCTCTCATCTTTCTGGATCTATTTCTTAATCAAATTGAAATTAATGTTGTTTCCAATACAGAGAGAGATTTTGTAGTCAAGTTTTGGTTTCGGAAATAATTGCAGGACTTTTTCTGTAATATTGATGATGATTTGAAATGAATTGAGAAAATTTATAGATTTAGAGCTTCGTCACTCTATAATGTGGTAGAATTGGTTGTGGTGGTTTTGAAGTTGTTTTGACTTAATATGCACAATTTACAAAAGTAGGCCACTAACTCGTCTTGTAGGATTCTCAGATTTATAACAGCCTCTCAAGGTTTTTGTTCTTTCATTGAGATATAGTCACTAGTATCTGTAAATTCATTCCCTTCCAAATTAATATATCTGATTGTTAATTTGGGTCTTTGTTCATGCCTTTGTTTGTAGGCTATTCGATGTGAAGCCTTCACGCACATGGAGGGTGAGATAGACCTGTAGATTTCATGCAATGGCTTTCAAATTATAGGTTGATGGTGAAAGGAAAGTTTGAACGTGTGAGTGGGGACTAATGTTGGCGGTGGTACCTATTGGGGATTAGGAAGACTTCTAACGAAGTGCAAGAGGTTACAACAATAGATTTAACTCATTGTTGAGTATGATTTCCGGGAAACATCCAAGGATTCGGGTACCGTCGCCGCATCAACTCCAACTCCAGCTTTTTATCGTCCAAGATCTTCGTCGGTGAGCCACAGCTCGTCTTCATAAAGCTTGATGTCTGATATGAAAATGCTTTTGCCATGTTCTCAATTTCTTTTATGTTCATACACTCAAATGTAACCAAAACTTCATATACTCAAATCAATCACTAAAGTTTATACACTCAAATGTAACCAAAATTTCTTTCTTTCTTGTCTAGTTTCATACACTTAAACACTTTGCTATATATATGTTGTAACCAAATTTTTAAAAAATCAAAACACTTCAAAACACTTAAAAATTTTGAAAACCAAAACATTTCAAATTTTTAAGAACCAAATCACTTCAAAACACTTTTTTGTCATATGGACAAAATATTCCATAAATCAAGTTTAAAACAATTGTGGTTTATGTTATTTATGTTATAAATTGTATCTCATGTATGTTTTAATTTTTTTAATTTGCAACAATTATTAAATTTTCTATAATTATAAATTTTATTTTTATATTAATATTTTTTTTTCTAAGAACCACATGTTAAGAGTCTACCATTAATCACTCAAAAATCTTAACTCAAAAATACTATCTCTTAACAATCACTTTTACAAATAAATTATTTAAATATTGCTAAGAAGTATTTCTAAGAGACTACCTATAATCATGCTCTTAGGTTGGTGTTTAGTGCTTTAATCAGGAAATTAATCGATCTATCGGATTCACAACAAATTCAACTAGTGATTTTTTTTCTTTATCTTGGGGGTTTGTGTTAATTGACCCTCACTGTTGGGTCATAACCCTGTTTTATAGACAAACTTCGTGAACACTCTTAGTGGACATGCAAATTCTCGCTTTATAGGTGAAAATTATTTCTTTGATTTTCTTGTTGATATTTCGATTAGAGAAGTAATGTAACTTTTATTGGTTCCCCTATTTTGATATAGAAACTCAAATTACAAAGCTATTATATTGAGCGTATTAACTCGTGAGAGTACATTACATAAGAATTCGTGTCATGCATGCGTAATGCGTTTATATAGGCCCAAACTGCATTGAACATGATTAAAAGCATAACAATGATTCTGATGTTTTTAAAATTATAAAGAAATTATTGGCTTATTGTAGTGCCATTTCGTAAATCTTCACCCCTTAAGAGGCATGAGACGAAAATGGTGGCAATTTTGTTTGTTGAATAAGCAAACAAAAGGACATATGGCTCGTGAGCAAGATATAAATCCTTGTAATAGTGCAGCACAACCCCATTCCAGTGGAGACCTCTATGACTCAATCTATAAATTGAAAAAGTAATATGCAAAAGCCACCAACACATGTCATTCTATATGAACACTTCTAGGTATCTCATCTCATATACAATATGTAATAAGAAATTTATTTACAAGTCTAAGAACGTAATGACAAACCAATGAATCGAACAATTGCTCCACCAACTTAACCAGAGGAAAGTACAAAAAAAGCCTTGAACGGTATTGAGTGAAAGATTTGAGTATCGTATATTGTACCTTGTTATAATCTCAACGAGTCAAAATTGCAAGTTGTAACAAAGATGAAAGATATCGTCTAGCACATATTTTCGTGCATTATGGTTGGACGATATATACCATCACTCTTAAAAAAATCCATAATTTTGATGATCCTTTTAAAAAAAAAAAATTATTTATAAGGGAACCAAATTAAAGCCCATGAATGAAGAGGAATGCAATAGAATCTCAAGAAATTTGGGCTTTCTAAATTGATTAAAAGCCTATGAATAACTCCAAGAAACATAAATCATCTAGTTTAGGTTTTTTTCAAATAGATTCAATGTGGCAGCACATAATTGGTCTAAAATAAAGAAAAACTGGTTATGTAGATATTTGCATCCCCCAAGTTGACATATACATGATTCACAATTATCCCAAGTAGTTTAAACCACAATTATGTTATACTTACAAGTCACAACATCAATATACATAAGACAGTCATGAGTTTTAGACAGTCTTATGACTTTAATAAACCTTTTTGCACATTTTTAGAGTTTATTTTTTGAATTTACAAATAAAAAATGAATTGATTATTTCAAAACCGTTAATTTGTATTTCTTTCATTTTTTTATTTTTTGTTTTATTTTATTTTGTATAATAAGTTGTTATTATTATTTATTACAAAGCGGAAAAGGCATTTTAATGTCTCGATTTTTTTGATAAAAATAAAAAATCCACATATATGGTTTTCCAGCTTAGCAAAATTGTCAGGTCTCTGATGGATGAAATATATACAAAAGGTAGATAAGTGATTTAATCAATTCTTAATTCAAGCATGGACATGAGATTGATGAAATCACTAATATGCATGTTGGTTTAGTGATCTCATCAATTTCTTTTTGTTTTTTTTTGTTTTTTTCTTAGAGAGTTTTCCCCAAGGGTTACTGATCACTCTTAAAGTCTCATCCCACATAAGGACTTGACGATGGTCAGAATGACAGCTCTTCCATTTTTATTAAGCCGCTATATCATCCTTGCACAGTTGTGTTTACAATTTCTTATCTCAAACATGGACACAAATGAATAAAATAATTTTGAGTGTTTTTTGTGCAATTCTTAAATTTAAACTCGACTTCTTAATCATTTGAGTGCTATATTGCTGCAAAATTTTCATTTGAAAAGTTTGTCAAACATCAACTGTTAATTAGATCGACAAAAACCAACATATATATGTAGAAGATATAGAAATGAATTCATTTACAAAATTTTGTAAATAACATCACAAGAGTTGAATCGAAAAGCAAGATCAACTTAGTAAAATATAACTAATAGGAAAAGGCTAAGAAACTCGTAATACTAATTAAATGTTGTTCACCTCTTAAAGAATATCATCAACTGTCAAACTGCATCACTAATGTGGAAAATTTTAGTACCTACATATATTAATCTATTTCCTAATTGTATGTATTTTCAATTGAGGTTTAATAAGTTTAGAACGTTTGAGAAGATCGTTAGCAGAATAAGGGTTTGGAAAAGAAAAGCTTTTCGTTCTAATAATTGCTGGTGACAAAGGATATGCAGATATTTTAACAGACTTAAGATCAAAAGATATGGTTATTGGGTTAATCTAATAAGGAGGCTTAGAATCAGCATAATTAATACAACTACTTGACTTTGGTCTCATGTGGTCTTGGGTAACTCCTATAGGTCGGTAATTGTATCAGAATGGTAAATTAGATCTGAAAAAGTTTGTTCTTCAACCTTATGTTCCCAGAAAACATTTTACTTAAACTTAAAGGTACATGCTTTCATCCAAAGAAGAGCGATAAGGTTGGTGGCGGAAATCAAGGAGGAGGTGGGAATCAAAGTTGGTAGAGTTGTACTCCGTCGTTCCGTAAAATTTTTAGTACCGAGTCTTAATAAGAGTCTTGAGAGTATAACATACTTAGCGGATGTAGAGGAAGAAAAGGAAGAGAAGTCTCTCACCAAATGGAGATAAAAAATCATGAAAAAATTCTTGTAATAAAGTATATGAATATGTAATAATAATATTAGATTGGTAAGAGACTCAATAAGTTTCTCAGCTCTTAGTTACACTAAAAAATAATATTGCCATCTAAATCAGTTATATGGCAAATAAATACAGTGGAGCGAAACATGCCGAAATTGCATTACGATTTTAGTGTTTTGACAAGTTAGTAGTACCCTATGTGCGAACCAATAAAGGAGAAGGAAACACACTTGGTTCCACGACATAGGCTCAATTATGAGTCATAAGCCAAGGCGGTGGGATCAGCTCCGATCTCATGTGCTCTATCTCCCTCAGTCACGTGCTCAACTACCACCAAACCAAACCAAGATATTTTCTTCCTGATCGCAACCATAAGGATTTAATTAACTCTTTTACTCACCGATCCTTGGTGACAAACATGCATTACATAATACATAAATATGGTATGCAGTATGCACATATGAGTATATTCATTAGTTGTACTTTTTTTTTTTTTTTGATAGGCATTAGTTGTACTTTGTTGTATACAATATTTTATATAGAGAAACTTTGATGTTGCACCATCTTATCTAGATGGTGTCTTCATGAGACTCGTCGTCAAGAGGGAAACACGTGTCGTCACCGCCAGTATTCCACAAGAAATTGGCGTAATTAGCAGCATAGTAAGAGTTGGTCGGATCAGCATCGATTGCTTCCAAGAAAGTCTCCTCAGCCGCCCAAAGATCGTCCCGTGCTCTCCATAAGAACGTCGCATATTTGCTAAGCGCCTCTGCGTCTTTCGGTTCCACTCCTACCGCTCTTTTGAAGTACTCTTCCGCTCTGTTTACACAATATCACATGAAATCACGTGAGAACTTATTCAATAGAGATATGTAAAAGACATGTGGAACGTATTAATGATGAAATGAATAACGCCAAAAGTGTTGCGTGTGAAAATTAAATTTCCATATTAGTCAAAGATGAATTGGTAACGGTTGTAAAATGTGATAGAATTGTCTCATATTAACAAGAAAGATTGGTTAGGAATAAATATCTAATCATTCACCGTGTCAATAAAATCAATAATGCTTGTTAAACCCGATTGCAAAAGAATGCTACATTCTAGAAATACTAACTATAAAGCCAATGACAAAAACATGGGTTAATTAAATTGGGTGGGAGATAAAATCTAGAAGACAAATTGTGAGGCAGCGACTTTTGTTGTTGGGTTATGGTGGGGTGTCTTTAAAACACAACCGTAAACTCCACTATCACTAAACCTCCAAAGACTCAAAGCTCATTGGCTTGAACTAATCCCTAACACTGACTGAGAGGTATGTTATAATTTTCTTTATTCATTCTCTGTTAGATATTTATGTAATGTCGTTTTTCCTCAAAGAGGAAATGAATTGGTTGGTTTATATTTCTGCTGATGCGATTATTATGACAATTATGATTTTCCACAATCTGCCCCACTAGTGAATAGAAAAATCATCGAGGTCTGCGCCGACTTTTGACACTATGCATCAACTTGCAGCCTCAGAAATTCACAACCCAAAGAATCTAAAAGGAAGATTCGACCTTAACTTTGAAACCAAATCTACTTAAGCTAAACTAAGATTAACATAATTTAACTAAAAAACATGATTAAAGTGTGAGAGTAAAAATGTTTAGTTACCTGTCATGGTCATTAGAGACGAGGTAAAGGAACTGAGCATAGTTAGCAAGCAAGAGAGGATTCTTAGGCTCTTGAGACAGTCCTGTTTGGTACATAAGCTCTGTTTTGAAGTAACCCATGTCTTCCTCTGCTTCTACTCGAGCTTCCACATGAGACACAAACCGCTTCCTCGTCTCTTGATCCAACGAGTCATCAATATTTGAATACTGCATTCGTTCTGCTTCCTCCACCATCGAATTCCACAGCCTATGTTCATCTTGTCCCGATACCGACGGCTCTGACTCTGAAGTCGTTGACCCGAAAGTCGACGATGACAATTGAGAAACTCCTTCGGGTATTATTGTTCTGAACTGTTCTGATCCATCGAATCCATCACCATCTGTTCCACTTAACACCGGACGAATGTTTCCACCGCCACCATTATTGTTACCACCAACTGAAGTAGTACTCCCACTAGAAGACGATACAAAGAACGTTTTCACCATCGAGGAATCAAACTTCACGTTCGTTTCATCAGTTTCACTAGTCGTTAACTCTGTAATCGTCGGAGGAAGAGGAGCGGCTAAAGCGGAGTTGTTGCTACCAATCGAATAAACCGTGAAATTGGCTAAGAGTATCATAACATAAACCATCAACGTAGGAGTAGCAGAGAAAACTTGTTGAAACAACCAAACGAAAGATTGTTGCATCTCTTCTCTAACTCTTAGCAAAATCCCTTGCAAGTCTTCGTAAAACAGAATCTCTCTCATATGTAAAGTAAAGCTCTGAAGCTCCCGAATCATAAACACCATTGAAGAAAAAGCTTTATTCATCGAGCAACACGCTGATTCACTGGCTTGTTTAACTCCTTCTTCCCATTGTCGTTTCTTCTTTATGATACGAAGTGATAGAGGAAGATCAACACTGTTTGCTTTCATTTCAATACTCGACAAATGAACCATCTCATGCCATGGTGGCTCGATTGAATTAGCTTTGTAATCGTGAATTATCATCGGCTCTGAATTGTCGTCGTCGTTTTGGTTTGGGACATTGAATCTGAGAGTTAGCTCTTGGATTTTTTTGGAAAACTCTTCGTCGGAGAATGGATCTAAGTGTGCGCTATAAACTCTTCGAATTGACTTAGTTTTGATCGGTCTAGATGATGATGATGATTCCCATAGCTCACAGGATTTGGAGCGGTGAAGCTTCGTCGACGGAGTTCCGAAAAGAGCCGAACGGTTCAGTCTCCTCTGTGGCATGAAACGACATGATAGAAACCGTCCGTCGTGTACGGTGCTACGTCGTTTTGAAGGAGATGATATGGCTCCGGAAGCTAGGGTTTGAGAAGGTGAAGAAGACTGATGAACGAGAGGCTGATTCGTCCATCGAAGGAAAGGAGATGAAGAAGCTACTTTCACCCCCATGCGACAATTTCTGCTAGAGATCAAATCTGAATTGAAGTTTCTTCAACAATGGCTTGATTCAAAATTTCCTGTAAATCAAAAGAGAAATTGAATGAGACTGAATCATTACAGATATCACGAGAATCGATGAAAATTCGTCTAGAAAAGTCTTGAGAAATCTTCGATATAACGAATTAGCGAGTCAAATGAGAAGAAATAGGTAAAGAGAGGAAGAAAAAACTCACCGGCGATGAATCGTAAATTACGTCTGAAATTTTCTCGGAGGAAAAAGAAACTTTCTCGGGAAAATCTTGAGGAAGGCGCTTCACTTTATTTTAGTAGAACGCGGAGAGAGAGAGAGAGTGAGAAGATGAGCTTTATATACAGATGCGAAGGAAGGGTTTGTTGGGAAAAACGGTCTATTTCCCCCCCCCCGATAACTATCGTATCTGGCCAGATAGAGCCCGATCTTTGACCTCTGTCTATATATCCATAAAACGGAAGTTAAATGTTTATTTCCCCACCAATTGAAAGTTCGAGAGCTTAATGTCCATGAATCCTAAGTTCGAGATTTAAAACCCCATAGCGCTGGGTTTAATTGGTTTACTATATACCAAACCGATGCTTTAACCACGTAAACCTAATTAGAACCAGCCTAAACCCGTTTACAACCCGTTTTTCCCCCATATTACAACCCGTTTACAACCCAGCCTAAACCATTACCCGAAAAAACAAATCGAAACCTAAAACTAAAACCTAAATCGAAAATCCCCAATTTTCTCTCGACGAACCCTAACTTTTCCCCGAGTTTGATCGATGTCGTTAGCCCTTCACGACCCTGATCTTGTTGGTGATGTCGATCCCGAAGCTGAAGACAGAGATGAGTTTCACATGGAAGAACTGCTAAAGGAGTGGACCGACGAACCACCAATTCGCCACGATGTGTACCCGGAGAGTGATGATGAGGAAAACGCCGACGGTTCTGGAAGATTTGACACACATATCAGGCGTGGTGATGGGTTTTTGTACCACAAGCAGAGTTTTTTCAGTGGGGTTGCGTTCAAAGAGGCGGTAGTTGATTACGCTCTCAGAACCGGCTGCAATATAAAGCAGTACAGGTATGATTCCGATAAAATTGGGTTCATATGTGTTGGTTGTGATGGGAAAAAAGGTGGAGCTAAGTGTGAGTGGAAAGTTTATGCGGCCATTCTCAAGAGTGATAATATGTGGAAGATTAGGAAGTTTGTTGACACACATAGCTGTATCCCTAATGGAGAATGTGAGATGTTTAAAGTGCCACATATAGCTAGGTTATTTGTTGATAAGATTAGGGATAGTCCTGAATTTTACATGCCCGCAAAGATTGAAGAAATAATTATGGAACAATGGAAGATTAGTGTCACTAGGAATCAATGTCAGTCTGCGAGAAAGAAGGCTTTGCAATGGATTGAGAAAGAGTATGATGATCAATTTGCAAGATTAAGGGATTATGCGGCTGAGATAGTTGAATCAAACAAGGATTCACGGGTTGAAGTTGAATGTCTCACGAGTGCTGAAGGTAAAGACATGTTCAATCGGTTCTATGTATGTTTTGACAGTCTTAGAAAGACATGGAAGGAGTCTTGTAGGCCTCTAATAGGCATTGATGGTTGTTTTCTAAAGAATAAGGTTAAGGGACAGTTACTTGTAGCCTTAGGTAGGGATGCAAACAATCGCATATATCCTATTGCTTGGGGAGTTGCTAAAGTAGAGAACACTATAAACTGGGTGTGGTTTATTAAGCTGCTGAAAGAAGACTTCGGATTAAGGGATGGTGAAGGCTTCATCATGATATCTGATAGGCAAAAGGTAGCTTACCTTGTCTTGTATTTGTTTTATTGTCATTTGTGTCTGTTTAGTGTTATCTAATGTTTGTCTGATTTTATTGTTTTAGGGTTTAATCAAAGCGGTTGAGCTTGAGTTACCCAAGATAGAGCATCGGATGTGTGTACAACACATCTATGGGAACTTGAAGAAGATTTATGGCAGCAAAACAAGGATAAAACCACTGCTATGGAATTTGGCTTGGTCTTATAATGAGCATGAGTATAAGCAGCATTTGGAGAAGATACGGTGCTATGACACTAAGGTCTATGAGTCTGTGATGAAGACAAATCCTAGGAGTTGGGTTAGGGCATTCCAAAAGATAGGCAGCTTCTGTGAGGACGTTGACAACAACTCAGTGGAGTCTTTCAACGGATCTTTGAACAAGGCAAGAGAGAAGCCATTTGTTGCGATGTTAGAGACAATCAGAAGAATGGCAATGGTGAGGATTGCCAAAAGGTCTGTTGAATCGCATACTCACACAGGTTAGCTACTCTATTAAGCCTTGTTATTTCTCTGATTTTGACTTTAAAACATATATTTCTCTGATTTCTCTGATTTTGACCTTAGCTACTCTTGACTTTAAAGCATATATTTCTCTGATTTTGCAGGTGTCTGTACACCTTATGTTACAAAGTTCTTAGCTGGTGAGCACAAGGTCGCTTCTAATGCGAAGGTGGCTCCAAGTACCAATGGGATGTATGAAGTCAGGCATGGTGGAGATCTTCACCGTGTAGACTTGAAGGCTTACACTTGTACCTGCATCAAGTGGCAGATTTGTGGAATCCCGTGTGAGCATGCATATGGTGTCATCCTCCACAAGAAGCTTGAACCAGAGAACTTTGTATGTCAATGGTTTAGGACAGCAATGTGGAAGAAGAATTACACAGATGGCCTCTTTCCACAAAGGGGTCCTAAGTTCTGGCCCGAGAGTAATGGTCCGAGAGTGTATGTACCTGAGCCACCAGAAGGAGAAGAAGACAAGAAGATGACAAAGGCTGAGAAGAAAAGGAAAAAGGGTGTGAATGAGTCTCCTACTAAGAAGCAGCCAAAGGCTAAGAAAAGAATCATGCATTGTGGAGTTTGTGGGGCAGCTGATCATAATTCAAGACACCATAATAAAGACAAGGTTTGTGGTTAGATAATCTATGACATTTTGGTTCTCTCTTGTTGGATTATGCTAACACTTGGTCTTCTTTTGCAGGCTTCAATTTCTTCTTCGCAGCCATCTCAGCCTGAACCAAGTCAAGGCTCACTCACTCAAGCTTGATCTAGTAGTCATAGCTTAGAAGAACTAGGGTAGAAGACATAGGGTACTTATATTGTGGTTGTCTCTGATGTAATTTTCGACCACAATGACTTATTTGTATCCTTAACTTCTTTATTTTGAATCTTTCGGTTGATTGTTGGCTTATTTGTATCCTTAACTTCTTTATTTTGAATGGAATGTTTAAATTTGGATATTGCTTTCTTCCTGATTTCTCTAATAAGAACATGCATTGTCATTAACTTAAACACATAAACGTACAAACACAAATCCCACAAAGCTAGAACAAACATACATTCACCAAACGTACCAAGATCACAACTCCAAACCTAACACATTCATCCTACAAGTTTAGAGAATCCGATCATGATCATACACCCTAACACTACGACAATCATCATCTTCTTATTGCTTCTTTTCGCTTGAGACAAAGCTTCTTCTACTTTCTCATTCAACTCCTTCTCCATGTTCATTTCAACCTTCTCGCAAACCATCTTCTCAAACTCCAACCTCTCTCTTCTAAGCTCTTTCAGCTCCTTCTCTATTTCACCATGCTTTGCTGTCAATGTATCTATCTCATTGATCAAAGCTTCATCAACCCATTTAAAAACGTGATCATCGTTCCTTAGCTTCATCAACACATGAACAATGATCTTTTTCAAGATTACAAGAATCTAAAACATGAAAACATAGGAATTAGATGAAATAGAGGATTGAAATTACCCTATTTTTTGCAGCAAAACCACAACGAAAGTATCTCCGGCAAGGATTCGGATCGGATTTTGAAATGAGTGCCACGATTCCTTCCCCGCACCAGCATCTTGTTGGCACTCCGACCACTCTTCCTCTTCCACGTGGTCCCGTTGATCCCGTCGAACTGGATGATAGGTTGCTCATCCTAAACTGGAAATCGGGTTTTCAATTCGAAAATTGAGAGTTCGAAAATTAGGGTTCTTAATTTTGAATTTGGGGATTTTGCTTTTTGGGAAGAACACGACAATGGGTCGGGTTTTTAATGAGAATCGGTTTTTTTTTTTGGTTAAGTTACGACCGAAACATGGTTCCGTCTCGGGTTTACGCAGTAAACCGCCGAAACCAGGATTCATGGACATTAAGATCTCAAACTTTCAATTGGTGGGGAAATACCCATTTAACTTCCGTTTCATGGATATATAGACAGAGGTCAAAGATCGGGCTCTATCTGGCCAGATACGATAGTTCTCGGGGGGAAATAGACCGTTTTTCCGGTTTGTTGCGCACGAGTTTATGATCGAAAATATCGAAATTAATTAAATAAATTTGAAAAAAATAAAATATCACCGGGTTAAAGCCGGTGAAACAGCGACGTAAAGAACCTGACAAACAAGTAAGCCGGTGACAAGAACCGACTCACATGATTAACCGGAGAGTCATTAGGATTTTTTTTACATCTGACGGTTTAAGATAAGCCACGTGTCTCCCAGACTATTGGGTTTGTTTTTTGTCATTTTCTGACACTAGTACTAGTGTATTGCCAATTTCCCATTATAAAGTTTTAACCAATCAACGGTCTTGGAAAAGCCACGTAGATATTTTACTTGCTATAGAAAATTAATTTATAAAAAAAAATAACAGTTTTGCAAGAAGGTATGCTAAAAGAGTGGGGTCCATAGTGTCCATGTAATCTGGCGTTAATTTTGAAGTGTGGTAATTGTTGCGATTTGCGTCTATGTTCATTTTGCTGTGTTGATAATTTTTTTATATTTTTATTTTTTTTATTTGGTTTTGCCTTCTTTGGGATAAAAAAATTTACATTTTTGTTTTTTTGTCTTTTAAATTTTTTTGTTTTGTATAGAAAACGAAATACGTCTGATTCAAAAATCGATGGCTTCCAAAAATCTTAGATCGTACATGAAATGTGAGATCAAAATTTTGTAATGATGCAATGAACGAAATGATTGCTTATAGAAAATTATGGTTTACCAAAGTAGTGATAGAAAAAAATCTCCGTTTTAGGGAGATTTTGATTACACTGTTTCTCTATATGGTTTTATAGTTGGGTGACTATATAGTGGAACCTACTTTTTTCTTGATTTGAGTAATTTATAAGATACCGTTTCTGTGCATTGGTGATTGTAACCAATAACTACGTTGGTAAATTATCTTATGCATGTATTTATGAGATATATTTCTACTTTCGTAAGATTTACCAACTAATATTTGAAATTAAACAAATATCAAAAACGTGTTTATTAATTTCATAACCAAACACAATTTAAAACGCTAAAACCGAAATAAACTGAAATTAATCAAAGAAAACCAAATTAACTGGAATTATTGAGATTGAAATTTACAAAAACAAAAAGAACCAATTTACAATTTCAGTCTCAATATGATAAGCATTTAATTATTAAATGCGGATTAAACAAAAAAAACAACAACAATATGGACTGAATTGGACCAAAATTATTTAAGTTCTACTTCAGGCATACAACCGAAAAACTTGAACCAAAGCGATCCCAAAAAACCGAATGTTAAGAAGAAAACATAAGTGGTTACATATATATCTTGTTGAAACATGCCAAATGGAGAGGGGTTAAAAAACCGACGGTGGAGAAGGAGAGAAAGGTATGTACCAACTTGCCGTAAGTTGACGTCGTTGAGACAGAGACATTAGAAGAAGGTGAAGAATTGACGGCTCTCGTTGGTATTTGGCTCATGTCCTTCTTAACGGTTGATATTTATTGTTCTTTCAACAATATTGGACTCTTCTCACCCTCATTGATATTTGTATTCATTCCCTAAGTTTTATTCAATTTCATTTAAAACACGTACGGTGGAATCTGACCCTGTCCTAATTTTAGTTTGTTTCTTTCTTTATTTATCATCGTCTATATTGGGACCATCGAGAATATTTCGTAATAAAAAACTTTAGGGACATGCTGCATGCACATGGATTTTAAACGATTTAGATCGTCTCGTGAGTTTAGGAATATGGGATGTGAAATCTGTTGTTGAAAGAAAGTTCTAGAGGAACATATAATGATTATAATCAGTCACTCGGAGAAACTACTTTAATCCTTTATCGAAATAGACATGAAGTAGCAACTGAATCTAAAATTTTACAAGAGTTATTTATATGCCATGGTTATTACTTATAAGGATTATGTTTTCTCGAACTTTACTCAATGTATCGCTAGAAGAAGAATTAGTGAGAGCAGTTGGAATTATTCTTGATTAGAGATAGCAAATCATATTCTCGATCAAATTGATGTGTGTTACATATCTTATAAATCCTTGTTGTATAACACTTCTACCTTTCTTAGCTCTTTAATTTGTGACTATCTAATTTGGATGAATAAATCACTCATAATTGGCTTATTTTTCCATATGGAATCAAGGATGTCAGCGAACCCATTAAAAATCATAGGAATGTTTGACACAAAAGATGTCAAATTCAGTAAAATTATTGAGCTCAAATTTAAAACATATCTTGTTAGAAATAGATTGATTACAAATTTCGAAATTATTACTGTCATACCAATAATTTGGTCATTTCTTATTATTTATAAATGTTTGGTTTAGAGATATGCTATAATTAACGTGAAATTGTTGAAACATAGAAAAAGCAAGATATAAAACGTTTTCATCAACTAAAGAAACTAATCAACCAACATCTTAAAGGAAAGCAGATAATGAACCAAGAAAACCACTTAGACCAATATCGCTAAATCCACGTTTTCAAGCAAATTTCCGTGATTGACATATTTTTTATCTTCCAGGAATTTGATAAGATGTATATATGTATGAGCTATTATATATTTTAAATAATAAAATGCTTTCGAACAAAAGATTAAATATTATTTGGAGAGTTCATAGAAATATTTTTTTCATACCATTTTCTAAATGCATTATCATCATTGTTGGTGTGGACCATTGTCGGACGGCAGGCTAAGGGTGTGGGATCCGCTTAGTTCTATTAAACAAATTCTCGTATGACCCATCAATTTAAGTAAATATGTAATATGAATATTTGAAGTTATCGAGAGATAAGATATGTAGGTTATTTGATTTGTTTTTTTGGGAAATGTACAATTCTAAAAGGTGAAAATAAGTTAGTTATAGAATATAGATTATGCAAGTGATGAAAGTAATTGCTAATGGGCAGCGACAAGGAAGACCAGAGTAGTAAGACAAATCATAAAATCAAATGCAAAATGTCCGAAAACGTATGGAGGGTAAATAAAAACAAAGAGAAAATGATAGAATACACCATGTGATATTAAGGGGGTTTGGTTTATGAAGATTGATATGATGGGCAATGAAACAAAAGAAGATATGATGGGCATTTCACATAATGAAAAACTTTTTAAACGGTGAATAATGTTAATTAATATGATCATTAATTATGGTATCAAAAGGTGTTAGATTATAACTATATATTTACAACTTTTTAACAAAAAAAACTATATATTTACAAGAGAGGTATTAGGTATATATGCGACATATATATTTATCTGTTTTTTTTTTAATGTTTGCTTATGAATATCTTTTCGATAAGACTGCTGGAGAGTAAATAGATACGCATTACTATAAATACCATAAAAACCACTTCAAGACATCGGTGTATTGTAATAGATTTAAGAACATCCGACTCAAACCAGAATGTGATTAGGCTAAGATTTAAGAAGCAACCAAATGAGGTGATACGATTGTTCTCGGTTCGGAGATGTTTATGTTATTTAACAATAGGAATGCATGCGTTACATTCTAAGGAGGCAAGCCGTTAAAGTGACCATATTTTTGTGTGTGGGGGCAATAACAATGAGATATAATTTTGATTGGATATGTCGTAGCTTAGTTGGTGATTGAAATACCACCTAACCAAATACACTCGATTTTGGGGTATTATGGAAAAAAAAACTAGAATGGTAAAAGTAGAATTTAAATTCTGATAATGAGAAGATATTACTTACAACATTTCAAAAACTATTTTGTTCTTGGATCGAAAAGAAAACGTTCGCAAAGCTCAAATATTGAATACAATTTATAAAAGCTAAATATTTTTTTTGATTAATACGCAACTCTTACTTACTTTATAACACAACAAAATAGAATCAAACATATATAGGAAATAAATAAATGCTTACATAGTAGTGACTCTTGATAGGAGGATATAGCCAATTTGAGAATCAAAAGGAGAGAGACATTACAAAGGCCATCTCTTATCTTCTTTCTACCTAGTATTTATCAAAAGCTTCCTTCATTTTATTTTCGTAGATATCTACGCATGCATTGATTTTTTGGCTACACACCATATAATAAATCATCAATTCATGTGGATATCATTCTTCTATATCAATGCATTGATATTTTTGGGCAACATATCATATGATATATGATCAATGTATGTGGATATCATTCTTCTATATCAACGCATTGATATTTTGGCTACATGTATCATCGATCTATGTGGATATCCTTCTTCCATAATACCTTTTATGAACCAGATATACATGAAAATATCTCCACGTCGTCTTTATGTTGATATATCTCATACTTCAATGATCATATATGAGGAAATAAATAAATATAAGTGCATTGACACACCGATCACCTAGCTTTCCTATCTTCCATTCTGATTCTTTTTTTTGTCATTATGTAATTATACATAAAATGTGAAAAAATTAAGAAGTTATATTAAAAATTTCCAAGAACTAAACTAATTAAGCGTAGAGGACTTTTATTTATAAAGGAGTTTTTCACGTAAATGATGTTACATCGTTTGTTTTCATATGGGCCTTTAGAGGGCCCATATTAGGCCTTACATTGTTTAAAACTGATGCGGCCCAATAAAATTGCCGCGAAGCCGATGGTTTAAAATGGTAGCTGAACAAAACCGGGCGGCGAAAAAAATCTGTTCTATTGCGATTTCCCGCTACTTCCATTTTCCCTCTTTTGTTTATTTTTTTTATTTTTCCTTTATTTTTCTTATCCCATCTCCTCTTATAAACCAGTATCGACCATGAGATTGATTCTTCACTTCGATTGCATTGGATCTCAATCTCAATCTCGATCTCGATCTCCTTCTGATAACATACAATGCCTACCATCGCCGGACCTAGTTCGTCTCCTCAGAAGCATGTCATCGGTTCTAGATCGGAGATTATCGGAGGTCTTAGATCCGCTGAAGTCAACACTTCTCGGAAACGGAAGTTGAGATCGGATTCGGCTGCGGAGGTTGCCGCGACGACGGTGTTGCCTGTGAATTCGATTTCTACGCCGATGAAATGGAAATCGCCTCGTCGATGTGCTGTTTCAATCCCTAAGACCTCTGATGAGGTAATTTATGAGCTCCTTGGTCTAACAATTCGATTTGTAGTTAGTCCTCGATTAATTTTGGTATTACTTAATTCTGAATCTGTAATGGTTATTCGATTGCAGGAGATTAAGGAAGATTCTAATGGAAATTTGACAAGTCCAGTGATATCAGCTGTGAAAAACCTATCTGTTTGTTTAGATGTTAAATCAAAATGGAACCCTAGAGGTATTGTATATATGAGCCTTTTGATTCTTCAGTGTTGTATTTGATTCTATTATTCTAATGCTCTCAGTTAGTTTGATTGTCTAATTGATGTATTTTGAATGGATACAGATGATGACCAAATCAAAGCTGTGAAGGAGGTATTGCATGTGTCTAAGGCACCGTCAACTGTTGTTTGTCGTGAGGATGAGCAAAGACGGGTTTTCGAGTTTGTGAAAGGTTGTATGGAACAGAAGAAAGCTGGGAGTTTGTATATTTGTGGCTGTCCTGGAACTGGAAAGTCACTATCCATGGAGAAAGTAAGACAACAAGCTGAAGACTGGGCAAAGCAGGTAATTGATCTTGTGGCTGTTTCAGAAATTGTGATTAGTTTGAATCTATCAATAGAAGGACTGATCTTTCATGAATTCTTGCAGGCGGGTTTGCCTTGCCCGGAAACAGTGTCTGTTAATTGCACATCACTGACAAAAACTACAGATATTTTCTCCAAGGTAAGACTGACCTTATGCAATCTAAGTACCTCCAAGTTCTTGGTCTTATTTCAATGTAGTTGTTAATTGAGTTATTTTGTTTTTAGATACTTGGTAGCAATGAGTCCGGGAAGAAAGCTAATGGTTCATCTTCACCTCTCCAACAACTTCAGAGTTTGTTTTCTCAAAAGCAACAACAATCCAGCTCAAAGATGATGTAGGGTTTTGTTTTGTTTTTGGTCTTGAGATATGGTGACCTGCTAGATATAATTACTGTGCTGTTTCTCATTCAAACTTTATTTCCAGGCTAATAATTGCAGATGAAATGGATTACTTGATCACAAGAGACCGAGGTGTCCTTCATGAGCTTTTTATGCTCACAACTTTGCCTTTTTCAAGGTGTATACTTATAGGTACTGTCTTTTGCGTTATCAAAGTTCATATTTCTTATCTGTTTACTCTGGTCATACACTTTTTAAGTTTAAAGTTCGTATTTGTCCTCCAGGTGTAGCAAATGCAATAGACCTTGCAGATCGTTTCCTTCCAAAATTGAAGTCTCTTAATTGTAAGAATTTCTCCATCATTCGGTGCCATTTGACTTCTTTCTTCACCATATGTCCCTAAGCTTTAATGAAGATAAAAAGTTGTGTATACTCCTTTAACTTATAATTCCAATTAATGCAGGCAAACCTTTGGTTGTCACTTTCCGTGCCTATTCTAAGGATCAGATCCTTAGGATACTGCAGGAAAGGCTTGTGGTAAGTCTACCTCAACTTTGTGATATAAGATGATGAGAGAGATTTGTCTGATAAAGTGATTCATAAACTAGTGAAAGCAGTTGGTATTCAAGGAATTATGGAGAAAAAATGCATAGTAGATTAAGATGTCAATAACCAATGTTGACCAAATCTCAGGACCTTGGAACTGTATGATGATATATTTAATCTAAACTCATAGTACTTTCTATGTTGATCTTAAATTATTATTTTCACTATTGTAACAGGCACTTCCATTTGTTGCATTTCAGTCCAATGCCTTGGAAATTTGTGCAAGAGTAAGACTATATATGCCATTTTTTCCCTCTCAACCTTGTTTACATTTTGAGATTCTTTATTGATATTCATAATTTTTTCATTTTCCCAGAAAGTATCAGCTGCATCAGGAGACATGAGAAAGGCTCTATGTGTCTGCAGGTGAAATCTCTTACGAATTTTGTTTCTATTGAGTTTGTTCTTGTATTGCATAAGATGAATGAGATAGAAATGGGCTTTATATTGTAAATTTACTCTTGAAATCATTACTCTAAAGATGACAATCCCAATTAACTCACATTTTATTTTTCAGGAGCGCTCTAGAAATCTTAGAAATAGAAGTTAGAGGAACAATAGATCAAGAACCACAAGGTGCAGCTCCAGAGAGTCAAGTGGTTAGTATTTCACTCTCTACTTTACTCAGGTCACTTACTGACGATGAAAATATCCAGGATCTATAGAAACCGTTGTCTTATTCCATAATTGTTATCACCGAATCTATAGGTGAAGATGGATCATATGATAGCTGCATTGTCCAAAACGTTTAAATCTCCAGTAGTTGACACCATCCAGTCTCTACCTCAACACCAACAAGTAAGTTACACATCAAAACACACACATTTTTTTTATCTGGTTCTTCTCGTTTCTAAATATTAAGTAACCGTAAGGATATGCTTACAACATGATTTTACACAGAATTAGCAAAGCTTAGTTTTAAGAGAACAAACTTGAATTCACAAAGAAACTAAAGATCCGTGTTGGTGTTTATTTGGTTATATGTCTTAGTGGCTAGCAAGACCGAATCTGAGAATATGTAATGGACTGAAATTCACATGCTTCTATTGAAAACTTGCAGATCATAGTCTGCTCTGCTGCAAAGGCCTTTAGAGGAAGCAAAAAGGATAGAACCATTGCAGAGGTAAATCTTCATTGAATGAACAATTTACAAACACAACTTCATGAAGTTATAACTTAAGACATTGTACATAATATTCATCTCTGTCTTGATGCAGTTAAATAAGCTATACTTGGAAATCTGTAAATCTTCGATGATAACTCCAGCTGGAATTACTGAGTTCACTAACATGTGCACAGTGCTAAACGACCAGGTACTAACTCCTATCAGAATATACATCGTCTAGAATAGTATACGCTAGAATAATAACTCATGTTGTGTTGGTTTATATAACAAAAGATGAAATAGAATCTTGAAGAGACATTTGATAGGAAAAAATCATCTTGGTTTGGCACAGGGGATTTTAAAACTCAGTCATGCTCGAGACGATAAGCTAAAGAGAGTGAGCCTTAGAGTAGATGAAGCAGACATCACATTTGCTCTTAAGGTATACGCACACTCCCTAAGTAATTACAAACTATTTCCCAAATTGCAGTTTTTTAATTTAACACATTTCCTTTTCATTGCATAACAGGAAATTCGATTCTTCCGCAACTGTCTTCTATGATGAAGTTATTGAATTATAGCAACGGGTTGGTTCCTTCATTCTTTACAGAATACAAAGAGTGTAAAAAAACTCAGTACACATAAATTGTTTTATAAACAAACTATACTCTTTAGTCTTTATGAGATTACAGGCTGATCAGCGCAGATGTTGAACTCTTATTATGTAATCTTCCTTTTTCCGACGACTTCCATATTAACATTTATAGTAATAGACTAATAGCCATGCTCTCAATGAAATAAATGCCATCAAGTGATTGTCCTTCGTAAATTTTGGAACGTTAAAAGACACTTACATATATTTCCTACTTCTACTTGTTATAGATGCATTATTGATGTATATACTAGGGACTAGGTCAACAATAGTAATAGAAAATCAGTAACAATCATTCAAGTTTTTACAAGATGCAAACAAAGGCATTAGTTACATACTTGCATTGAAAGAGAACTCAGTGTCTGTCATTCAACTGTACAAGGCCTGAATAAACGATACTGCGAGATAGATTTTAAATTGGCCACTCACACTCACTAAACCAGGCAAAACAGCATGGAAGAGAGTGTTACATTAGCAATGCAAAAGATCATAAGAAAAAGGTCATCTAAAGAAACGAGGCTGACCTCAAAAATATTCAGAGTCTCAACCAATGAAACTTAGGACAGCAGTGATTGACGTTTGTTGCTTCTGCACATATTATATCCTACATCACTCTGAAGTTTCATATCGACCCGTCTGAGCTGTCTCATACCTCCTGGAAGGCATTTTTGGGCTTAAAAGCAAAGAATATATTGAGGTCACATATAGAAATCCTGATAATTACAAATTTTAAAGCATTTTTACCTTAAAGCTGATAGCTCTACTTCCAATGCACCCATAGAGAACAGAACTTGGCCTCCATACTTGTGACTAATTCTAAGTAGCAATGCAAGTTATGCTTCTAAGGTACAAGAATGCTTAGAAGCACTAAGAGAGGCATCAAGGATCCTGCAAACGACCTGAGAAGATCATCAAGTCATGCAATGTTCAAGAAAATGCTTCACAAGCACTAACCTCTGGTGTAACTTACCATACACGTAAACCATAATATTTGTTATATCCTTTTTTTCACCACTTAGATTTTGTTATATATATAGATATAACTAATTAATAAAATTTAAGATGTAATTTGATATGTTTAATTTTCTTTTATAACAAAATCCGAATAATCCGAGTTGAAACCGATCCTAAACCGGGATTGAAAACCCTTAACTATATATATGATCGATCTCGTTTCTTTTCTTAGCTAGAGTCTAGAGAGATGCTCTAATAGTCTAAGTAAACAGAGAAAAGTCAAGTATGGATCAATTATCATGCAACTCCCACGTTGACGACAACGACGACCTTGGTTGGACGAAAGTCGTGTCCCGGAAGCGCAATCGGAAGCTAAAACCGGCGGATGTATATGTTTCCGGTAACATTGTTCCGAATGAAGGTCGGATCCTGACGGCTCAGATACTTTCTGCCGATATAGAGGATGAATCGAACAGAGCCGGTGCAGCCAGTAATGAGAATCTCAAGGCAGAGAAAACTAAAAAGACAAAACCCAACAAGGAGAAGAAGAAACCGATAGTTTCTTTGTCCGAAGCTATGTCAAAGATCGATCATTCACGTCTTAAGGCTTTCCTCGTCGTATCATTGGTAATCTCACTTGAATTCATTCTGATCTAACAAAAACCCTAAACCCACAAATCAAAATTCAATTTTGATGTTAGTTTGTTTATAGGAATCGTATTCGATTGAGCCTGAGACTCAGTTATTGAGGTTTATGGATTACGTTGGGAGAGAACTTACACAAGTGCAATTTCCATGGCTGAAGATGTTTCCTTTCAAGGGTCCTTGGCCCAAGCTTATCGATGTGATCAATGTAAGCTATTTCTTTTACGTTTTTTTTTCCAATCAAAGTCGTCTATGTTAGATTGTTGAGCTGATTAACTTTTTCTTATAACCAGTCCAGTGTGTGATATTCCTGAACCTATCTACAAAACATCTGTCCATTGGATCAAACAAGTTCCAGTAATGACACTCTCTGGCTTCATAGTGTGGGCGTTTCGCTGTACTCTCACTCATTTGGAAGCACAACAAGAAGGTGTCAATTCTGGCAAGATTGGTGAACAACCTACTTCTCCCAAACCTCATGTAACCTTTCTCGAAATCGATTTTTTTTTTTTGTGGTTGAATGGTGTATCCAGTTTCCTTTGTTTTGACTAACTCCATTATGTTTGCTTAGGTGGTAGTATTTGTTACATTGGCAATGGTACTGCGTACAAGACCTGAAACTTTTACTTTTGCATTGCGGACTATTAGGCAGAGGCGTATGTTTCAAGGACAGGACAAGATTCCGCTTACAGTTTGGATGATGGCTCAGGTTCGTGTGATATTTGTTTTCCCTTATGTGAACTAGGACCAAGAGTTTTGGAAGTTGTGTTTTATGTGAACTGTATTATGAAATTTATTGAACTGTAAAATGTGGACAGGCCTCCCAGGGTTATTTATGTGCAGGCTTGCTTTCATGGGCGCATAACTTGTTACCAGTAGTCGGTAATTCGGACTGCAACCCTCAGTCAAGGGATCTCATCCTGCAGTTGGTTGAGAAGTGAGTCGCAAGTTTTCTTTTTCATCTCCTTTTTTTGCTATATACAATCATCTGATCTTTGTTTATGCAATTTTCTTTATCAGAATTTTGTCGGATCCAATGGCTTGGACAATGCGTAGGAATCAAGCTATTAGGGAGAGAGAGCGACTGATTCCACCTCCTTCATTTGAGATCTTGCTGCGGCTTACATTCCCTGCTTCATCCGCAAGAGTCAAAGTAAGTAATTCATAAAACAAAATCTTGATGCATGTGTTTTTCGATTCTGATCACAAGCATGGTCTCTGTGCGCACACAGGCTACAGAGAGGTTTGAGGCAATTTATCCCTCGCTGAAAGAAGTGGCTCTTGCCGGTGCACCAGGAAGCGAGGCAATGAAACAAGTCATTCAACAGATATTCACTTTGTCTTTGAAATTAGCTAAAGAAGGTATAATCCTTGAGATTTCTGCTTCTTTCCCTCTCTCTTGTCCGAATATAGTTCTAATGTTTTACTAATGTTACAGAAAATCCTGCTTTAGCCAAGGAAGCTACAGAAATCGCTATCTGGTGTGTGACCGAACATGTTGATTGCTGCAAGCATTGGGACAATCTCTATATGAGGAATCCAGCAGCTAGTTCTGCTGTTCTAAAAAAGCTTGTGGACGATTGGAAGATTCATTCCCTCAAAATATTTTCATCACCGAGAAATACTCTCACTCTCGGTCAAACTATGAAGAGCTTCAGGCTGGAAGTAATACCTCTTACTCTTCAAAGGCTAACTAATTTTATTTCATCTCTGACTTAAAAGCTGTTGTGATATTTTAGAACCAAAAAGCCATCACTGAAGGAGGAGCGAATGTTTCTCTTTACAAAGAAGCTGACAAGTACTGCAAATTGATCTCGCGGAGACTCTCCTACAACCATTACTGCCTCAAAGCTACTGCTGCAGTTGTTCTATCTTCCAACATGGAGCTTAAGAACCTGGTGAACTCATTGGATCTGCACCTATACCTCAATGCAATCACCACAGCTTTAAACATCTAAGAGAGAAATATCTGATACAAGCAGTGAGGGCTTTGAGATTATTATCTATATAAGCTAATGTCTTAACATTTTTCTAGTAGGAGTATTTAAAAACACAAAATATTTTAGTATATGACAGTAATTTGCCTTTTGACTTTGATGAACTGAGATCCTACGATCAAATCAAGGCTGGTTTTTTTTTTTTAATACACTTCTTGAGTCTCATATGTCCACATGTGTCTCAAGTATTGATTCATATAGTTTGCAATAATGCTCCAAAGATAAGGATTTGATAGTGCCTAGGCATATGGTGAATACTGGTCAGTTCGGTTCAGAAGTTCAGGTCGTTCGGGTTGGAGAAACCACTTCCGATTTGAACCAATTATCAATTTTGGGTCAGTTCGGTCTAAATTCCAAAATTTCGGTTCGGTTCTCTAAATTATTGTGGCAAGCTGGCAGCCAACGTTGAACCGAATATGATATTCGGTTCAGTTCGGTTCATATTAATAAAACTATTGATATTTTCTTGGATTACAGGTGATTTCGGTTAATTTCGGTTTAATGCGGTAAATTTCAGTTTAATTTGGTTAAAATCGATTCGATTTGGCTCACTAATTTATCACATCATCGTCCAATTTCAGTCAACACAACACCATTAGTGCAGATTCTCTAGTACACTCATCATAACAAATCACCAAAAAACTTAGATATTCAAAGATTCAAAAGAGTCACAGACGACAACCATAATAAATCACATCAGAGACTTAGAGTAGTTTACGCTTAGAAAACTGAAGCATAAAGAGTAAGATACCTAAGCAACTACTGTTTATTAAAACTTTAAGAGGATAGGAAATGAATCTAAGGAGGTTGCTTGAATTGCTTCAAGTACCTGAAACAAATAGACCATGAAAGCATTGTAAGTCCAGATTTTCAAGTGTAAGAGAGTAAGAGACATAAGCTATTGCTTACCTGCAACTTGGAGACATTTTTTGCACAACTTAGAATTGTCTCCTTGAATCTATAGAAGGAAAGTAAGTCATTAATATTCATCACATCTACAGAATGATAAAATTCAAAACATAGTCCCTAATACACATTATCAAGTTGAGCTAAGAGATAAAAGCCCCTAACCTCAGGTATTTTTGTTGATGTGTAATTAGAAGTACTTTATGAATTCTGTTTCTTTCTTGCAATGCAGAGAGATGACATTGTATACTTCCATTAACAATGTCGGGAACCGAGTAGCAAAGTACTTGTCCAATCCTTCTGGATTTGTTCCCACAAGATCCATAGTACAAAAAACAAGTTGAGTCTTGTGTACAATAGTGTCTGAAAAACTTGCTAACAAGAAAAAACCTGGATGTCTTCAGGAAGTTCTCTGTAGTGATTCGCAGAATTTCTGACTAATCAAGCAAGTGACGCATGCTTCTGAAGTCGTAAGCCCTATGGACCTTGCCAGTCTTCTCACTGTCACGTTCTATAATAAGGTAGGCACTAAACTTGGGACCAATCTTATTCTCCCATGTCGGATTCCCTCCCATAGCATCATATGATTTCTGCCTTAATGCATCCAAGATGGTAGAGTTGGCATGGTTTTCCACTCGGTCACTGGCTTCTCGCAAGAATGATAGCCTCATATCAGCGTTATGGTGTAAAAGATTACACATCCCAAGTTGAACATGTCGATTGTACAAGTTCCATCATCCATGCGAAGAAGCTGCTCTGATGCTTGTCAACCCTTACTACCTACAATATTCATGGATGCGTATTAAAGAGTGGTTTGAAACTCATTTCATAAGCATAATCATAAATTCAACAAAAAAAAAATTTGTTTTCAAAAATTATTCAGTCTATCAATTGATACGGAAATCAATCAAACACAAAAAGAAAGGATGACTCATCAAAGAGACGCTTGTTGTTGCCCATATTTGAAAGCTTTGCAATCAAAGTCTTTCTTTTACTCATAATTTGCACATTTCAAGCTTGAACTCTTGATAAACTACTTCCAAGTCGTTCAAGTGGGAAGTCCATAAGTTATATCCTTACATCACATCACAAATATCCCAAAAAATATTAGTTGTATATTAAAAAGTATACATCACAACACAAATATTATGAATTAATTTGAAATCTAAATTAACCTCATTAATTCTTGCTACACGGGTGACAAAATACCCACAACTTCCCACAATACATTTTCTATTGGATCTCCAAATAATCTTTAGTTAATTTGCTTTTTTTCTTTACTTCGTTTCTAGAGAAGATGACAAGATCATGTAGATCACATGTCCAAGGTTCCGAGAGGTAATCATAGTCCATGAACTCATAACCATAGAAACGGATGATTCTTGAGTGTTTGTCTGATGCATTATGGCTATTAATTTCATTCAAAATCTCGGATGCCTCAGTTTAAGATAAACTAAGGCGTTTTACAGCCACTATGCGCCGTGGTTGACTAAAGCCCTCAAATACCGAAGAGATTTTTTCATATTCAATATAATTATTCATTATAAACAATCTATTAATTCTTTTACAAACTTTATCTTGAAAGAATTCGCCTCAACAGAAAGTTAGAAGCTTTTCAACTTCTCGAAGGTGCTCTGGTGCATCATGGATTGAATGAGCCGGTGCATCAACTATGATACAATTTTTTTTGTTGATATCCTATAATTGAAAACGTTTTTCTTTGTATTTTTAATTTTAAAATCTCTATGAAATTTATTAAAATCTCCAAAATCTATATCTTAAATTTCAAAATCATGGATTATATATTTTAAATTATTGATTGAATAACACATATTTTCAATTTGGAAATTTAAATTTACCAATATTCTGGTTAAATTTTAAAATTAATACAGATCATGAATCCAGCAAACCCCCAAGAAATATATGTTGGTTACAAAACTGTGCTTGACCGTTTTTTTTTGGCAAACACATCCAAATATCAAATATGCTTTGGTTTACGGTCTAAATCGGTCCGATCGCCGGTCTGGTCCGGTTTAGAAAACATTGCTTTACAGGCTTTGTATGTGTGTATTTTTCTCCCACACTTAAAAGTTAAAACTGTTATCGAAATACTTAAAATCAACGAGCTCACGGGGATGTCGGCCGTTTCAATCTCCGCCGTCAAATCTGATTTTTCCACCGTCGAGGCCATAGCCGTTACACACCATCGGACGCCGCCGCCACATTTTCCTTCGCTCCGGTTTCCACTATCTCTCAAGTCCCCGCCGGCTACTTCTCTTAACCTTGACGGTGGATCAAAACTCCTCCACGTCTCGCGTCTTCCTTCTATCAAATGCTCATATACTCCGTCGTTAGGTAAAATCTCCTCCCCCATTGTCGCTCTCAATTTCGATCAAAAGTTAAACTTCTTTTTTCTCCTCACAGATTTATCGGAGGAACAGTTTACAAAATTCAAACAAGCATCGGAAAAGGGAAACTTAGTTCCTCTGTACCGATGTGTATTCTCGGATCATTTGACTCCGATACTTGCTTACCGATGTTTGGTGAAAGAAGACGATAGAGATGCTCCTAGCTTCTTGTTTGAGTCAGTGGAGCCTGGTTTGCAATCCTCAAACATCGTAAGCCTTCCTTTTTGATAATTGTTCTCAGTTTTTGCAATTTTGTTTGGTTCAATGAAATTGAACTCTTGGAGGATTTTCTCTTAGGGGAGGTTTAGTGTAGTTGGAGCTCAGCCTACAATAGAAATTGTGGCAAAAGGAAATGTAGTTACTGTGATGGACCATGGAGCTGGTCTTAGGACAGAGGAGGAAGTGGAAGATCCAATGATGGTTCCTCAGAAAATCATGGATGAATGGAAGCCACAACGCATTGATGAATTGCCTGAAGCTTTCTGCGGTCAGTAACGAATTCTGTTATAAATAGAGTGATGTTTGTTTAGCATTGCTGATTTTTTGGATGGTTGATTTGATTTGTTAAACAGGTGGGTGGGTTGGATACTTCTCATATGATACTGTACGTTATGTTGAGAAGAAGAAGCTGCCATTTTCGAATGCTCCAGAGGATGATAGGAGTCTTCCTGATGTTCATTTGGGTCTTTATGATGATGTGATCGTGTTTGATCATGTCGAGAAGGTATACTGTTTGTTTGTTCCTAGTATTTGCATCTTCCTGCGGATTATGAATTGAATAATTAACTCTGCTGAATTCCCTGTTGAGCACAGAAAGCATATGTGATCCACTGGGTGCGGATAGATAAGGATCGTTCTGTTGAAGATAATTTTACTGATGGAATGAATCGGTTGGAATCTCTAACCTCTAGAATTCAAGACCAAAAACCGTGAGTAGATCGTTTTACCAGTCTTTTAAGTTATAGTTTTGTCTTTTATTTATAAATTCTGTTTATGCTCATGTGTTTCTTTTGAATTGCAGCCCCAAGATGCCTACTGGTTTCATAAAACTACGCACTCAGCTCTTCGGTCCTAAATTGGAGAAATCAACTATGACGAGTGAGGCGTACAAGGAGGCAGTGGTGGAAGCCAAAGAACATATCTTGGCTGGGGACATCTTTCAGATAGTTCTTAGTCAGAGATTTGAAAGGCGGACATTTGCGGACCCATTTGAGATATATAGAGCTCTTAGGATTGTAAATCCAAGTCCGTACATGGCCTATTTACAGGTATACTGCTATGGTCATCTTTTCCTTACATATTTCATGAAAGTTAATATTAATAATCTGTGGTTTCTCTCTCTTTATCTTTTTTTCTTTTTAATTACAGGCTAGAGGATGCATATTAGTTGCTTCAAGTCCAGAAATATTGTTACGTTCAAAAAATGTAAGTGTTACCTACTCTCCACTAACCTTTGGTTCCCTTAATCCTTAAATCCCATGTCTTCATTTACAACTGAATGGATAGCTTAATGAGTGGATTCCTTTTGTTACAGAGGAAAATTACCAATCGCCCCCTTGCTGGAACTGTCAGAAGAGGGAAGACACCCAAAGAAGATCTAATGCTCGAAAAAGAGCTCTTAAGCGATGAAAAACAATGCGCAGAGCATATTATGCTTGTTGATTTGGGAAGGAACGATGTTGGCAAGGTTCTTGACTTTACCACTGCTCAACTCTTCTTTCATTTTCAGTCTCTTACCCTCTTCTTTTGGAAGCTAACATGCAGTTTTTAAGCGGTAATCTAACTTGTTGGATATTCTCGTGAACTCAGGTTTCAAAGCCCGGTTCTGTGGAGGTTGAGAAGCTCATGAATATAGAACGGTATTCACATGTCATGCACATTAGCTCCACGGTATGCTCCTATTGCAATTTTACAAACAAACAAACTTTTAATTCTAAATTCCTTTTGCCTCAATGGATTTCTTGCATAAGTTTTGTTTTCACTCTAGTTAGTTTATAAGAGATCACAGTCCAATAATGAAAATTTTGAATAGAAATGGTGTTAAAGCCTAGTTCTGTCTAGACTAGAGAACCCATGAATATGTAACTTCACATATTATGTACATGAGCTTAACAATCTGCTGTCCTTTTTCTGTTTGTCTCACAACACATCTCCTTCTTCGCAGGTGAAAGGCGAATTACTAGATAATCTAACAAGCTGGGACGCTCTTAGAGCTGCACTTCCAGTTGGAACCGTCAGTGGAGCCCCAAAGGTTCTCTCTCACAAAACCACAAACTTATTACACGTTCTTCCCCATACTCAAAATCCATTTGATACAGGTAAAAGCCATGGAGCTGATAGATGAACTTGAAGTAACAAGGCGTGGTCCTTACAGTGGAGGCTTTGGAGGCATATCATTTAACGGAGACATGGACATTGCTTTGGCTCTCAGAACAATGGTCTTCCCAACAAATACCCGTTATGACACATTGTACTCTTACAAGCATCCTCAGAGACGTCGAGAATGGATTGCTCATATTCAAGCTGGAGCTGGGGTTGTTGCTGACAGTAACCCTGATGATGAACACAGAGAGTGTGAGAACAAAGCAGCAGCTCTAGCCCGAGCCATTGATCTTGCTGAGTCCTCCTTTCTTGAGACACCTGAGGTTACTACTATCACACCTCACATCAACAATATTTGAGCATAAGCTTTCTTGTTTTCTTTACTTTTGGTTCCAGTATTACTCACTCAGATAGCTGTTTGATTTGTGAGATTGACTCTTTTTGAGTATTAGAATTTAGGACTTGTGTCCGAGGTTTGAGGTCTGTCGGACCAAAAGTTGGTAGAATTTATGGGTTCTTAATATTACAACTTGTAGTAGCAAATATTTACAAATAATTTCATATGATCGATCATACAAATATAGTTTTGCCACTACTACTGATAAAGGCTTTGATTGATACCGACCAAACAACACCTGTTGGGAGCTAGCTAACCGCTTTAGCGATTTACCAATTGATGAAACCGTAATCTTATACGGTTAATAAAATTGGTTGAAATCGACGGCAAAAGTAAATGGTAGTAAAATTGGATGAAATTAATCGGCGGGTAAAGTAAACGGTTAGCCATTATTTTGTGCAGTGAAATTACGGTTTCAAACGGATTAAAAAGTGCGGTTGGACATAGTTAACCGTATATAATAATTAAACCGTTTATAACCATACCGGTTTAATCTTACCTATCCCGACAACACTTCTTACGTGACCCCAAAAAACGCAGAGAGCCAGCGTAATCGCGACCGACCTCACTGACAGAGCGACCAAAACGCAGCGTTTTGACAGCAATTGAGTGGGATACCGAATCACAATAATACAGAAAGACATTAAAAGCAATAAAGGAATCGCGCGATTGGGGCAGTTAGAGCGACGAACAAGTCGTGGTGAGATTTTAGGAGAAGACGAAGATGGAGAGTATCTGGCGAATCGCGACGGGCCAAGATCCAAACCGTGAAGATTACGAAGGGATCGAGTTCTGGTCAAACCCTGAGCGTTCTGGTTGGCTCACAAAGCAAGGCGATTACATCAAAACCTGGCGTCGTCGTTGGTTCGTTCTCAAACGAGGGAAGCTTCTCTGGTTCAAAGATCAAGCCGCTGCTGGAACTCGTGGATCTACGCCGCGTGGTGTGATCTCCGTTGGTGATTGTCTCACCGTGAAAGGAGCTGAGGATGTTGTGAATAAGCCTTTTGCTTTTGAACTATCTAGTGGTAGCTATACCATGTTCTTCATTGCTGATAACGAGAAGGAGAAAGAAGAGTGGATTAATTCGATTGGAAGGTCGATTGTGCAACACTCGAGGTCTGTGACGGATTCTGAGGTTCTCGATTATGATCACAGGCGGTGATTATTACTACTATCTAAATGTGTGATTTTGTTGTTGTCTCTCACTCTTTGGCCTTAGGGTTTTCGTGGAATGTAACAGTACTCTCGTGTCTTTTAAATTTTGATGTTATTGTACCTTGATCGTGATGTATCTATTGCCTAAAGTTTCAAATCGATTCTCTCTTTGTTATGATATTTGATTCAGTGAGTTCCTGTTTATGTTTTGAATGATTTTGTTGTTCAGCTTTGTATAGAGTTTGATGTATGTGCTTAACTTTGATTGATTCAACAAGTGATTGATGTTCAAAAAGTAGAAGCTGTGTAGAGGGTTTCTGAAGGAGGATTTAATCTCTCTGTGACGGTTCTCTTCTACCAAGCTGAAACTGCTGCTGCGACGAGTTAGATCAGTAAGGTAACGTTTCCAGAACAAGAACGACCTTCCCTGATTCTCATTTCAGTTCACTGGTTTTGGATGTGAGATTGATTTATTGAAATGAAGAAAGAGAGAGATGCAGGATAGTAGCTTTGATTGGTTGTGGATCCTACTCTATCATCTTTATCTGCCTACCATTATTTGTTTACACGTGTGGCAAAGTGAAGTGATACACAAAGTCAATAGGAGGAACGTTACTAACTCCGTTCTTTGGTATGTAGATTGATGTTTCTTGTCAACAGAAGACGAGGCTGTGGAGGAAGAACCAAAGGTGTCTCTTGATGAGGAATGTAGAGCTCATCTTCATACCTACACCAACTGTTGGTCATCGTGTTCCGTTTCTTGAATTTGCTAGGCGTCTCATTGACCAGGATGATAGAATCCGTATCACCATCCTCTTGATGAAGCAACAAGGTCAGTCTCATCTAGATTCCTATGTGAAGACTATTGCCTTGTCTCATCCGTTTGTTAGATTCATTGATGTCCCTGAGTTAGAGAAGAAACCAACACTTGGTACACAATCAAACCAACAGTCTTTATACGATTTTATGAGAAACATGTTCCTGTTGTGCGAAATATAATCATGGGTATCTTAGCTATTGAGAAATTCATACATGGCGTGATAGGAACCAAGACTTAACCTTTTCTTATCGGATTCTCCATAAACTGTAACCTTGATTATGCTACAATCCTTTGAATCTGCTTTGTCTGTATTATTTTTTTTCTTTTCTTTTCTCATCAGCTTTGCTTCTAATTATGTCTGTATTGGTTCCTTATATACCAAGCTGTGAGTTTCTTTGTTAGCCAATGCTGTATTTCTTCTGTTATGGATTTTGTTCAACATTATTTTCTTCAGGTCAAACTTACTCTGTTCTTGTTGAGACAATTTTCTCACAAATGTTAGCTCTAGTGTTCTTCCCTCTCATAGCATAAACGAATTACATTGTATTATTCTTTTACATACAATCACAGAGTTTATATTATCTTCTTTGATATTATTCCTCTGATTATACATTGTTCAAGTCTATCAAATGGAACATATGCTTTTAAATCTTACTACATAGACAATATTAAAACATAGAGAAGCTCACACTCAAAGTTTGTGTTTTCCAGAATTAGTCCGAGAGGATTGTCCCATTGCACTGACAATATTGTCTCTAATGGAACACACAAGAGGATTGTCCGACTGCAGAAGTTTTCCAACTAGGTTTGCAAGTGCTGTCAACCGGAATACCTGAGACCATCTCTCACTCCTATATGATTCCATTGCCCCTTCAATTGATTCGGTCCCTCCATTCATTGCAGTGGCAAGTTTATTTGCCAGAACAACTGAATCTTCCAAGGCACAACAAGCACCTTGTCCAAGATTTGGAGTCATTGGGTGCCAAGCATCTCCAACAAGAACAACCCGACCTTTTGATGCTCGAGGAGCAATACCAGGCCAAACCCACCGGTCTACAAGAGGATCTCTGCTGATTGCATCATCAGGTGTTTGATCGATGAGGTTTTGCAGATCTTCTGGCCAGGTACTAACCAGTTCCTTGGCTTGTTTTCTTAGGATAGCTGGATCTGTAATTTTGGGACCTGCATGTCCCAAGATTTCTGATATTAGGAAGTGAAAGAAGGAATTATCTTTGTGGAATGTGTGAGAAGTCTTGAACTCTACCTAGAGATGGGGTGTTGAAACAGATGAACCAGTAGACTTTTGTTGTAGATACAGGTACATATGCAGCTCGAAGCCCTCTACCGAATATGTAGTTCACCTTTTGCTGAAATGGCTGTCCATTTGGAAAGAATCCGAGGCCACGGAAAGCGGAATAACCAACGTATTTCGGCTCTCTGAACCCCATCCAAGTTGCAACCTTAGACCGGATACCATCACAACCTATAACAATCTGTCAAAGGCATATCAAATCAGCTAAGGCATATATGTATAATAAACACATAACCATTAGGCTCAGAGATCAAGAGAAGAATACATTTGCAAGCAACCGGGTTCCATCTCCAAGTTGAAGGAGAGTGTCACCATTGGCATTACTTTGTATACTTTCTAGTTTTGAGGAAAACCGAATGGTTTGCGGAGGAAGCTGGCTTGCAAGTGTTTTCAAGAGTACTCGTCTCTCCACCGCCCGAACTTCTTGGCTATACAAGACATATGCTTTGGTTGGTTAGACACACGATGAATCAAATGGAATGCTCAAGTTATGAAGTAGCAGCTACCTTTGATCATTGTCTTTAAATTTGAAAGAACGAAGCTCTCTTCCATCTTCCTTCTTCACTACCACCCTGCACAGCTTATCACACTCAGTTTAAAACCAAGAACACACATTTTAACAAGACCGAATCATCTTTTTGATATGGGCAGAAAGAAACTGTACCCTTGGATTTCAAGAAACTGTTTCCGGAGTTGAGGTCCAACGGAGATGGCGTCAAGAACACGCCACCCATTCTTGGATAGCGTCAGAGATGTTCCTCCGGTCCGAAGCGACTCTGCCTGCTCCAACACCACCGACCGGATTCCAAGCCTAACCAAAATCTCCGGTTAAGTGGCTCTGAGTTTCTAATAATATTCAAAGAACCGGTTTCTGTAATTTAAATACTTACCGGTGAAGAGCAACGGCGGTGGCAAGTCCGCCAATCCCGCCGCCAACAATCACTACTTTCTCCTCTCGGTCAGCACCGCTTGTTTCGGCTCTGGTACTCATTGCTAAACAAACCGGTTTTGATCCGTTTCGAACCGGAAACCATCTCTTGCTTCTGGCCAAGAAGGATTGGAGAGGATAGATCGGACGCACAAGAGACATAGCCACGTTACAAGAGGAGGACAAGTGGTTTCGCTTTTTTTAATGTATAAAATCAATTTTAATTTGTAGCCAATAAATCGTCTAGACTTTATCAGACTTTATATTAATAGAACATCAACAGTTGTCGTTGAAAATTCTTTGATACATTGTTATTTTTCTTATGGGACCTATTTAGATTCAGCATATGTCTTTAGAGTCAATGTTGGATCCTTGAGACTACAAATTTAAAATTCAGAAAAAGTGTCTATGCCCTTTAATTATTGGTCTATTTGTCCTTTGTGGCGTCAACTCCAATTTCAACTTGAAGCGTACACAATATTTTAGAATAGTCCGTACCAAAAGAAAGTTCAATAACCAACAATGTTGTAGTCTTTTGACTTTGAAATCTTCGAAGTTTCCACTTACCCATTTTTAGAAGTGTTAAATAGCACTGTTATTCAAAGTCTTTTTCATTAACATCATTAAACTCTATGCAAAAGAAACACTACAAGAAATATCTACATTATTAGCAAGAGAAAAGAGCTATTATATGTCATCAATAGCGTTTTCATAAACGTTGTCTTATGCCCCTGTTATGGTAGACCCCCCACATACGATAGCATTGTTTCTGTATGCTATGATAGAGTATTCTACCATAGCATTAGTAAAACGCTTTGTTATATCACCTTTATATTTGTTATTAATTATGTGATAAGTAATTTTTGCTGCTATGTTAGGTGCTCATTTTAAACGCTGTAATATATTTTGTTATGACTCTTATTTTATGCAATAATACTTGTGTTTTATGTGCATATTATTTCACATTTGCGAAAACCTCTTTTGAAATTTATATAAAATATTTATATTTCATAAATCATCCACACCATACAAGTAAAAAATCTCAATCCAAGGCTTAAACTAAGATTACAAGTGCCAAAAATTAACAAACTTGTTCTCATCTAAGCTAAGCCTAATTTCTAATTTGTATAGATTTTGGGCTGCACTCACTTAGGACTTGACTTGAGACTGCACTTGAGACTGCACTTGAGACTGCATTTGAGACAACAATATCTTGGGCTGCACTCACTTGAGACATCAAAACAAATTAGCTCTGACAAAGAACATTTATAATTTATCCACAAAACAATCACAACCACCGTAAAGTACTAAAACCAACAAAAGAGATAGAGATAAGATGTATTATTTACTCACTCACTTCTTGTCAATGTAAGGAACATCACTCTGTCTAGCCTTCCCACATTCACCTGTAATTAGTTTCTAATTAGAAACATAAGCTAACATTGTAAAGGGAAAGTTTAGAAAACATACGGGAACTCTGTTGGGGTTCGCTCTTATACGAGTAGATTCAGCCATTCTCATCTCTGAGATCAAAACAATACCATAAAATTTAGTCACATCTAACGGATCATACGAACACATGAACACATCTTATAGCTTAAGGACATGTAATCCAAGTAACTTCCACTAAAATTCCAGAAGCAAACAAGTACTAAATCTTTGCAGCTTCAACAATGAACTAGGTCTATAACTTAATTAATCTGATGTAAATCAATGGAGAAAAGAAACACACTATAGCCAAATCACCTTATTCTTAACATGTGTAGCTTGTGTGGATAATAGATACTCAGCAGAAATACCTTTCTCCTTCAGTGCCATTACTTGATTTTCCTAAGTAGAAACAAAAAAAAAACGTTTCTTCAAAAACCATTAACAAAAAAGCTTAAAAGAGAGAAGAACACAAAAAGAAAAGAACAATGCACTTACCATCAATGTTGAGAGGTTAAAAAACACGAGAGCATGATGGTGGAAACAAAGCACAACGTCAGAGATACCAATCAAAATAGAGATTCTCCATTAACGAATCAGAAAAAAAAAACAGCTTACCAATCAAAGGAGACACATCAAGGACGATTCCAGGTTTAGCTAATGCAAGTATCTGATAACAATGTGATTTGGCTGAGATTAAACACAAAACAGGAAAGATAAAGTCATGTGTAAGCTCATGTCAATGGACCATGGTTTACTTATTATCCAACAAAGAGATAAATCACTGTCTTGTTCTTACCTTTGCAATCAACAACTAACAGTGATAACATTTTGGTGTTGTCTGCATTGGAGGAATCAGACGGTGAACCAAGCTGGAGACTCAAGGGGCATAAGAAGTGCCACTTAAGATCCCCACTTCTTATATAGGACATATCTGTAAAGAAGAAGTCTTCAGTTAGCTGTAAACACACGAAATCTCCCTTAACCACAGTCACACCAAAGAAAAGATGGATTCTTCTTGCAGAGATCAACATACATCTGGTGTACAACGTAAAGCCTGCTATTGAAACATTGAAACAAACCAAAAGAAGAAAATTGAACTATCCGACCAACTAGAAATCAAACTACAATAAATAAAAATTCTAGCTTGAACGAAAATTCTAGTAAAACCCTAAAAATGAATCGGAAAATCGATTAGGTTCAGATCAAATCGAGAACTCACAATAACAGAATCATAAGAGAAAGAAAATCAAAAACCCATTTCAGGAATGACAAAAGGAAAACCTAAGACTAGATCGGAACACAAAAAATCACCATCCACAACATCGCGGCGTAGGATTAGAAACAGAGAGAACAAGTCGTACGATAATGACGGTGGGAAAGGACGATGGGCGTAAAGGGGGAGGCGAGCGAGAGAGATTTAGGAGAGAGTGGCGTGAAGGATAATGAGGCCGGCGACGAGCTCACGGTGGAGTCGGACTCGGAGTCGATGAGAACCAAGGTTTCGATTTGGGGGAATTTTTTTTTTTTTTTTTTTTTGCGTTTTGTCGTGAGATATTAAGTTTTTTTTTTGGCTTCGGCTATAAACTATGACACTTAAAATTTTGGGATCTGAAGTTTGTGGCGCTTAAGTAAAATTTTCATCTAAATATTGGCGGAATAAGTGATTTTCGCTTCTGATTTGATGATTTTTTATCTTAGCGTTGTTTTAGTGCTATTATATAGTAATCAAAAAATAAAATTCATCTATCATAACAGTTACGGAAAATGAGCTATCGTCATATGCTATCAATGTAGATATTTCTTGTAGTGAAAAAATACATTATGAATTCCCATAATATGCATTTATAAGTGTGGACATCCAATACACTTATTAGATGAACCATGTTATCAAGTACCAAAACAAAGAAAAATATAACACTAATTATGTGATAATCACATTTATAGTTATTGGTTTATTTTGTCAAATTTCCACATCTAAAATGGAATAAAATATATAATTACGTAAGGAAACATATGCAACATGTTTTGCTCATTCATGAAACACATTGTCCTTTGACAAACATATGACTGACTGAAAATCACACCAGATTAACGCCTTTTGTTCTTCAAACCCCATGTCAACAGAAGCAGAATTCGTGGCGGCATCATTGTGTGCATGTAAATGTGTTTGTATGAGAAGGATTTTGGAGGAATTGGGTCTGATGGAAGCAAGCAATACCAAGATCTTGTGTGATAACATTTCAACAATCAAGTTGCTTACAAATCAAGTGTTGCACGGTCGGAATAAGCATATTAAAATATTATATATATTATATGTGTAAATGTTTATGTAAAACTTAATAAATAAATTGAAATTGAGAGGGAAAAAAAATTGTCTGTTAACAATATGACGTGACATCCACGTCGTTGCATACATCTATGTCATCAAAACTTAATAATTTATTGCTATTGTGGCGACAGATGTACGTATGATTTTGCACAAATTCATAAACGGATAATAATTAAGGTATGAATTAGCACGATGCTATATTTGATGTATGAATCGAACATAATTTTGTAGTTGATGTATGAAAAAGCCTATTTCCCGTTCAACATCCAGTGATGTTTTTTCTATAGCAAAAAAAAAAGCATCCGGTGATGTTTTTTTTTGGACTCTTTTGTTGGTTTTTTCTTTTTTAATTATCGTATTATATAATCATTTATTATATGATTGGTATTAGTCCGTGTTCAAAAAATCGCTAGATGCTAGTCGGGCGGTGAGGGTGGGCCTAGCGCCTACCAAGAAAATCGGAGATTAAACGGGGATTATTCGGGGATTAGTTTTAGGGCTATTTAATGTTTTAAAACATATTAATCCATTATAATTAAGAAATTTATATACTATTGTTTTTAAAATTGCATTAAACACATGAAAATAAGATTTTAAGCTCATATATATTATTTTTAAACAAATTACGAATATAAGTAGGTCGTTTTGAATTTTAGATCCAAAAAAAAAAAAAAATGGGCTAGGCGCCGTCTAGGCGGACAAAAAATCGGACCAGCGATTTTTCTTACCGATTTGGACAAAATCGCCGCGGTTCCCCTCCGATCAGCGCCTAGGCGGCCGATTTTTAGAACAGGGGTATTAGTTAACTTATATATTAACTCTGTTTATTTACTAAGAATTTATTTAGTATTGTTAACTTATACATTAATATATTTTATTCATCATGATAATTTAATTGTCACAGACTTATATGTTATATATTTTTTTAGTCTTTTTCATATATTCTTAAACTAACCAATCAATTATTTATTTGTTCAGTCTAGTGTGATATTCCTCCTCACATTTCAGCTTTGCTCAAAAAGCTTAGAGTGGATGCAACTCAACCATAATGCTCTTGATGTTAATATGTTGGTGCGTGTGAGAAGTACCGAGTTTCGATTGCTTAAATTGGACGGTGTAGGTATACCATTTGTTATCCTGCTGACATAGTCTTTTATACATTTTTGTATTCCTCCCTCTATTCATTTTTAGTTGATGGTTTAAGAAAATATTTTTGTTCTAAATAAGATGATGTTTTCAGTTTTTAATGTAATATTAATTAGTTTTTTATTAGTTTTGACTATTTATATTCTCCCGATTATTTTTCTATTGATTAGGTAATAAATGATTGTTTAGTTTATAGATAAACAATAATTAAATGCTTTTTTAATCGATGTGCAAAAACCGTAAAGTATTTTCAGCTTTTATCTCTACTGATTTAGTCTTTTCATACATAAATCATTGAATTTAAGGGATTTCGAGCTGGGATTTGATGAAAATGACAAAAAAAATTGTAGCTTACTATTGTAGGTCACTATTACCTTCCTGTCATTTTCATCTCTTTGAACTAATCTCTCAGGTAAGATAATACTTTAGGAACACTATTTTTGTGTGTGTTTACTTACCATTTGTTTGGCTTGTTTTTCTCTTAGTTGCACCGCATGATTCAAATCCTCCGCTGGGTGGAAGTCTCTCTCTGCATAGAGAATGACTCGGAGAATTTTGTTGTGATAAGAAGAAATTCGTTTGAGCTGGAAAAAAAACTCAATGCGCTTATCTCCATTCTTCCATCATTTGACCCACTTCTGGCGGTTTGGCCCATCACCATGATCTCTAGAGCATTTGAGCTTGCATCAAGTTCTGTTAAGACCTTATTTCACTGTGTGGTTAAGAGTTTGTGTTGAGTGTGGTAGGGTTGGTGGGACAGCTGAGGAGATGGCAGCGATGAAAGCTTTAGTTGACGCAGAGGTAGAGTCTTGGAGTAAGACTCTATCACTATTTAGATAATTAATGTAATTGAGCTATGATTGATTAAGTATGTCAAATGGATCTACTTCATTCCATAGTTACATTTGACTTTTTAATATAAAACTTCCAGATTATCTAAGTCACAATTTGAGTCATTGGTAATATTTGTAACCCTATTTCAATCATCAGGAGATGTCTAATGGATTGAAAGATATAAATCTCTAAGAGCAAGTCCAATGGTAGAGTCCTTAAAAACTCTTAAATATTTTTTTAATTATAAATTGTGACAATTTCAAAATTAAGAGTTTGTGTTGAATCCTTAAAATTTTCATTGTCCAATGGTACAGTCTTTAAGTGGGTTTCTTAAATAAAATATATTATTTTTAATTGAATATTATAAATATTTTTATTTGATAAAACTTAATAATTATTACAAATTCCTAATCGGAACCAAACTCTCTGATTTGGCCACTTGAATCTCTGATTTGGTGAACCAAAGTGGTACCGATATGATGAATTGAAATCGCCGGTGGTGAACAGCTTCGATGGAGATGACGATAACGACGGACAAAGACGAATATCCGATTGCATGTTTCTCATTTCAACGGGTCGAGTGTCGAAGAGATTGGTTCCGCCGTTTGCCTTCGAGAAAGAGAGAGAAAGAGAAAAAAAATTGTCGCAGAATAAAAAATACAAGGGATAATTTTTTTTTTGGCTTTTATATTTTTTCTTCATCCAATCACAAGGCAACACAACAAAGGTCCTTAACAAATCTTAGACCATCCTCATTGATGGGCTCTTAAGATAAATCTTATGGTAATAGACATTTCTTATCACTAACAAAAGTCTTTTACCATAAGATTTGTCCTAAGAGCTCATTAACGAGGATGGTCTTAAAACTCTAAGCTAAGAAACGATTCTTAGTCTAATATCTTGTTTTCATTAATTTTAATTACTTTTTAAGCTAAGAATTTCTTAAGAACTTCACTAAGAAACACCATTGGACTTTCTCTAATGGGTTGAAAGATATAAAGTGACTAAGCCAAAACATGTTAGCTGAAAATCTTGTATAAAATGGAGATTTCTCTGGTTCAAATAACTCTGTCATTGATGTATTTTGTTTTTGTTCACTAAATAATTAGAAGGTTGTGGATCCCACTCTACTATCTTTATCTGCCGGCCATTATTTTAACTTTTAACTTACCTTTCCTCTCAAGCTTGCTTAGACCATATACATGGGTGATACTTTTAGAGTATCACAAGCCCATAAATTATTTTTATATAGTCAAAACAATTAGAATGGGCATGATTAGTATCAGCCCAGTGATACTTTTGATACCAGTATCATCTGACGTGGCATCTCCTGATTGATCGCGTTTGCCAAAAATAAGGAAAAAAAATAAAAAACATTAAACAAATATTATAAATAATACTAAACAAATTCTTAATGATACTTTATGAGTATCACCCATGACCATGATCTAAGGGCCACATCAACGTTAGGTAGGAGCAATAATCATCACATATGGCAAAAGTCAACATTAAGGTAACTAGTTGTCTTCTTTGATATGTAGATTGAAGAGGAAAGATCAAAAGCTATCAGTTGTTGTTAGAGATGAGGAATGCAGAGCTCATCTTTATCCCAACACCAACCGTTGGTCATCTTGTTCCGTTTCTTGAATTTGCTAGGCGTCTCATTGAGCAAGATGATAGGATCCGTATCACAATCCTCTTGATGAAACTACAAGGTCAGTCTCATCTGGATTCCTATGTTAAGTCAATTGCTTCCTCTCTGCCGTTTGTTAGATTCATTGATGTCCCTGAGTTAGAGGAGAAACCTATACTTGGTAGTACACAGTCTGTGGAAGCTTATGTATATGATGTTATTGAGAAAAATATCCCTCTTGTGAGGAATATAGTCATGGATATTTTATCTTCTCTTGCATTTGATGGAGTTACGGTCAAGGGATTTGTTGCTGATTTTTTCTGTCTCCCAATGATTGATGTTGCAAAAGATGTAAGTCTCCCTTTCTATGTGTTCTTGACTACAAATTCCGGGTTCTTAGCTATGATGAAGTATCTAGCAGATCGACATAGTAAAGATACATCGGTTTTTGTAAGAAACTCCGAGGAAATGTTGTCGATTCCTGGCTTTGTAAACCCTGTCCCAGCCAATGTTCTGCCATCAGCTCTGTTTGTTGAAGATGGTTATGATGCTTATGTTAAGCTGGCTATACTGTTTACCAAGGCTAATGGAATCTTAATGAATTCGTCCTTTGATATTGAGCCTTACTCTGTCAATCACTTTCTTGAAGAACAGAATTACCCTTCTGTTTATGCTGTTGGCCCCATATTTGACTTGAAGGCCCAGCCTCATCCAGATCAGGACCTCGCCCGTCGTGACGAGTTGATGAAATGGCTTGATGATCAGCCCGATGCATCGGTTGTATTCCTTTGTTTTGGGAGTATGGGCAGGTTAAGAGGTCCTCTAGTGAAGGAAATAGCTCATGGACTTGAGCTATGTCAGTACAGATTCCTCTGGTCACTTCGGACTGAAGAAGAAACGAACGATGATCTTTTTCCCGAGGGATTCCTTGACCGTGTCAGCGGTCGGGGAATGATATGCGGTTGGTCTCCTCAGGTGGAAATATTGGCCCATAAGGCAGTGGGAGGTTTTGTTTCTCATTGTGGATGGAACTCAATAGTAGAGAGTTTATGGTTTGGTGTGCCAATTGTGACATGGCCAATGTATGCAGAGCAACAACTCAATGCGTTTCTGATGGTGAAGGAACTTATGCTCGCAGTGGAGCTGAAGCTTGATTACAGGGTACATAGCGATGAAATAGTAAATGCAAACGAGATAGAGACTGCTATTCGTTGTGTAATGAACAAGGATGATAATGTTGTGAGGAAAAGAGTGATGGATATCTCGAAGATGGCGCGGAAAGCGACGTGTGATGGTGGATCTTCGTATTCGGCTATTGAGAAATTCATACAGGACGTGATAGGAATTAAGCCTTAGCTGTTTCTATCCATTAGGAAAATAACCTTTCTATTTCACACTAAAACTTGTTCTTGAATCAACTGCGAGTGAATTTAATTGTTTTTATTGTTGAATTTAACTTCGGATACCTTTGAAAAGTATTATTCATCTCTCTTTTGGTTTGTGGGCAGATGTTGAATCGAGATTTCCAAAACTAAAATAAGGCCAAGAACATACTTTGGTGTTGGTACGAGTTACAAACATAAAAGTTATCAAAAAAGCTTTATTGCGAATATCTTAGAACAACACAGCAAAGGAACAATTTATCAATTTAAAACAAAACATAGAAAAAGAAATCTGGAGTTTGTGTAACCAACTATATATATATAAGAAAAACATAATTATAGAAAGAACATTAGAACTGCCGAATTATTCAACCTAGCATGTCGTGTTCCAAGGATCACCTATTTATAGATACATTGATTGTAACTAGGGTCTGTGGAAGTTAGCATGGCACTATTTGGGAAAAAGAAAAAGCATGAATTGTTGGTCCGGCCATGTTGTTCGTAGTAAGAATTCATCAAATATGAAGCATGGCTTATTGTAGTATTGGGCTTAAAACATGCTCCACTTGGTAGGATTGGTCTACAATCAACTCCATTAGCACACGCAAAACCGATATTATCTTCTAGCTGCTCATACTTTGCCGTCTGCATTGATACACACCATTGTTTTGAGCTTGCTACGGGAAGGTGGTTGATCATGATGGATGATAGAAGGATTACGATGAACGTCAACAACGGCGACATGTTTGCCATCTCTTAATAAGGAATAAAAATTCTCTAAGCTTTTTTGTATAATGAAGTTATGATGATTTCTTATTAAGAAAGGTGATTATATACGTATTTATAGAAGAGTAATGTACGAAGGAAAGGAAATATGAATGTATGAAAGAACATTTTGTACATAATAAATGAGGAAAATTTACAAAAATAGTAATGTATGAAGAAAAGGAAAGATGAAAAAATACGGAAATTGATTTTTATAAAAATAGTAATGTTTACGAAGAAAAGGAAAGATGAATATATGAAGGTGATACATTATTTATACATAAATGAGGAAGATTGTAGGAGTGTCGTTGGTCTACCAAATCTTCTCTTTACATATATGAATACTCTAATAAAATGGAATGATAATATTCAAAGATTTATATTTCCGAGTACAATTGTCAATTGAAATCTTTCCTTTTTTTTTTGTCAAATATCTATGGAAATCTTCCTTTTACATGTATGAATGAATACTCTAATAAATTCAAATGACATTCAAAAAAGAGTTATGTTAGATATCTATGTGAGATTGATGATCTTATGCCTAAGTTATGCTCAACATCAAAGATGACTGCATTCTCATAGAATAATTCACATGTGCATTTTCATAATAATACAAGTGGACAAGTGGTAAATAAATACAAATATACAATTACTTGCTTGTGTCTGTCTCACCACGTATACCCTCGACCATTTCTTATGCTTATTTTTTTTTATTTTGTTGAGATAATAATACAAAACCTTAACTTCTTCTTCTTTAGACTTTTATGTTTCTTGGAAAAATCGCCAGAAGAATATGGAGAAGCAAGAAGCAGAGCTCATCTTCATCCCATTTCCAATCCCCGGACACATGCTTGCCACAATCGAACTCGCGAAACGTCTCATCAGTCATAAACCTCGTCGGATACATACCATCACCATCCTCCATTGGAGCTTACCTTTTCTTCCTCAATCTGACACTATCTCCTTCCTCAAATCCCTAATCCAAACAGAGTCTCGTATCCGTCTCGTTACCTTACCCAACGTCCCAAACCCTCCACCAATGGAACTCTTTGTGAAAGCTTCAGAATCTTACATTCTTGAATTCGTCAAGAAAATGATTCCTTTGGTTAAAGAAGCTCTCTCCACTGTCTTGTCTTCTCGTGATGAATCGGATTCAGTTCGTGTCGCTGGATTAGTTCTTGATTTCTTCTGTGTCCCTTTGATTGATGTTGGAAACGAGTTTAATCTCCCTTCTTACATTTTCTTGACTTGTAGCGCAAGTTTCTTGGGTCTGATGAAGTATCTCCCAGAGAGACACCGTAAAATCAAACCGGAATTTAACCGGAGCTCTGGCGAGGAAACAATTCCGGTTCCTGGTTTTGTTAACTCCGTTCCGGTTAAGGTTTTGCCACCGGGTCTGTTCATGAGAGAGTCTTACGAAGCTTGGGTCGAAATGGCGGAGAGGTTCCCTGAAGCCAAGGGTATTTTGGTAAATTCATTCGAATCTCTCGAACGTAACGCTTTTGATTATTTCGATCATCGTCCGGATAATTACCCACCCGTTTACCCAATCGGGCCAATTCTATGCTCCAACGATCGTCCGAATTTGGATTTATCGGAACGAGATCGGATCTTGAGATGGCTCGATGACCAACCCGAGTCATCTGTTGTGTTCCTCTGCTTCGGAAGCTTGAAGAGTCTCGCTGCTTCTCAGATTAAAGAGATCGCTCAAGCCATTGAGCTCGTCGGATTCAGATTCCTCTGGTCGATTCGAACAGATCCGAAGGAGTACCCGAACCCGTACGAGATTTTACCAGACGGGTTTATGAACCGGGTCATGGGTTTGGGTCTTGTTTGTGGTTGGGCTCCTCAAGTGGAAATTCTGGCCCATAAAGCAATCGGAGGGTTCGTGTCACACTGCGGTTGGAACTCGATATTGGAGAGTTTGCGTTTCGGCGTTCCAATTGCCACGTGGCCAATGTACGCGGAACAACAACTAAACGCGTTCACGATTGTGAAGGAGCTTGGTTTGGCGTTGGAGATGCGGTTGGATTACGTGTGGGCTCATGGAGAAATCGTGAAAGCTGATGAAATCGCAGGAGCCGTACGATCTTTAATGGACGGTGAGGATGTGCGCAGGAGAAAACTGAAGGAGATTGCGGAGGCGGCAAAAGAGGCTGTGATGGACGGTGGATCTTCGTTTGTTGCGGTTAAACGATTCATAGATGGGCTTTGACCGGTGATGGTTTTTAAGTTTTAACACCATATAATTTAAGCTAGCTCTGAGTCTCGAGAGTCGAGTGTTATTAACTTTGACATGTCTTCACCAAAATCTTCATATCTTCTAATTAGCCGCGGTCCAATCATTTGATTGGCTATGCGCTTTATCATATCTTCCTATATGTATGATTAAATCTCTAATTTCCTAACATTGCGTACTACTAGGAAGCATGCAATGCAAACACCAACAAACAGAATTGAAATATAAAGTTAGTGCGACACAACACACAATATCAATTAGTAGATCTTTAACAAAAAAAATCTCTTACTAATAAAAGGTGCTGTTTGAAGCCTCTCAGGCCATCCACATCAGCAAAATGAAAACTATCTTAGAGAATGCCACGTCAGCCTAATCACTCTGTGATTCTAAATTTTCTTCCAGTTGCCATGTCATCATCAATCAAGAGAATTATTTGACGCTTCCTTTTTTATTTAAGAAAATCTCTCAAAATTTTAGACTTTAATAGGGTTTAGGGAGGTGATAACGTCAGTAAGTTGAACAGTTTCCCTTTCCCATGACTTCCCAGTTCTCATAAACAATGCATCTCCCCATATCTACATCATCGAAGGCTTTCTCTTCAATCTTTTTTTCGGTTTTATTTCTTGATTAATTTCAGATTCGATCGTCGGTAAGAACAGAGGTGCCTCAGTTTTATTCCAAGTTATCACAGACCTCAACTTGGTACGCTTCTCAAGTTGTCACTTTCCTTCGATACCTTAATTTCCTTTCAAAAGTAACATTTGTTGCCGGCTTTTCAAATATTAGTGGCTTCTATAACAATGTGGGATTTGATGGCTTCATGCCACTTTTGTGTTTTAATGATGCCATATCTTATTTTGCCATAAAATGCTACTTCTTTGTATATTTGTCTTATGAATAATGATTCGAATAGATTTTTAAGATTTCTTATTTCACATTGATTTTATCACCATTCACCATTCTCATCTCCAGAAAAAAAAGATGTTCACTTGCATCGTTCAGATCATACGATTCGTCACGTAAGTATTTTCTACTTTATATATGTTTCTAAATTTCCATAAATATAGTAATATTTTCATTGTTAAACACATAAATTCGAAGACCAAAATTTATAAATTCATCTTACTATCTTCACCTCTTCAAGTATCTACATGTAGTAAAAAACTATCTCCACAAAATCTTGTGACTATCATCATTGCAAAACACAATGAATGATGTTAAATCTTTTTTTTTTAATGGTTCTAACAGTTGTATGCTTGAAAGAAATAGAAAGAGAACAAAGCAGGGAGTTCGAAGAGGTGGAACTAAAATTTGACTTCAACCTCTTTTTTATAGTCTTTGATGAGAAGGTTGTTCAAAGTTTCTTATCCGGGTCTCTGGCGCTTCATCTTCTAAGACAGGAATCAGAAGATCATGTGTTAACCGCTTAGTAAAAAGAGAAACAAATAACATGGAGGTGATTATCATAAGAATGGTAACAATATATGTAACCCGTTATCATTTATTTTTTTGTCGCATCCTCTTACAATGGATAGATAAAACTAAACAATTAATAGTACCATATAGGCTTTTCGGTGAAATTATTAAAGCGTTAAATATAAAATTACTTACTTTTGGCATCTATATATAAAAATAAATAATTACCGGGCTACGCCCGGATTTTCTTCTAGTCTCTTACTAATAAAAGGGACTAATTGAAGCTTCTCAACCTATCCACATCAGCAAGCTAAAACACATCTTAGAGAAAGCCACGTCAGCATCAAATTCACAAATAGTCTCACTCCAACATTTCCTTAGAACACGCTTAAAATAAATTAATTACGATCCATATACTCTTAATTGGCTTTACTGAAAACTCTCAAACTTTAGCCCATTAAAACTAAAACCGAAAAAAAAAAATCCCAAACAAGACACCACAAACTCTTCTTCTTCCACGTCTAAACCTACATCGCCATTGATGAACGCCAGACTCAAACCGCTCCGTCTTCCCGTTGTCTGAAATTAAAGCCGTTACCACTTACTTTAAATGGCCACTTCAGTCTCATTGATATCATCTCTTCCCATACCCTATAAAATCTGCGTCCGTAGTGCAACCATCACCATCAAATTTTTGTAACGCCACTCAGAAAAGCAACCATGACAGCTCTACGTACCTCTGTCCCTGCGAAGACACTGACCAAAAAAACTTTTGAAGAAGATTCTTATTCAAATTGATCCAGTTGGGGAGTTTCCTATTATCACTGCCATTACGATGTATATATTATCACCGTAAAAGAATTAGAGCATTCCTGCTCCTACTCCGACGAAGAAGATGCATGTGGGTGTTCCTTTCGAGAACAAAACACGTCAAAAGGCTAAGTAGATCAATGATACATTTGTGTAGTCCTGTCAATCCTTCCACTCATTCCCATATTGAAAAACTGATTACAGTCTTATTTAGTTTTGTTTTTTTTTTCCAGGGTATCGGAGATTCAACAGTAAAGAAACCAGAACAATAACAGTGGTAAATTAGAGACTGATCTCATGGTGAGGAGATTATCTTTAAAAGATTGGCGGTCCATATCTTATTTATTTCTTCTTCTTTTCTTTGCACTTCCCTTGACTTCTGCTCAATTTTCATTAATCTTACGCCTTTACCAATCTGTTTCTTCTTTCGATGGAGGTATGCATAGGGTGAACACATCTCTACTCGGGAGACCGCATTTTGGATTGCACAGTCTAGATAAGATTCTATTTTAAAAATTAAAATCACAGGATCCTTATACGATACGAAGTATGTTGCCTTACCGTTATTGTTTCATATATATACAATGGCCTTGAATGGGTAGTAGTTTCTAGCATGGTTTTTGGTTTTTGATTTTTAAAAACCATTTAATCATCCATTCAGGATTATGAGAAAATGGTTTCCCTAAAAAATAGGGAATCTAGATTTTGACAGTTTTTGCAATTTTCTTAAGAAATCCCAAAAACCCATTTTTGTTAGTTTTTAGAATGTTTGCCGTGGATTCCAACTTTTTTTTATTTTCCATTTATTTCTTTTCCTATTTTTTCTCTCTTTTACAAAATTCAAAAACCAAAAATCAAAATCTAAAATCTATAAACCAAAATCCATAATCTAAAAACCACTCAAAAACCCCAAAACATTCATGGCCAATATGTTCCATGCAAGAGTTTCCAGTTTTTACTCCCTTTCTACCTAGCTAAACTTTGTGTCCATTAGCTACATAAAGGCCAACGTTTTAAACATTTTACATTCATGAACTTGGCTTAGAATGTAGTCTACTTGGTCTGGTGTAGTAAGCAATCCAAATAGTCTTTGTTGTCGTTGATGGATGGATACGAAGAGATCAAGTTGATGAAATATATTTTTTTTGGCAACTTAATTGAGAGCAGTGATTATTCTCTGGTCTAAGAGAGGAACCACCATGGAGCCTGATCAACTTACTGTGAATTAATATGAGTGGCCTGGCCACTGGTATTAAAGCCCTGAAATATATCGCTTACCCAACTTAGGTAACGTCTATCAACTCCCAGCTCAGGTAACCTAGAGATTTTTAGGCAAGGAGTCTAAATAATAAGTTTAGATTTTCTGACTTTTAAATTGTTTAGCATTCCCTGTAATATTGAACCAAGCACATTGATATTAATTATGTAACATTCATAATTATAGATTTCTTTTTAATATTTTAGTACAGTTATGTATTTGGATGTCTTTCACTATCAAAGATATATAGACTAAATATTACGAAGTTAACATAAAAAAAAACACATAACAATCTAAATTGTTGTATCCCAACTTTTGGTTTATAAAGTTGAAAGAAATTATTTGGACACATATAGATTCGTTTTAAATGTTTTAACACCTCTTATGATAATTGCAAAGTCAGATTAAGATTACTCCTACATATTCGTTATGCAACAAAAAAAAAGGGGTAAGACCATCTCCAATGTATTTCTCTATAATAGAGTTGAGTTTCCTCTATTTTTACTCCAATGTGTTCTTCTATTTTTTTCTCTAAAAAAGTTTTAACTCTATTTATAGAAGAAAAATAGAGATCCTCTATATAAAGAACAAAAAATAGAGATTTCTATTTTAGGAGAGGTGTGTTGGAGATATAATAGAGACATCCAAAGTTAGCAAATAGAGGGAAAACCTTATATTAGAGAAAACCTTATAAACTTTAGAATCATAGTCTTAATAAAATGAAATTAAGGGTAGTAGGCGTTGATATTGTTTTAATACCTCTTATGATAAGACAATGACTTTAAAGTACCCTTAATTTCATTTAAATAAACAACTCCTTATATACAAAATAAGGATAAATAGAGTAGTATACTTTCGTGTCTTTTCTAAAAATTTGTTTTCCACATTTCCTAAAATCTTAAGTCATAAAGAAAAGAAGATTCTTCAAATTCTCAATGTTAGGTCGCAGGTAGTAATGTCCAGTGTGAAGAGGTAGAAATAGAGGAGGAGGTGCAAGCAAACAACGACAATGGCAGCGGTGAAGATGATGAAATGGTAACTCTCATGTTCCTTTCAGAGACGAAAACACTAATGACTCATATATATTCATAGAACTTGGTGAGTTGAGGACGATTGAAAACAATCGTATGTTTAGATGCTTAAGTGAACTAAAACAGAACAGAAAAATATGCCTTATGTTTTTGTTATCCATCAATCTTTGTTATGATGGGTATGATCCACCATTGAACAGAAGAAAAATTATTTTGTGTGTGAGTGTGTTAATTTTGATCCAAGTGTTCTCCTTTCATGCAAAAGCAGACACATTTAGACATATACATTGCTTGTGTGAAGAATACAATATACTTTTAAATTGTAAATATATATTACAAAGAATTCAGTTTAAATATAGACAAAACCGAACCATTAATTTTTCAATAATATTTTTAAAAAAATAAAAGATACTGCATCACATGATTATTTGGTATGTATTCTATAAAAACGAAAAAAATAATTTTAAAATAAATTAGTTTAGTTATCAAAAGTATAACGGGCGTAGCCCGGATTATCCTCTAGTATCAATTAGTAGACAGTAATGAAGAGATGTGAAACAAAGAGATAATTATGTTTTTTCTCTTCGTCAAAAAAATAGAAATTGGCTACAGCTACATTAAAACAAAATTTTCTTTGCCTCTTGGCTCTTGCAAATTATTAGTTTGCAATATTAAGACCATAAAATGAATTTTTATGAAATTTTTTCATAATAATATTCTGTTGAAACTAATCCTTGTGTGGTAGTTATGTTCGCGTAGGGCATATGCAACGCCAAAACAGTTGGTGTGATCTTAGTAATTTAAAATTAAGAAATAATGGGAATAGTGCGTTTAGTTCTTGCTCAAGACCTGTTCCTGGCCCTGTTCTTGGGTTTGGGACTTATTTTATTTTTTTTAATTCTAAGCACACCATTAAGATGATCTTCCGATAATTATGGTCTAATTCTGCTGTATAATTTGTAGAAGAAAAAATATTTTTATTTTTTTTTTATTTTGTGTTTTCCTTTCATCCTTTTAATGAAAACATAGAAACGATTTACAAATCCAAATATTGTTTTTTATATGTTTCACCAGTGTTTTAAAATCCACTCGAATGGCCTACAAAAGTAGCTAGATCTTGTAGTTAGCCAATAGAACAAATGACACATGTTGTAGTGATCTGTTTAACGAAGTCACATATGCATTGATATGTACAATAATAATACATGTTGTAGTTTTATTTTATTTATTTTAGTTTATTTTTGTCTGCATTTACAATAATTAAAATACATGTTGTGTTTAAATTAAATTATTTCCCTGTCTCTTACTAATATTTTAATAAAATACTCACTAATCATCGATGCATACAAAACAAACCTTTCGATCAACAACTGCGTTGCACAATCTCTGTTTCATTTTTATTTATTTTTGTCTGTATGTACAACTATAATAATAATACATGTTGTATTTAAATTCAACTATTTCCCTGCCTATATATATTTGTGTAAAACAGCCAACAATCATCAACACATACAAAACAAAACTTTCTCGACAACTCTTGCACACACTCTTTGTTTCATTTTTATTTTGTCTTCCCATATTGACTTTTTAAGTTTCTCTGAAAATCTCACGTAGTATGGGGATGCAAGAAGAAGCAGAGCTCGTCATCATCCCTTTCCCCTTCTCCGGGCACATTCTCGCAACCATCGAACTCGCGAAACGTCTCATAAGTCAAGACAATCCTCGGATCCACACCATCACTATCCTCTATTGGGGACTACCCTTTATTCCTCAAGCTGACACAATCGCTTTCCTCCAATCCCTAGTCAAAAATGAGTCCCGTATCCGTCTCGTTACCTTGCCCGAGGTCCAAAACCCTCCACCAATCGAACTCTTTGTGGAATTTGCTGAATCTTACATTCTTGAATACGTCAAGAAAATGATTCCCATTGTGAGAGATGGTCTCTCCACTCCCTTGTCTTCTCGCGACGAATCGGATTCAGTTCGTGTGGCTGGATTGGTTCTTGATTTCTTCTGCGTCCCTATGATTGATGTGGGAAACGAGTTTAATCTTCCTTCTTACATTTTCTTGACGTGTAGCGCAGGGTTCTTGGGTATGATGAAGTATCTTCCAGAGAGACACCGCAAAATCAAATCGGAATTTAACCGGAGCTCTAACGAGGAGTTAAACCCTATTCCTGGTTTTGTCAGTTCTGTTCCAACTAAGGTTTTGCCGTCAGGTCTGTTCATGAAAGAGACTTACGAGCCTTGGGTCGTACTAGCCGAGAGATTTCCTGAAGCTAAGGGTATTTTGGTAAATTCCTACACATCTCTCGAGCCAAACGGTTTTAAATATTTCGAACGTTGTCCGGATAACTACCCAACCGTTTACCCAATCGGGCCGATTTTATGCTCCAACGACCGTCCGAATTTGGACTCATCGGAACGAGACCGAATCATAAGATGGCTCGATGACCAACCCGAGTCATCAGTCGTGTTCCTCTGTTTCGGGAGTTTGAAGAATCTCAGTGCTACTCAGATCAACGAGATCGCTCAAGCCTTAGAGCTCGTTAACTGCAAATTCATCTGGTCGTTTCGAACCAACCCGAAGGAGTACGCAAGCCCGTACGAGGCCTTACCAGACGGGTTCATGGACCGGGTCATGGATCAAGGCCTCGTTTGTGGTTGGGCTCCTCAAGTTGAAATTTTGGCTCATAAAGCTGTCGGAGGATTTGTATCTCACTGCGGTTGGAACTCGATACTTGAGAGTTTGGGTTTCGGCGTTCCAATCGCTACATGGCCAATGTACGCGGAACAACAACTAAACGCGTTCACGATGGTGAAGGAACTTGGTTTAGCCTTGGAGATGCGGTTGGATTACGTGTCGGAAGATGGAGATATAGTGAAAGCTGATGAAATCGCAGGAACCATACGATCTTTAATGGACGGTGTGGATGTGCCAAAGAGTAAAGTGAAGGAAATTGCTGAGGCGGGAAAAGAGGCTGTTATGGACGGTGGATCTTCGTTTGTTGCGGTTAAAAGATTCATTGGTGACTTGATCGACGGCGTTTCTTTAAGTAAGTAGAAACGCGGTCGTTTTCATGTAATTGGGGCTTGTGGCGACCATGTTTCTGCTCAAATTCCTTTTTCGTTTGTGTTTTTTTTTTTCAATCGTAATTATCATTTTATTTTTATAATAGAAGACTGAGGGCCTGATTGGTTCCGGCTGTAGCTGTAGATTTTTTACTGTAGATTTTAGGCTGTAGATGTTTTGGCTGTGACTGTAGATTTTAGTGCTGTAGTATTTTTGCTGTAACATTTAAAATTTTGGAAAGTTAAAAATTGTATGCTTTAGAAAAAAAGGCTTTCTACAGCCAAAAAAATTAATTATGGAAATATTTTGGCTGTGAGAAAAAAAAGGAAAGCTAAAGCTTCTAAAGCTTGATTGGATCTATTTCAATGCTTTAGAAATTTTTTTGCTTTGTAAAGACTCTAAAGCACTTGCCAATCAGGCCCTGAGTCTTCTTACAACTTTCCCAATTCCATGTGTTTGTAAGGGAATCATATTTGCTTCCATGTTGTTGTATCTCTCCTATTTAAGGATCAAAAAGACTTTCTTCTCTTAAAAGTATACCAAATTAAACTAAACTCTAATTAGGTTGGCGAGATGTGATCGGAAATACGATAATAAATTAATAAAACACACTCAAAAGTCAAAATTAAAGATTCCAACCACTAAAAAATGTACAATCGAAATATATTAGTCTTTGTGGTTACGTAAGCCCCCGTTGGAATCGCTCAAGTTGATTGATATAAAAAAAAAAAAAAAAAAAAAAAAAACAAACAATATTATCTTTTTGTCAACGAAAACATAATTTTTTCAATGATTATATATGTTTAAATTTCTAATTTCCCACCATTGTGTTACACAACCCATCAAATTTCAACAAATTTGTGTACTTATGAGAAGCATGCAATAAAACAACAAAAAACGCTGAAAAATCTAAGAATTGAAACATAAAGTGAGTGCAACACAACATGAAACATAAACTCTAATGGAAAGTGAAAATCATACTTTCCACTTCACAAAATTACATATTCTGCAATTAAAAGTGTCTCAGACTCTCTCAGACTAAAATTTAATTAAAGATTATAAATATAATCGAAATATATCAGTCTTTGTGGTTTGCCCATCTTGAGTGCGACACAATATCAACTCGAAGATACTAATTATAAAGAGATGTGACCCAATTATGTTTTCCTCTTCTTTAAAAAAATGAGATTGACAACAAAATGATATGTATAAAATTTGTCTACCGTTGGATTAACACCAAAAATTAAACAAAATTTGCCTCTAATCATTCTAGCAAAATTATGAGTTAGTGACTTTTAAAGACCATTTGGTGAATTTAGTGAAATATTGTCATAACAATATTCATAACAATTTTACTATATAGTTTGTCGGGAAAAAAAAAGTAGGAAGAGAGAGTCAGTCACCAAAACTCATATGGCTATCTTCTCCACAGCACAACCACTCTCTCTGCCACGTCATCCAAACTTCTCCAATCCGAATCAACCAACTACCAATAACGAACGTTCCCGCCACACTACTTCTCTGATCGACCGATGTTCGTCTCTCCGACAACTGAAGCAAACCCATGGTTACATGATCCGTACCGGTACGTTGTCTGATCCTTACTCAGCTAGCAAGCTATTCGCAATCGCTGCGCTCTCTTCCTTCGCGAGTCTCGAGTATGCACGGAAGGTGTTTGATGAAATTCCTCAACCAAATTCTTTCACTTGGAATACTCTTATTCGTGCTTACGCTTCTGGACCAGACCCTGTTCGTAGCATCTGGGCTTTCTTGGATATGGTTTCGGCGGAGAATCAGTGTTATCCGAATAAGTACACTTTCCCTTTCCTCATTAAGGCAGCTGCAGAAGTTTCACTTTTGTCTTTGGGTCAATCTCTTCATGGGATGGCGATTAAGTCAGCTATTGGAAGTGATGTTTTCGTTGCTAATTCTTTGATACATTGTTATTTCTCTTGCGGGGATTTAGATTCGGCTTGTAAAGTGTTTACTACGATCAAAGAAAAAGACGTTGTTTCATGGAATTCGATGATTAATGGGTTTGTGCAAAAAGGTTCTCCAGATAAAGCTTTGGAGCTTTTTAAGAAGATGGAGTCAGAGGATGTTAAGGCAAGTCATGTGACAATGGTTGGTGTCTTGTCAGCTTGTGCAAAGATACGGGATTTAGAGTTTGGGAGGCGGGTCTGCTCTTATATCGAAGAAAACAGGGTTAACATGAACTTGACGTTGGCTAATGCGATGCTTGATATGTACACAAAGTGTGGAAGCATAGATGATGCGAAAAGGCTGTTTGATGCAATGGAGGAGAAAGATAACGTCACATGGACAACAATGCTTGATGGGTATGCTATTTCAGAAGACTACGAAGCAGCTAGAGAGGTTCTTAACTCTATGCCTAAGAAAGACATTGTTGCTTGGAATGCTCTTATATCTGCTTATGAGCAGAATGGTAAACCTAATGAGGCACTGTTAGTGTTCCATGAGCTGCAACTTCAGAAGAACATAAAGTTGAACCAGATCACCTTGGTAAGTACTTTATCAGCTTGTGCCCAGGTAGGGGCACTGGAATTAGGTAGATGGATCCATAGCTACATCAAAAAGAACGGCATTAAGATGAATTTTTATGTTACAAGCGCACTGATTCATATGTATTCGAAATGCGGAGATCTTGAAAAGGCGCGTGAAGTGTTTAATTCTGTAGAGAAGAGAGATGTGTTTGTGTGGAGTGCAATGATTGGTGGCCTGGCAATGCACGGATGTGGAAGTGAGGCCATTGATATGTTTTATAAAATGCAAGAGGCTAATGTAAAGCCTAATGGTGTGACATTCACCAATGTCTTCTGTGCTTGTAGCCATACCGGTTTAGTGGATGAGGCTGAGTCGTTATTTTACAAAATGGAATCGAGTTATGGTATTGTCACCGAGGATAAGCATTATGCTTGCATAGTTGATGTTCTCGGCCGCTCGGGTTATCTGGAAAAAGCTGTGAAGTTCATAGAGGCGATGCCAATTCCTCCAAGCACTTCTGTCTGGGGAGCGCTTCTAGGAGCTTGTAAGATCCATGCCAATCTGAGTCTTGCTGAAATGGCTTGTACCCGTTTGCTTGAACTGGAACCTAGGAATGATGGCGCGCATGTGCTCCTATCAAACATATACGCTAAATCCGGGAAATGGGACAACGTTTCTGAGCTGAGAAAGCATATGAGAGTCACTGGACTGAAAAAAGAACCAGGATGCAGCTCAATTGAAATCGATGGCATGATTCATGAGTTTCTCTCTGGAGATAACGCTCACCCGATGTCTGAGAAGGTTTACGGGAAGTTACATGAGGTTATGGAGAAATTGAAATCAAATGGTTATGAGCCAGAGATGTCACAGGTTCTGCAGATCATTGAAGAAGAAGAAGTGAAAGAACAATCTCTGAATCTGCACAGTGAGAAGCTGGCGATTTGTTATGGACTGATATCAACGGAAGCTCCAAAGGCGATCAGAGTTATTAAGAATCTAAGGGTGTGTGGAGATTGTCATTCAGTGGCTAAACTAATATCACAGCTCTACAATAGAGAGATAATAGTGAGGGACCGGTATCGGTTTCACCATTTCAGAAATGGGCAGTGTTCCTGTAACGATTTCTGGTGATATTTCAGATTTTACTAAAAGAAACTCAGTCAATTTTTGTATTTGTTACACCTTTTTGTTTATATTTGCTTCATCTCCAAATCAAGTATTGATATTGGCCATATAGTAGAAGCAGAATAGGTTTCGTTAAATCTGATTGTGATTACTTTTACTGAAGAGTTATATATCTCACAACAACAAAAAAGAACTTGAGACCATGTTAGTGCAACAGCACAAAAAACCAGAAGATAGCTAAACCAGATATGCATTTCAACAAGTCTCGTAAGAATTTTAGTACAAAGAGTGGCTGACTCTACATAAGGCTAACTCTGTAAGAGTATTCACATTTTTGCACAGCTTCTGCATCACTTTTCCTTCATATCAACAAGCTGCTAAAACAGTAGATGTAATAAAAAGATCCTTCACCTGCAAGTTCATGAAAGTCTAACTAAGACTTGGGGCTCAAGAAACCGTTAAATAGTCCATACGCATCAAAGATTAACATACCTTGCAACTGCAAACGAATCATCAAAACGTAACAGAGCGAAGCAGATCAATGGAAGGCGAGTTCACTGATCTAAGCACAATCTCCAATGAATCGACCTTCCCCCAAATCTCACCACCTTGACGTTTCTCCAACGCGATCTCTAGATACCAAACATCTTCCAAACCATGCAGGCTGGATTTAACAGAGCCCAAAATCACCAGCTTCCCACCAAAATTCGCCATTTTACACTGATTATAACAGAAATCAGGCAAAACATATGCACCCATCACAGGTCTCCAAACCAACTCATTCAGATCATATACCACTATTCGATGTCCCAACCTAGGATCAATACAATACAGCAAATCTTCGATCACACAACTGACTTTCCAATGCAAGTTCAACTGAGTTTCCAATCCAATTGACTGCCATAAACCTTGTCTTGGTTCGTAAGAAAAACCAAACAGAGTATCCAAAATGCAAATCATTTCTTGCATCACCACACATGTCAAAAACCCTCCTCCTCTCAAACTAGAATTGTTATGGTCTGGATCAGGCACAGTACTCCAAGTCCGATTCTCTATATCGAACACTTCGATCCAATGATCATATAGCTTGGCGCAACCTCCGATCACATAAATCCTTCCGTCATTTACTTCTGCGGCTGCGTTGACGCGACGCCTCTTCATTCTTGGGAGAGAGAGACACGTATGAAATCTCAAATCGATGATAAACACATCTGATGTGGATTTATATCGGTCGTTGTGTCCACCGATTACATACATATCGTATCCGATTGTGACCACCGCAGATCCATGATTCAGAGGAGGAAGTGAACCGATTTCGCTCAGTCGTAAAGAGATATTTCTTGGAATGTTTCGATTGAGAATGTACAATCTCGTGGTATTATAAGGAGAGAATCCGATCAAGGCGTAAAGAACCGGGTCGGTGAGGCCGAGGAGCAAGCGGCTGTGGTAGAGACCTGGAGAAGATATGACGCGACGAAAGGCTTTGGAGAGGAGAGATAGCGACGGGTAATGACAACTCCGGACGAGTGCGACTGTACTTTCGATGAGTTCTTCTGGGATTTCTTGAGGAATCGGAGGAAGATTCTCTGCTTCTTCTTGTGGATTCTCTTCAACTTCTTGTGGATTCTCATCAACTTCTTGTGGATTCTCTTCAACATGTTGCGGATTCTCGTTTTGATTATCTTCTTTTTCTTGTTGCGGATTCTTGGTTGGATCGCCGCCATTAGAGCCGTCGTCGGAAGTTTCAAAGATGAAAGCCATCGCCGTGTGACGTCAGCAGCAACGAATTAACTGAAAAGTGAGCCTGAATTTGATATTTGAAAAAAGTGCTCTTGTATTTATAAAAACAAAGACACTAACGACGCCGTATATGATGGTAAAATGGGGCCTTATACGTCGTATAAGCGAGTGTAAATGGGGCCTAAGGCCCAAACATGAAAATATGAAAAATTAATTTATTTATTTATCCAAAAAAAAAACACATAATTTTATAGAAAACTTGAATCGTTCTGATTTTTTTTTTTAATCACAATCACTTACGTAGTAATGTTTGTTTAACTGGCAGGTTATCTTTTCAGCGTTGGACACTCGTGTGAAAAAAAACATTGTTTATAATTACTCGCTTGAACATGATGCTACAGATGATCTTTTCACTTCAGTTTTTATATGATGAAATTTATTAATAATCTTAGTTCCTTTTGTAGAGAAAATAAACATTTTCATATCAAAATGCCAAGTTTGATTTGAGTTTCAAGTTCCTATCAAATAAAAATATATAGCTAATCTAAGTTTTCTTATATTTGTCACAAAAAAAAAAAAGAAGAAGAAGACGATCCAATATTAGTTAATTAATGACAGTTACTTATTCATCAATTTACGAATTTATTTGTAGAGTAAAAATCGACACAAAACTTTCTAAAAATTTGACTCAGTTTATTTATTTGTATGTAATATATACTCTTGTTTGTGCTCGATTTCTGCTACTTCTACTTTGACCGTTTACTTTCTTGATTGCTCACTTTTGCTTTTAATTCTTGTATTTGAACATCCATTTATTTTCGACAGTTTTGATTTACTTAGGACTTAGGAGTACAGGAAGGTCCAAATGTTTGACTATATAGTACTCAACTGAAATAGTGAGGGAGTGACTGTTTTATTCAGCAAATACTATTTCTATGATCATAATCATAAACTTGTTAAAATCTCATTAAATAAAATGAAGTTTCAGTCTCTTTATTTAGTCAGCATGTTCCTCCTCCATGGAAAAACGACTGTGCATCATAATCCTTTAGGTAAACTTTTGACAATTTCATTTACAGCTGATCACTTCATTATATTATAAATAGTTTTTTTCTCTTGAACATTTCTTTGAACCATAATGCAATAATATGTTATTCACTGAAATCCGACTTTGCTTTGAAGTAAACTTTCCTTGAAAGCAAAAAACCTCAAGTTCCTGAACCCGAATACATATTTCCTAATAACTCTTTAGCTTATTACTTGATACTCAAGTTCTCTCTAATTTAGCAATAGTTCTAAGTACTAACTCATTTCCAAATCAATAAAACACTACAATTATTCATTTTAGTTCCTATTGATTCTTGATCAGAGTTCCTTCTTTTTATCATTTATTAACAGAAACACAAATATACTTAGCATGAATTTTGACATCCATAGCTATCTCATAGGAGGGTTGAAAAAGTTTGGTGTTATTATGCAGAAATAAAAACACAGGGTTTAAAAAGGGAATATAAGAAATTTCAGGGAGTCATTTAAAAATTGGAGGATGAATAACAAACAAACAAACCAGATTACAAAATAAACCGGAAATCACACTAAACTCGGTATTAGACTAAGAGTCATATTAATTAAACCAAAAGCTGATTTTTGCCCATGTGATTCGAAATCTGTAACTTGTAATTTGAATTTTTGTTTTTAACGGACATAATGTTCATATTAGGGGGGAAAAATCTAATTTCAATTCAAATCCAAATGGTCTAACGGAATAAGCCAGGGTATTTTCGTAACTTCGTATTAATTGGCCTAACCACTACAAATAGAAATTTTGTTCCTCTCTTTCATTTCATCACCGACTCGAAAAAAGCTTCGTCTCTACGATTTCAAATTACTTTCGCGATCAAATTTATCTGATCAGGAATCAATCTGTTTCGGATCCAGCCGGTGATGAATCTGATGTATGCGATCGCATTTTGGGGAACAATCCTTGTCGCCGCCGTCAAGAGAAGCGTGTGATTGAATCAGAAAACCCTCCGATTACGCAAAAGAATCAGGTATATAGTTAACCCAGTTCTGATCGATTTTAAGTTTGTTTTTGATTCATCGATTTTTTCTTTTACTTCATAATTCTCTTCCGATTATTGAATCTGGATTCGTTGCTTCAAATGTATCACAAATCCTTCTGATTATCACTAACCCCTTTCTTCGGGGTTTTTTTTTGGATCCATTTATAGTAATCTCTTAGCGATTTAGAAGAATCAGTGAATTTAGAAGTAGTGTGATGATGATGATGATCTTCAATTTGTCTCTTCCGATTATTGCTAGTTTTTTCTCTGGTTTCAACCATGGAGGTTTTTGAAAAACGTTGATTACATGTGTGATTAAGAAAATCTAGCGATTTAGAATTATTTGTGATGATTTTTCTCTGTTTGGTGGTTCAGTTCTTTGGCTTAATTTCATAATAAATTTTGCTAATTCACAATTCTCATTGGGAATTATAGATTATTAGCTGTAGTGTTTACTAATGATTTTTGTTACCTGGTTCTCTACATGATTTTTGTCTTATCTCCACTTCAATAGTTTACTTATGCAAAAGAGTTGGATTAGGAGTTTTAAACATAATTAGATCTAATGAAGAAGGGTTAGATTAGGAGTTTTAAACATGTCCCTAAGATATTACCTGATTCTTTGAATAGTGTTTGTCTATTTCTCCATTTCAGAGCTAATAACACTTCTCGTGAACATAAGATATAGTTAAACTGTAAGATTATGTATAGTTTAAAGCCTTTTGTATTTTATTCGCTCTATGTTACTCTATTAGTTGCTGACTAACTAATAAATGTCATTGCTTTCAAGTGCAGAGAACAATAGGGATACTATTTGCTAGCCAACACGTTTACTTCTAACAATGTATATTAGAGCAGAGCAACCAAACATGGAGGATTCTGTATGTTTTTCAATTTTGGTTGTATGATCTTTTGAATTTAAATATCCATTCAACGTTTAAGCTGCGTGTTATTAACAAGGTTTTTTTGGTTTCAGGAGCTTTCTTCAGTTGAAATGTAACTTTTGACAAAGGGTTTCAAGATGAAGGATTGTTTAGCTGCAAAGAAGATCATTCAGTTGCCAACAAAGGTACGTGTGGTTAAGTAGCTCTCTCTCTCCCACTTATCATGTCTCTTGCACTGTCTAAAAAACAGAGCATGAATCCACGAAAACCCACACTCAAACGAACAAAAAGAAAATCAAACACACAAAACTAATTTAAAGTCACGAAATCAAAAAACAAAATTCAAACACACAAACAAAAAACATAGCACACAACGTTCAAACGCATCAAGAAACAGAAAACACAACATAAATCCACGAAAACCCACACGCGAACATACACAAAAAAAATCAAACACACAAACAAAAAACATAGCACACAACGTCCAAACGCAACTTCAAGAAACAGAAAACAAACTTTCACATTTGATGGCTAGCTAGAACTTGCTTTGTGACTGTTCTTCAAACCAAATGCAAACTTGATATATAGTTGAAAGTGCTTTCGTGTACATGAGGATGGTTTGCAGTTTAAACCAGGTTTTCATAAGAAAGAGCAAAAGTTTCAGATGCGTTTCAATATACTCATGAATGACAAGGTAATCTTGTTAAACCCTTTTCATCGTTTTAAACTCTTTCTATTAGAACCAATGTGACTTATGTAAAACCACTTTAATATATACTTTAAGTATCAGGGTTTCAGTTATAATCTTCCATTTATTCAGAGGATAGCTCCGACCAGGTATCAAAATCAGAGAAGGTTAGTGCTTTATAGCATTGTGTGTTTTCTCATATTTAAGTTGTGTGGTTCTGTCTGTTTGATGTAGACATTGTTCCTACTTTTGTGTATAATATCCTTCTAATTGGCTTAATTGATGCATAACTTGCAGGAATAACTTTGTGTGAGCCTGTTGTTGTATCTATTAAGGAGGTTATAAAGAGACTTGAAGAAGGTAAACTTTTGTAACTACTTAATAAAGCATTTTATAGATTCTGAACCTTGATTTATGCTGAAAATCACAGTTATTCATTTTCTCTTGTTAATGCAGTTCACGCCATAGAAAGCATAAATTCAACGTATAAAGTAACTCAAGGATAATTCTGCTGATGTGCTTGTTTCTGTTTTTCTTGCTGCGAGAAGGAATCTTAGTTCAAGTGGGTTACCAGGACCAATAGCCGTCTCATTTAGAAATCTCTCTCTTCTTGAGTCATTGTAAGTATACAAATTCAAGCCATACACACACACACACACTATCCACTTCTTTATTCAAATTTAATATATGAGTCGTGTGCATTGTTTTCCCAGGGATTCATAAAACAACAACCTAAGAAAGGGATTTCGTTTGACAGCAATATGATAATGTATTTGTCTCTGACATTTATTTGTGTCACAGGAATTTGAAGGAAATAACTTGACTTGGTTTGTCCCAAGATCTCCTAGGAAAAGAACAATGGCTGGTGGACTTGCACTGAGAGGTACATTTTATTGTCAAAACCCCAGAACTTGCACTGAGAGGTACATTTTATTGTCAAAACCCCAGAACCATAGTTATCTTTCTTAGAGAATTTGTGTCTCTACCAGTTTCTGAAGCTTGTTCATGTCCTCTATGTTTCCAGTGTGGATGAACATAACATTTGTCACCCACGTTCATGTCAGGATGGGAACAGAATCATCGTGCCAATAGTTGTAGCCACATCATTTCGATTGTCAGTTAAGGACTGGAGGTCCATTCGGAACAATGAGGTTTGATGCTGAGCAAGCTCATGGAGCCAACAGTGGTATCCACATTGCTCTTAGGTTGTTAGACCCCATTAGATAGCAATTCCTTACTATCTCTTTTGCTGATTGATTTTAGATTTTAAAATAGTACTAATTGGTTGATGGTGATAACTTTAGGGTTTGGATTCTAACTCTCAATGTCCTTTTGGTGTGAAATTGATCTTTCAGCTTGCTGGTGTTGTGGCTGTTGAAGTTACTGGTGGCCCTGAAATTCCTTTCCACCTTGGAAGAGAGGTTAATCATTGCTGAGAGTGTGTGTTCTGCTTTCTTGTAGAGATGGCTGATTGGTAATTTACACATTCTCTCAATACTTGTAATACTGAAACACTGTGGGACTTGATTTTCTGTTTCTAACGTGCATATCTTGCTTTCAGGACAAACCCCAACCACCTTGGAAGAGAGGTTAATCATTGCTGAGAGTGTGTGTTCTGCTTTCTTGTAGAGATGGCTGATTGGTAATTTACACATTCTCTCAATACTTGTAATACTGAAACACTGTGGGACTTGATTTTCTGTTTCTAACGTGCATATCTTGCTTTCAGGACAAACCCCAACCACCTCCAGAGGGTCGTCTTCCTGATGCTACAAAATGCTACAAAGAGTTTTGATCACTTGAGAGGCTAAGCAGATGGGCTTCTCTGACAAGGACATTGTTGCTTTATCTGGTGCCCACATTCTATTTCTCCATTTCAGAGCTAACAACACTTGTGAAAAAGGTCATACTTGTAAGCAATGACCTTCACAAATAAAGGTCATTTCTTACAAGTGAAGAGATCCTTAAGTTGCAAAGAACAAAAGGAAGACATACAAATGTTAAGGTCAAGTCTCTTCCTCTGTCTCTTTTACCGCAAGTAGACATGTCAGATAGAGGCTTTCACTATCCCAAAAATGTTTACTTCCATACCATTCTATATCTCTTACAAAACGTTTGTCTGTTTTCTTTTTTATCTTTGAATAAGAATTAGATAAGGTGAACTAGAGAAGATGAAGCTGACTTCCAATTTCCAATGTGAGCAAGCAACCAAATGTCGACAGGGAGGATTCTGTAAGTTTGTCATTTTTTGGTTTTAATGATCTTTTGAATTCAAATATTCGTTCTATGTTTAAGCTGCTTGTTATTAACAAATGTTCTTTGGTTTCAAGAGTTGAAATGGAACTTTTGACAAAGGGTTCAAGATGAAGGACTGTTTAGCTGCAAAGAAGCTTTGAAGACCATTTAGTAGCCAAAAAAGGTATGGTTAAGTAGCTCTCTCTCTCTCACTTATCATATCTCTTGCAGTGTCTCAAAAACAGAGTATTAATTCATGAAAACACACTCAAACGCACAAAAAAAAAAAAATCAAACACACACAAATTAATTAAAGTCACCAAAACAAAAAACGAAATTCAAACGCACAAACAAAAAACATTGCACACAACGTCCAAACGCAACTTCAAGAAACAGAAAACAGAATATAAATCCACGAAAACCGACACTCAAACGTACACAAAACAAAAATCAAACACACAACAATTAATTAAAAGTTACACACAAACAAAAAAAAACATAGCACACAACGTCCAAACGCAATTTCAAAAACAGAAAATAGCTTTCACAGAATTTTTGTAACAAAAAGTGTGAATAATCACATCTGATGTCAAGAACTTGCTTTGTTCCCTTGTTTCTTACTTTCTTATCTACTTGCATTAGTATAGCTTGTATTAACTTATTTTTTCTTCAAGGGAAATGCAAACATGCTATATAGTTGAAAATGCTTTCGTGTACATGAGGATGGTTTGCAGTTTAAACCAGGTTTTCATAAGAAAGAGCAAAAATTTCAGATGCGTTTCAGTTTACTCATGAATGATAAGGTAATCTTGTTAAACCATAAATGTGACTTTATGTAAAACTACTTCAATATATATTTTAAGTATTCATGGGTTTCAGTTATAATTTTCCCTTTATTTTGAAGATAGCTCCGACCGGTTATCAAAATTAAAGAAGTACTTTATAGTTTTGTGTTTTTTCATAATTAAGTTGTGTGGTTATGTCTGTTTGATGTAGCCATTGTTCAGTATTTGGTGTATAATATCCTTTAATTGACTTAATTGATGTGTAACTTGTAGGAATTGCCTGCTGATGTATCATTAAGGAGTTGACAAAATAGACTTGAAGAAGGTAAGCTTCTGTAACGAATTGGTAAAACTATTTGAGATAAAGATGCAACCAAAACATATATTTTCACTTTCTTTTTGATTCTGTTTAGGCACACCGATCAAGAGTGGGTGACAAGAGGGATGCTGTTTCTGAAATCTTCCTATCTTGCTTTCAATTAGTTTCTAGATGATGCAGAGAAAGAGAAACATGTATTTCTATCTGGTAAGAATTTTACATGTAAGTCCTTGTTTTTCATTTTCCATTGTTGGCCTCGAATTTTGATTTATACTACAACTCACATTTATCCATTTTCTCTTGTTAATGCAGTTCACGCCATAGAAAACATAAAATCAACATATAAAGTGAATAAGGTTTGGACTGGTGATCCTTTCTCTTCAAGACTATTCCCTTGGGAAGGTACTTTTAATTACCAAATCAAGTCCCTGTAAGTCATTCATTTCAACCAGACAATAACTCATTTTTGTAATCTCCTTATCTGATAATTCTGCTGATCAGCTTGTTTTTGTTTTTCTTGATGCGAGAATGAATCTTAGTTCAAGTGGGTTACAGGGACCAATAGCCTTCTCCTTTAGAGATCTCTCCCTCGAGTTATTGTAAGTATACAAATGCAAGCCATACACGCACACTTTCCACCTCCTTTTCTTTTTGTGCAAATCTTCCCACCTCTATATTCACTATATATATGAGTCGTGTGCAATGTTTTCCCAGGGATATCAAGGAACAACCTGAGAGGGGATTTCTTGACTGATCTAAAGTAAGTGATGTTCTTTAAGGTTGAGCACATAGAGAGGCTTTTCGTTTGACAGACATTTGATAATGTATTTGTCTTTGACAATTATTTGTGTCACAGGGATTTGAAAGGAAATAACTTGGATGGATTTGTCCCAAGATCTATTAGGAAAAGAAGAAGGGCTGGCTGACTTGCACTGAGAGGTACATTTTCTTGTCAATACCCCGGAACCATAGTCATCTTGTTAATTTCCTCTCTGTTTTCAATGTGGATGAACAAATATTTGTTGTCACTCGTGTATAATTGTAGCTACATTAGTGATCATTCTCATTGTCGCATTGGTTGTGATATGCATCATGCGAAGTGAAAGAAAAAGAAGTAAAAATAGTTAGTCTTTTACATAATCTAAACGGTTAATAAAAGTCAGAACTATTTGTTGAAAGAAAGCGAGTGTTTTAGTTTCATAGTGTATTCGGGAGCTTAGACATTGTTTTATGGTTGCTAAAGTGGAAATTTCTTTGCAGGAGGAGCGAGCTTTTTTTGACAGTGCATCATCGGAACTTGTAAGTTTGTCAATTTTGGCTTAAAGATCTTTGGAATTCAAATATACATTCAATGTTTAAGCTGCTTGTTATTTTTAACAAGGGTTATTTGGTTTCAAGAGCTTTCTTAATTTGAAATGGAACTTTTGACAGAGGGTTTTAAGATGAAGGATTGTTTGGCTGCAAAGAAAATCATTCAGTAGCCAACAAAGGTATGTATGGTTAAGTAGCTCTCTCTCTCTCTCTCACTTATCATGTCTCTTGCACTGTCTCAAAAATAGAACATAAATCCACGAAAACCCACAATCAAACGCACACAAAACTAATTTAAAGTCACCGAAACACTAAACGAAAGTCAAACACACAAACAAAAAACATAGCACACAACGTCCAAATGCAACTTCAAGAAACAGAGAACAGAACATAAATCCACGAAAACCCACACTCCAACGCACACAAAAATTAATTAAAAGTCACCAAAACACAAAACGAAAACAAAATACATAGCACACAACGTCCAAACGCAACTTCAAGAAACAGAAAACATTTTGATGTCAAGAACTTGCTTTGTGACTGTTCCCTTATTTATTACTTTACTATCTACTTTCTTTGGTACAACTTGTATTAACTTATTTACTTCTTCAAGTGAAATGCAATCATGTTATTTAGTTGAAAATGCTTTCGTGTACACGAGCATTGTTTGCAGTTAAACCAGGTTTTCATAAGAAAGAGCAAAAGTTTCAGATACGTTTTAATATACTCATGAATGATAAGGTAATCTTGTTTAACCTTTTTCATCATTTTAAACTCTTTTCTATTAGAATTAATGTAACTTTATCTAAAATAATTATATGTTTTAAGTATTCAGAGGTTTCAGGTATGATATTCCATTTATTCACAGGATAGCTCCGACGGGGTATCCAAATTCTGCCTCAAAATTAGAGACGGGGTATCCAACTTTATAGTATTGTGTTTTTTTTTTCTCATAATTAAGTTGACATTGTTCTTTTGTTCATTATTTTGTGTCTAATGTCCTTTTAATTGGCTTAATTGATGTGTAATTTGCAGAAATAACTTTGTGTGAGCCTGATGTTGTATCTATTAAGGAGTTGATAAAGAGACTTAAAGAAGGTAAGCTTTTGTAACGAATTGGTAAAGGATTACAACTATTTTTTAGACTCAGAACTACAATGCACTTGCAGTTTAGTTTGTGCAAGAAAAAAATAATGAGTAAAGATGCAACCAAAACATATCTTTTCACTTCCCTTTTGCTTCTATTTAGGCACACCGAGCAAGAGTGAGGGACAAGAGGGATGTTGTAAATGTGAGAAAAATAATCAGGAGACAACTGAGATCTTCTTGGCTTGCTTTCAATTAGTTTCTGAATGTGCTACATGTTTAGGTCCAAAGTCCTGGCGTTGAGAATTTGATGATGATAGATATAATAAACTTGCACATATTTGCATTATACATGCAGAAAATGAGAAGCAGGTATTTATCATTTCTATCTGGTAAGAATTTACAGTCCCCAAGTCACTATAAGTTCTTGTTTTTCATTTTCTTGATTGGGTATGAATTCAGTGGAGGCCAATGCAATGGAGAAGCTCCGACGTTTTCTTTGGATAACAATAGATAGAGTCATGTTCTGTTCCCAGGGTGCTACGAAATTTGGTGACCGGGGTACTTGTTTTATAAATTGGCTTTTTAAGGATTCCTGTTTCACTGATCAAGTTTGTCCGACAGAATCTCTTTTCGTTTTATTTCCTAGCTTGCTTTCAGAAACTCGACGATGCAGAAAAAGAGAAGCATGTATTTTATCATTTCTATCTGGTAATAGTTTTACATGTAAGTCCTTGTTTTCCATTTTCCATCGCATTAGCCTCGAACCTTGATTTATACTGAAACTCACAGTTATCTATTTTCCTTGTTAATGCAGTTCACGCCATAGAAAGCATAAAATCAACGTATAAAGTGAATTAGGTTTGGACTGGTGATCCTTGCTCTCAAAGACTATTCCCTTGGGAAAGTACTTCTAATTACCAAATAAAGTCCCCTGTAAGTCATTCATTTCAACCAGACAATAACTCATTTTTGTAATTCTGCTGATGAGCTTGTTTTTCTTGATGCGAGAATGAATCTTAGTTCAAGTGGGTTACAAGGAAAATAGCTGTCTCATTTAGAAATCTCTTCCTTCTTGAGTCATTGTAAGTATACAAATTTAAGCCATACTGTCCACCTCTTTATTCACATTGAATATAAGAGTCGTGTGTTGTTTCCCCAGGGATTCATAAAACAACAACCTAAGAAGGGAATTTCTGGCTGATTCTGAAGTTCTTTAAGGTTGAGCACATAGAGAGGCTATTTTGATAATGTATTTCTCTCTGACATTTGTTTCTGTCACAGGAATTTGAAAAAAAATTACTTGACTGGGTTTGTCCCAAGATCTCATAGGAAAAGAACAATGTCTAGGGGACTTACACTGAGAGGTACATTTTCTTGTCAAAACCCCGGAACCATAGTCATCTTCTTAAGACAATCTGTGTCTCTACCATTTTCTGAAGCTTGTTAATTTCCTTTATGTTTCCAATGTAGATGAACAAAGCATTTGTCACCCACCTTCAGATTCGTCGTGCAAGTAGTTGTAGCCACAATAGTGATCATTCTCATTGTCGCCTTGGTTGTGATATGCATCATGGTAAGGGAAACAGAATTAAGTAAGCACAGTTGGTCTTTTACATAATTAATGGTTGATAAAAGTCAGAATTAATGCTGAAAGAAAATGAGTGTGAGTTTCCTAGTATATTCAGGACCACTTCTGCCTTCGGGAAAGAGAAGGTTCACATGTAGCATTACAAACAACTTCAAAAGTGATCGGTTACGGAGGGTTTGGTAAGAACAGCAAAAACAGTAGAAACCGAAATCAGATAAGTGAAGACATTGTTTTGTGTTTGCTAAAGTGTAAAATGTTTGCAGGCAGAGCTTCTTTTGACACTGCATCTACGGAACTTAGCTTAGTTTATTGGATACTGCGATGATGGTAGCAGTATGGCTCTCATCTACGAGTACATGGCCAATGTCAAATTACAACACTCATTTTTGAGTATTTATTGTTAAGGTAATTTGATTTCACGGTTTGTATTTCTTACCTGCTTTTTTAGTCGTTATAAGTTTCAACGGATGTGAAATTTATTTGTCGTTTGCAACTTTGTCCAGGTTAAAATTTATAAGTATGAATGAGAGAAGCAAGCAAGCAACCTCGTCTGGGAATATTGGTTTAGTAAGTTTTATTTCTTTGGCTATAATTTGGTTGTATTAATTTTATCTTGTGCATTATATCTTGCTCAAACTCAACGTACATAACAAAATGTTTTATTTTATTAGGAGCAGCAAAGAATTTCAATTTGGAGATGACTTGGTGTAGGCGTGTAGCCAAGAACAAGCGGCTCTTGGATGATGTAACTGAGTTACGGTAACTATCTTTTACCTCTCATAAAAAAAACACAAACACCCAAAAAAGTTTCTTACACTCGAAACATTAAATTTTAATATCAAAAGAAAAAAAAAACATTAAATTTTTAAACACAAACCCACGAAAACATAAAACACACAAAACAAAAAATCCACGTACACACAAAAATGCAATAATAAATGCAAAAACAAACTTCACAACTTCTTACGTTCACGAATGACCACATAAATTCCACAACTTCACGTTCACGAATCACGATTACACAAACTCCACAACTTCACGATCACATAGAGTTTTGCTTCCTCTGCAACACAATTTCAATTTTGATTTTTTCAATATGACTTGTATAATTTTAACTCAATTCTTCTTGTTTTAATATTCTTTTCCCAATGTATTTTGAGCGTCGGTGACGTAAGTTGTAAAGCTTCTTGTTATCAGTTGTATTTTTTTTTTTTTGTGCAAACAGCTTCTTGTTATCAGTTATTACATTTTTAAGTTGTTTTTTTATTTCACTTGCTATAGAATTTGTAATTAGGATATCCTTGTTCTTGTTTTTCATATTCTTTTTGCAATGTAATTTTTGAGCATCGAATTTGTAAAGTTTCTTGTTATCAGTTATTACATTGTTTTTTTTTTTCTTAAGAATTCGTAATTTAAATATTTTACTTACATATAATGATATAAATAAAACAATCTGAGTTTAATTATTCATCTTCTTGTCACAAAAGAGTTGAATTATTCATGTTCATGTTTTTTCGTAATATCAAAAGATTCGGGATCCCTCTAAAAGTTTTTCGATAATTAGGAAAAACTCAACGCTCAAAATTCTGGGCCATTTTGTAAATACAAAAAGATTTGGAGTCCTTCCAAAAGGTTTTAGATATTTCCAGTAAATATCGAAAGATTCAATAAATGGTAATATGGTATGAGGTGTTTTGGTAAATAACAAAATATCTGGGTATTAAAAAAAACTGAGTTACTTTGGTAAATAACAAAAGATCTAAGTTTTTTTATAAACAACATAAAATATGGTACTAATATACAAGAGATTACTTGTGAATGACAATTATATATCTTCGTTTATATATCTTTGTTGAAAAGACAATTATATATCTTTGTTGAAATGACAAAGATGCAATTATATATCTTCGTTTACCAAAAAAAAAAAAGATATATAATCTTTCAACAAATATATAATTGTCACTTCAACAAGCACCAGAAGATAGCTAAACCAAAGATGCATTTCAACAAGTCTCGTAAGAGTTTTAGTACAAAAGAGTAGCCGACTCTACACAAACACAAGGCTAATTCTGAAAGAGTATTCACATTTTTGCACAAAGGTAAAGAAAGATGATTTACTCTATAAGGTGTCAGATATATATAACAGCTTCTGCACCACTTTTTTCTTCATATTTGCTCTGAAATCAACAAGCTGCTCAAAATAGTAGATGTAATCAAAAGATCCTTCACCTGCAAGTTTCATGAAAATGTAACTAAGACTTGATACTCAAGAAACCGTCTCAACATAATAATATCATCATCAATAGTCCATACCCGTCAATTATTAACATACCTTCCACTGCAAGAAACAACCAACCCACAGATCATCAGAACGTAACAGAGCGGCAAAGATCAATATAAGCCGCGTTCATGGATCTAAGCACAGGCTCCATTGAATCGATCTTCCCCCAAATCTGACCTCTTTCACGTTTTTTCAACGCGATCTCTACACACCAAATCTCTACACACCAAATACCTTTATCCGAGTTATCAGTAGTACCCAAAACCATCAACTTCCCACCAACATTCGCCATTTTACAATTGAAGTAATTCAGATTAGGCAAATTATGTAAACCCATCACAGGAGTCCAAAACATTCCATTTGGATCATACACCTGTATCTGACGTTGAACACACCATGGATCCAAACTATACAACAAATCCTCAATCACACAACACGGCTTGCTCCAATAAGACATCAACTTAGTTTCATGCTCCCATGACTCCCATGTACCATCACTGGGATCATAAACCAAACCACGCAGATCATCCAAAATGTAAATCTTGTTTTGCATCACAACAGATGTCACAAACCCTCCTCCTGGCGACTTCCAAGGGGATGGATCAGGAACAGTACTCCAAGTCCCATTCTCTACATCGAACATTTCGATCCAATCATCATACCGCTTCTTGCAACCTCCAATGACATAAATCTTTCCGTCAATTACTTCTGCGGCTGCGCGGTAGCGAGCCCTATGCATAGTTGGGAGATAGTTACACGTATGGACTCTACAGTCGATTACAAACACAGTCTTTACATGGTTAAATGGGCCTATCATTCCACCGATCACATACATCTTGTAGCCGATTGTGACCACAGCAGAACCAGGATTCATACGAGGAAGTGAACCGATTTCGCTCAGTCTTAATGGGATGTTTCTTGGAATGTTGTGGTTGAGAATGAACCAGCTCGGGAAACCATGAGAAGGGAATCCGATCAAAGCGTAAAGAACCGGTTCGGTTAGGTGGAGACTCAAGCGTCTGTGGTGGAGTTCCGGCGAAGAGATTACGCGACGAAAGGCTTTAGAGAAGAGAGATAGCGACGGGTAGTGACATCTTCGGATGAGTGCGACGGTACTTCTGATGAGTGCTTGTGGGATTCGTCGAGGTATCGGAGGAAGATTCTCTGCTTCTTCTTCTTGATGATCGTCTTCTTGATCTTCTTCTTTCGGTTTCTCGTTTTGATTCTCTTCTTCTTCTTCTTTAGGGTTCTTGTGGAGTTCTTCGGATTTCTTGTTTGGTACGCCACCGTTAGAGCCGTCGTCGGAAGTTTCAGAGATTATAGCCATCGTTGTGTGACGTCAGCAGGAACGAATTAACGGAAAGCGAGACTAATCAGATTTTTGAAAGAAGCAGTTACGTTGTGTATTTATAATGAAACCATAATGAGTAAATAAAAATACTCTGCTTATTTCACAAACTTTTCAGAAACTTCGTTTAAAAAGATAATTTGTATTAATTTTCTTAAATCTTGAATTAATATATATCTCATTTATTTATTTTTTCTTCACTTACACTTTTATTACAAAAAGGCACTAATACTAACGGAAATATTATATATTGTATAGTTTCTCCAAAAAATAAAGGGTAAAAGAAATTCAGCCTAAAAACTGCATGTGATTTTTTTTTCTTCGGAAATATATCAGCAATGTTTTTTTTTTCTTAAATTAACGCTGTTTTCTAACCTTAAATAAGATAAACCGATGGACGAAGAATTTGTAAAAATTTAGTCAAATGTCTCTCAAGTCTCAGCTTTGTTCTCTTTACTTAGAAACCCTAATTTGTCTTTCAAATGGCGTACACAAATGTTGAATTCAATAGCTTTGTTCGTCCTAGCTAGGCACTGAAAACAAAACTAGATTGAGATAGCATTTTCCTGATTGTAGTTTATGAAAATTAACGTAACAGTAAAATTTAATGGTCTAGTGGATTAACTAAAGATTTGATTTTGCCTTAGTTATGGAATTTGATTTTTAGAAAGCAGGGATTTTGCTGATTAATAAAAGAAAATTTATTGAAATTGTTTAATGTGATAAATATATCCCGTATGTCAAAAATAAAATTGTCAAAATAAATATAGTGCATGTAAATTGTTTACCATAGACGTTTGTAATAGTACTGTTAGTACTTAGTACTAGACGTTGTGGAATTGTATGTAATCATTGTAACTAGATCGTTACCCATATAGCACGGGATTTAATATTTTGTATGAATCAAATTGTATATTTTGTTTGAAGAATTAAATAATAATATAATATAATAGTATAAAAGGAAATATATCATGATGTTTTATTTTTATTACTACTGTATTTAGATATAATGTTGTATATTTCATTTGACGATGGTTGTATATTTTGTTTGTAGAACTAAATAATAATATAGATAATAAATTTTAAATCTATATTCCATATCATATTGGATTATTTATTATAGGAATTAAATGTTGTTTAATCTAACTTGGTTGAAAAACATGACTCGGTAATAAAGAAAAAGAGAATATTATATTGTATATAAAATATATTTAGCTGCATTAAAATTCTATTTTTGTCTATATGAGATTAACAATTTATTTTGTTTAATTAGATATTCATAATTGCATTGTGTCATTGAGGATAAAAACAAAATTTGTATTGTGTTGAAGTTTTTACGTGGCTATATTGGGTTTTGTTTGCTCAGTTCTAACTGTATTTGGCCCAATATCATGTTGTTTTTAAAAAACCACATAAATTCAATTATTTGGCCCAGTATCACCAGATTTTACCCCGCGGTATACCGCGGGTCGATTTATTTAACTTAAAAATTAAATTTTTATTTGTATTTTTTAATATTGTTTATTTTTTTAAATATTTAAGATTATTTTGATTATTAATTTTAAGATTTTACCCTTGATATATATACCGTCCCGTATTAATATAAATTTTAATCCGTTCCACCATATAACTCCGTTCCGTGAAATTAAACATCATTTTGTTATTTTTCTTTTTAATAATACTTTTATAATTTGAGTCAATTTTTTTTTTAAATGTTTTCCATAATATATATATTTTTTAATTTTATAGAGTTCAAATATTATTAATATTATACTTTTAATAGAATTTAAATATCATAAATACTTTAAACGTTTAATGTGTAGTATCTATGCATAATATATTGATAATATTTTTACATGTTTACTCTGTAAAAAGATAATAGTAATGGATCATGCGAAAAGTAATTATACAAATTAAACGTTAGTAAATAAAAATGATTCACAATTTGGTTAACGTAAATCTTAGTACTAAGTATTTAAGTTTTTTTTTTTTTTTTTGAACATAATTTTTTTTTTTATACATATATTTTCGTTATGTTAAATTCATAAGAGACAAAACAAAAACTTTAAAAGAAAAGATAAAGAGATAAATATAGACATGTAAAATGAAATGAAAGATATTCAATACAGCTTGTTGCGTTACACTTAAATAGTACATATAGATATCAAAGTTCTATTCAGTGTAATTTGATTGTTTAATCTTGTTCTTTGAATCTCCTCACATTTTGTCTTTCTCTCTTTTATCTTAGTGAAACCTAGGGTATAGAAGAAAAAAAAAGAAGCAAATATTGAGATTTTTTTAATTTTAAAAAACCCATAAAAATGGTTAGTCTTAAATCTAAATTTAGTATCACCTAATCACCGTTACTGAAAAATGATTGTTAGTATGATTCTCTGATTCTTGTTTGACGAAACTTTAGCAACTCAAATCGTTTGTCATAGTCCTTTCTTCACTCAGAGCTGAATCTTGGAACCCTACAATCACAAAAATTAAGTAGTTAGATTGTAATTGAAGAACAACATTAAAATAACTAAACCGCAAAGAGATGATGAAATTATCTATATTTATGTATTTATATATATTATATTACATGTTATATACGTTAATATGTTTATAAACAAAACAAAAGACTTAAAGTGCTTCATCAGTTAAAATCATATCGATGGCTTAAGTCTTTAAAATAAGTGAACTCAAAAGGAACATCTATTTTAATTGTTTTGGAGGAAGATGGTTTTATGAAACTTTGAGGTAATGTGTTCGTTCTAAACTCCTTTTTATAGACACATATAATCGGTTTGATAAGAAAGAATCTTATTAATATCTTAAGTATATTTTGTTATGTTATTTGTGAGAGTAGGGAAATTTCTCTTTAATACGAAGATTTGATACGTGAAAATAGGAGATTTAATTTAACTATAAGAAAAATCCAAAATATAGTTACTAAAGTGATCGATTATAATTTTTGTTTTTTTTGAAAAAATGTTTTGATTAATTTTAAAAACAGAAACGTAAAGCTAATTTAAAAAATTTCTGCAATAAATATTATTTTGAAATTTATTAATTTGGTTAAGTGTTTAAATTTCCTAAAATCTTGGTAATAGTTATAGAAGATTTCGGTCTCATTTACTTACCCGATTTGGATACATAATAATATAGTTAATAATAAATAATTCCATATAATGATTTTCGAATTAATTGCGTATGACTGACCGTCGAGATTGAAGATTAAAAACCGAATTAAGATTTAAACGGCCACGATTAAATGTAGGGATTGTTGAGATATTTTAAAGAAATTGAATTGAATATGGATGTAATTGTGGCAAGTATTAGTTATGATTAATATATTAGGTTAAGATTTAACTGAATATTTGTTCTTATTGATTATGAAATCTATCTCAATAACCACTTACCTAATTAGTTGATATTATTGTTTCAGAAATCTTTTTCAATAATCACTTACCTAATTAGTTGATATTATTGTTTAGGTAATATTTGAAAACCCGTTTAAATGACTCATTGACCCGCGAGATTAAGAAGTGGCTCATAACTTTAATGACGTGGATTAATTATGTTTATGATTAGAGATTTGAAATGGCATATAATGTAATTTCTTACACTTCTCAATGTTACAACTTATTGATGTACTTCCCAATCTAAAAGCACATAAATTCAATTATTTTTATAATATTTAATTATATTTTTATTTAATATTAATTTTTATTCAAGGGTTTATTTTATTAATTTAAGATGCAAATCTTGACGAAATCTTAAAAATAAATGATAATTAAATTAAAATGATGATTTGTTATTATTTGAATTTTGAAATTTAAAAATAAATGATGATTCTTTATTATTAAATTACATTAAATTGGATTATCATTTCTGGAAATTTCTATTAATATATTATCAAATTTAATTAGTTTACATATATACAATTTCGTTTTTTCTTCTATATATACTAATCATAATTAATTAGTATAGTTTTGTTAAAGAAATATTTTAAAATCTAAACTAAATTTCGTTGTATGATTAAAAATTATTTGTATCTAAATAAAATCCATGTTTGTTAGATTCGTGATTGAGCTCCTAAATATTAGGTAATCTTTTTAATATCTTTAAACCCATTTGACCCATTGACCCATTTTTAATAAATTGGTTAATATTAGTGACATGGAATTAAAATAATTATGATTAAAGACCTCTAATGGCATATATTGTAATTTTTTATCAATCCTTATCCTTTTATAAATTGGATTGATATAAAATATTTTCAATGATATATCATTTTCATTAACATTTTCAATGACATTTTTTTATAAGATGTTCGAATAATGGATTACTATATAACATTTTGAATAACATTTTCAATAACATTTTCGAATAATATATTAGTATATTATTATATAACATTTTTATGTATTATATAACATTTTTATGTATTATATAATCTCGACTATTGATTAGTATATAACATTTTCGAATTATATTAATTATGTATTATATAAACAAAATCTTTTAATATCTTTAAACCCGTTGACCCGTTGACCCGTTTATATATATTAGTGACATGGACTAAATTTTATGATTAGAATTATATAATGGCATTTATTGTAATTTCTTACAAAATCTAAGTTATGATCCTTAGGATGTACTTCCCAAATATTAGTATAGGATGTACTAGACTTTTGTTCGTCGTAATAATTATCCGATCCCAATTAAAAAAATATAAATGAATGTTTTAAATCTTAATCTATATATAAACTATTTTCCACTTTTGCCAAATATAAAGTCCCTAAAATGTCGTCAAAGACCCAAAAGAAAATTATGTCAAAGTCCCAACGAGATATTTGCGAAGAAATTGTTAAATAAACTTTGTTCAGTTATTTTCCTAAATATTACTTTTCAAGACTACTATAATACAAGTATGATATTATCATTAGTTTATACAAAACATATTACTCAAAATAAATTAATAACTTTTAAAAAACTTAATAGCAAGATACAATTACTTAAACATTCAATGGCACTAAAGAAAATTACGATAAGCATAATTATATTGTATATGTATACTTTAGGTAAACTTGTAGCTTTATTGTTCGTATAAGGTCGTTAAGTTAACTTAAGCCGGTTGGCGCATGCAGACAGCCACACACTTATATAAATTACGATAACACCTCCTACGATCATTGAAACAGCAATAACACACTTCTTCTCTGTGTTTTGGACATTTGTCAAGAGTGCACACTGATGAACCTAATTTGTTATTTTCAAGACCTTGTCCGTTTGCACCTATAAGAAAAAGATTATTAGTTAAAAAAAATTAAGAATTAAAACCAAAATTAAAAAGAAGAATACCATTATAACAATATGATTACAATGGTGAATTGGTGATGATTGTATGAATAAGCGATTCCTTATATATGCATAATTTCATAAACATACATTTTTGTAGAGGAATAAGAGAGATTACGATGATGCAAAGGATCATAACAAAATGTGATGATGACATTCTTTATATATATATATATATATATATTTGTTAATTCTTTGTTTGCTATATGCTGGTTGAAATATTCCGAACCTGATTTGTTCGCGTCAAGACCTTGTGCATTTGCAGCTATAAGAAAAAGATTAGAAGTTAAAAAAGAGAAGAATTTTATTTATGACAACATGATTACAATGGTGATGATTGTAAACGAAGAAAAAGCCTTTAGTTTCATATATTCTTGGAGAGGAGCGAGAAAATTACGATGATGCAAATTATAACGAAATGTGATGATGCAAATTATAACGAAATGTGATGATGACATTGTTGTGATATTCTTTTTTTTTTTTTTTTTAGTTCTTTGTTTGTTATTTGATAGTTGAAATCCGAATTACCTGACTTGTTGGCGTCAAAATGTTGTGTCTTGCTTGCAGCTAAAAAAAAAAGTAGACGTTAATAACTGATATGGAGTATTTATATATAACAATATGATTACAATGCTGATGACTGATTGTAAACAATGAAAAGGCAATTATTTATATGTATGCATTTTATAAACATACATCCATGAGGAACGAGAGAAATTACGATCATGCAGAGGAATGATGACATTGTTGTTTTTTTGGTTAATGTTTTGTTTGTTTTTGATGGTTGAAATCCGAACCTGATTTGTTTGCGTCAACAGCTTGTGCATTTGAGGCTATAAGAAAAAAATTAGAATTAAACAATGAATTTTATTAATAACAATATGATTACAACAGTTATGACTATAATTGTAAAAATGAAAAACGATTATATATATATACATTCTTGTAGAGGAATGAGAAAATCAGTATGATGCAAAGGATAACAAAATGTGATGATGATATTGTTGTGATGTTCTGTTTTTTTTTTTCTTTTTTTTTATTTGTTTGTTATTTGATAGAGTTGAAATCCACACCTGACTTGTTCGCGGCAGGATGTTGTGTGTTTCCAGCTATAAGGAAAAAAAAAATAGAAGTTAATAATTGATTGTAAACAATGAAAAAGCGATTAATTATATATATGCATAAATTCATAGACGTACATCCATGTAGAGGAACAAGAGAAATTACGATGATGCAAAGGATAGCAAAGTGTGATGATGACATTCTTGTGATATTCTTCTAAAAACCAGAAAATTTGTTTGTTTTTTTTTTTGGTTTTTTGGTTTTTTTTTTTTGGGGTTATTTGATGGTTGAAAACCTAAAATCCTTACATACAGTTTGTTTTTATAGATAAGTTGTATGTAATTCTTAGTGCATGTCTCGTATGGTGATCCGTAAAAAACTGTTAAATTGATTGTTTTTACTAGTCTTTAGTTCTTTCCTATTCCTTAGTAAATTAGTGATATTGTTGTTGTTTAACATGACAAATAAATACTTTGCGAAAAATGTTGGAAACTATTATGAACCCTAAAAAATTATGTATATTAACTCACATGTTTTGACAACATAAAAAATGGGAAAAACCCCGAAAAAACCGTCATCTATTTTTTTTTGGCCGTTTAATACCTGTGGTTTTAAATTTGGAATAAAAATACCTCATTTAATTTCGATTGCCTTTTAAAACTATCGTTTTTTAAAACTTGGTAATTTCGAACCCGAGACTTAACAGTCGTTACTGGGCGTAACGGAATTATTTAATAGCGTTAAATTTTAACCCCACGTGTTTATATAAATATATACTATCTGTTTGCAAAATTTTATGTGATAGTTAATGTGGCTTGGTGGTCTTGAAGAGTTGAACCTAGCTCCTGAAGTTTACAAAACTGACATGTAACCACCAGTAAAAGCAAACCGGTTTGTTTTGCTCGTGGAACATCTTCACATCTCTGAACCAAAACTTAAAATTGCTCATATACTTGAAGCACATGAGTGGGTCTTTAGAGACAAATGTAAAATGTTACAAATTAAATGACATATCTTCTCTTTGCATATATAGATAATGTAGCTTCACTTTGATATCGTAGGTTGAGTGATTGTAGCTACTCATAAAGTCAAAATCACCGGCCGGTTAACTAAATCACATTATTTTACTTCATCTCTAAACCAAAATTTCATATTTGCTCATATGGTAGAAGCAGATTAGGTTTCGTTAAATCTGATTGGTGATTGTGATCATTACTTACAGAAGAATTATATATCTAAATGGAACTTGAGATCATGTTAGTGCAACTGCACAAAAACCCATAAGATGCATTTCAACAAGTTTCCTACAAAGTTTTTGCATAAGAGCATCTTTATAGGTAAGCTCTTAGCAAATTCTTAGGTAGATCTTAGGCATTAATTGATTTAATTTAATTCAAAAATCAAACTTATAGTTAAGAGACGTCTCTTAGCTAAGAGACAAAACTGAAGCTAAGAAACGGCCACATGTCCGGGTATGAGTGGTTGATGAGTTAAATTAGGCATGGATAAATAAACCGAACCGAAATCGGTACCGAACCGATATATTTCGAATAACCGAAAATACCCGAAATACATTTCAAAATAATTAGTTATTTATAGACTAAATAATCAAAACTACTTGAAAATATATAAAAATAGTAAAAATACTCGAACATAACCGAAAAATATCCAAAAATACTTAAAAATAACCGAAATATCTGAAAATATCCTTAGCAAACTAACCGTATGAAGAATGCATCAACAATTGAAGAATGATTTGGTCGAGTATATATGGACAAAATATTCCAGAAATTAAGTTTAAAACATCTGTGCTTTATGTTATTTATGTTATAAATTGTATCTCATGTATGTTTTAATTTTTTTAATTTGCAATAATTATTAAATTTTCAATAATTATAAATTTTATTTTTATATTAATATTTTTTTCTTCTAAGAACCACATGTTAAGAGCCTACCATTAATCACACAAAAATCTTAACTCAAAAATACTATCTCTTAACAATAATTTTTACAAATAAATTACTTAAATATTGCTAAGAAGTATTTCTAAGAGACTACCTATAATCATGCTCTAAGGCAGCTAAAAGAGTACTAATTCTGCAAGATCGGACGAGTTAAGCTTCAAGATGTAACAGCTTCTGAGTTACTTTTCTCTGATACCAACTAGCTGCTCAAATAGTATAGATGTAATAAAAGATCCTTCACCTGCAAGTTTATGAAAACCTAAATAAGACTTGAGGCTCAAGAAAGCTTCTGAAACATCATAATTCGTCATCAATAGTACATACTCATCAAAGATTAACATACCTTGAAACTGCAAACGAGTCATCAAACCGTAACAGTTCGAGAAAGCTCAAAGAAAGGCGACATGCGGAATGAATTCACAGGCGAGAATGATTCGACCTCCCCCCAAATTTCACCATTTTCATGTTTCTCCAAAGCCACCTCTACGCACCAAACATTTTTATCGTAATAATTATTACTATACCTACTCCGAAAACATCCCAAAACCACCAGCTTCCCACCATAATTCGCCATTCTAGACTCGATATAAAAGAGCTTAGGCCAATACTCTAAACCCTTGACAGATCTCCAAACCATTTCCCTTGGATCATAAACGACAATCGGAGCTCCTGCATTCTCCCGATCAAGAACAATGGCATACAACAAATCATCAACCACACAAGACGACGCGTGCCAAAAACTCCTCTGTACACTTTTAATTCCCCAAGCCTCCCATCTAAGTCGTCTTGGATCGTAAGCAAAACAATGCTCATCATCCAAAATGTAAATCTTATTATCCAAAACCACATGTATATCAAAGTCTCCACTATACCTAGCAAGGGGAGAGAATGGACCAGGCACAAGTGCCCAACGCTCAGTCTCTACATCGAACACTTCGACCCAATCATTATATCGTCTCTGGCGACCTCCGACTACGTAAATCCTTCCGTCGATCACTCCAGCGGCTGCGAAGCAACGATCCTTATGCATACTCCGGAGCTGTCGACACGTATTGAATCTGCAATCTATCACAAGCATAGTCCCTACGGCTCGATTATAGCGGAAGTTATAACCACCCATTACGTAAATCTTGTGGCCCATTGTGACGGCGGTGCATCCAAGAAACATGGGAGGAAGAGAAGTAACTCTGTTCAATTGTAAGGAGTTGTTGCTCCGATGGAGAATGAACCATCTTGGTTCTTCAAAAGTTGGGTACTCGAACGAGATCAAGGTATAAAGAACCGGTTCGGTCAAACCGATGCGAGAGCGAGTTTGGAAGAGATCTTCCGAAGAGATAACTTGACGAAAGGCGTTAGAGAGGAGAGATAGCAACGGGTAATGACATCTCCGGATGGGTGCGATGGTATTTTCGATTAGTTCTAGTGGGATTTGTCGATGAATCGGAGGAAGATTCTCTACTTCTTCTTCTTCTTCTTGATCGTCTTCTTGATCTTCTTCTTTCGGGTTCTCGTTTTGATTCTCTTCTTCTTCTTGTGGGTTCTTGTGGGGTTCTTCGGATGTCATGTTTAGATCGCCGCGGTTAGAGCCGTCGTCGGAAGTTTCAGAGGTTAATGGAAAGCGAGACTAAATTCGATTTTTGAAAGAAGCTGTTACGTTGTGTATTTTTTTTTTTCTTAAGAATTACGTTGTGAATTTATAATGAAACCATAATTAATGAGTAAATAAAGACTCTTATATCTCATCAGAAATAAAAATCAAAAATGATAATTTGTAATAAATCATTTTTTTTCCTCTTAAATCTCTTTCTAATACATTAATGTATATTTTTTTGGTGAGAATACATTAATGTATTAAATCTTTACAGTTACCGCCCAACCAATCAAGCACTTAATGTGTTTTTCTTCACTTACTTATATTTTCAATATTATCGGAAATATTTTATATATAGTTTCTCCGGAAAAACAATGGGAAAAAGAAATTCACTTTGGTTAAAGAAATCCACTTTGAAATTTGCATGTAATTTGTTCTTGGGAAACGATAGTAGCAAAGTTTATTATTTTAAACAGTAGTTTTTTTTTCTTCTTTCTTTTAAGCTTTTTACATTAATAACAATTGCGCCAATGGAAAAAATCTTTAAAAACTGATTCAAATGTCTATCAACGTGATTACTTGACTCACAAGTCTCTGTTTCTCTGAGAAACCCTCGTTTGTCTTTCAAGTGCTTTGTTCGTCGTCTTGACTGGGACACTGATGAAAAGGATATTGAGAAAGCAATTTTCTTGAGTTAGCGACGTAAATCGATTCTAAGGTCCGCAGATTCTGGTACTCTCAATGTCTTTCTCTGTTTTAATTTATTCGATTATAGAGAGACCAAAATCGAATGGTTACGATCCAGAGTTGTCACAAGAATCTGCAGATCGTCCATGAAGAAGAAATGAAGGAACAATATCTTAACCTTATATATATATGGACTGATATCATGATCAACAAAAACTCCAAAGGTGATTCTGGTTATCAAGAGTCTAATTAAGGGTGTGTGGAGATTGTCATTCACTTGCCAAGCTTTATGATAGAGAGATTACATGAGGGACCGGTATAAGTTTCACCATTTCAGAAATGAGAAGACCTGTTGGTCCCAACATCAATGTTAAAGAGGCTTGATCATGTTACATAACTCAGGAAATGATGTGCTCGATCGCCAATATGATTTTAGAATAAAACTAGAAAAGTGCATGGCCTAAATGGCTAAATTAGAGGGTTTCAAAAGATCAGCAATGTTATGAAATTTAAACATGTCAAGGCTCATATACTTGAATCACTTTGTATATATAGATTAGCTTCAGCCTTCAGGACTTTGTATTTTTTTCACTATGATATAAGTTACCCATAAAGTCAAAACCACCGGTTAACTAAATCACTCTGTTTTGCTTAATCTCTTAACCAAGATTTCATATTGCTCATATATATAGTAGAAGCAGATCAAATAGGTTTCGTTAAATCTGATTGTGATTACTTGCAGAAGAATGTTAGTGCAACTACACAAAAAAACCAGAAGATAGTTAAGTAAAGATGCATTTCAACAATTTTCGTAAGAATTTTTGTTTATAGGCTAAAACAATAATGGCCTATTTTACACAGCTTTAGAATACTCAAGGCTAAAACAAGAATGGCCTATTGTGAACAAAGCTTCTGAACCACTTTCGCGTCATATTTGCTCTGATATCAACAAGCTGCAAGAACAATAGATGTAAATATGTAATAGAAAGATCCATCACCTGCAAGTTAATGAAAGCCTAACTAAGACTTGAGGCTAAATAAAATGTCTCAACGTTGGGAAATTGCTCCTTCAAGATCCTCCTTTTTGCCTTGCTTTTATATTGCTCAGATATACTTGAAGCACAGTGAGTCTTTTAAAAATGAGAACATAGTTTCATTCAAACAAATATAATTTTCTCTTTGTAGATGTTCTATATAGAAAACTTCAGCTTTCATCAGGACTTTGTACTTCCACACTTTGATATTGTAGTTACCCATATAATCAAAACCACCGGTTAACTAAATCACTCTGTTCAAGAGAACACGTCAGATCAATTGCATACAACAAATCTCCAACCACACAAGACGTCGACGAGTTCCAATATCTCATCAACTCACTTTCAACACCCCATGACTGCCATAAACCTTGTCGTGGTTCGTAAGCAAAACAACCCCCAAGCTCCAAAGTGAAAATCCTCCCCTGCATCACCACATATGTAACAAACTCTCCATTCTCACTAGCATCTTCAGGGCATTGACTAGGCACAGTTGCCCAAGTCTCAGTTGTCACATTGAACACTTCGACCCAATCAGCATCTTGTTTCTTGCAACCTCCGATTACGTAAATGTTTCCGTCAATGACTCCGGCTGCTGCATGGTAACGAGCCCTTTGCATATCCGGGAGATTGCGCCACGTATGGAATCTGCAGTCGATGACAATCACAGTTGATACAGGTTGATTAGTAAACCCGATGGGATTGGTACCACCCATTACATACATCTTGTATTCGATTGTGACCACAGCTGCTCCAGGAAAGATATGACGAAGTGGACGGATTCTGCGTAATTGTAAAGGGATGTTGCTCCGACGAAGAAAGAACCAGCGTGGGGGAGTATACGCTGTGCATCTGATTAAGGCATAAAGAACCGGTTCGGTGAAGCCGAGGAGCGAGCGCGTTACGTAGAGTTTATGCAAAGGGATTACGTGACGAAAGGCTCTGGAGACGAGAGATAACGACGGGTAATGAGATCTTGGGATGTGTGCGATGATTCTTTGGATGAGATCTGTTGGAAGTTCTAGAAGAATCGGAAGGTTCTCTACTTAGTACTTCTTCTTGAAGATTCTCTACTTCTTCTTCTTCTTCTTCTTGAGGATTCTCATCTACTTCTTGAGGATTATTGTTTGGATCGTCGCCATTAGGGCCGCCGGGAATTTCAGAGAGTAAAACCATCGCCGCCGTGTGACGTTAGTAGGAGCAACGAATTAACTGAAAGAGAGCCTGAGAGTTGTTAAAAGAAATGTTGTTTGGGTATTTATAAGGAAACCAAAATGTCATTTCTCTAGGTCTCTCTCACTGCACGTAACGCATTCAGAAACTTCATTTCAAAAAAAGATTTTTTTTTTTTTATCTCATTTTTAAAAATATTCCAAAAAGATATTAATTTGTATTAAATCATTTTTCTCTAGGTAAGTCTCGTTATACATTTTCATATTTTTTTGTAACGTGTTTTTCTTTTTTTTTTTTTTTTTTTTTAACACTTAACGTGTTTTTCTTTACTTACTTTTTTTTTTAACATCTGCTTTACTGAATGATAAAAGGTGTGAATAATAACAATGTAATTTATTCGAAATCAGAGAAGGGATATTATTATAAAAGAAAAAGGAAGAATTGTTAGGGATCTTTAATTAAATATATTTTTCGTATATTGAAAAATATATATTCAGGGAAATAATATACATGTATTTTCTCCAAAAACAGTTGGTGAAAGAAATTCAGTCTAAAACTTGCAAATGATTTTTTTTTTTTTTTTTGAAAACAATATCAGCAAAGCAATTTTTTTCTATTTCTATAACACTGGTTTCTAGTTTTTGTTTCTTTTACGTTGTTTACATGAAAAAAATTCACCGATATAAATGGAGTCAAACGTTTCTTAAGTGTTATGAACAAATATTTTTTTTTTTAATCTACAAAGAAACCCTAAATTATCTTTTAAATGGCATCTTGAATTGGAAGTGCTTTGTGAATTAATGACTTCGAGAGAACGTTAAACCTTTATTTACTCTAGTGGCTTCGTTAACCAAAAGGGATCCCTTAACCAATAGATACTTAATTTAGCAAATATTAACATCGAAAACCATATTAAAAATTAACATGTACTATGAAAGACTAGAATATTAATATAGCTTTGTTGGACAATTCTAGATTAAATTATGCAGATAGAGATACTCAATTGTTACATTTTTAGACAATTATAGTTTTAAAAATCCTAATTATACAGCTACAAATGTATCAGTGCTAGTTACCAGTTATCTCTTATTTTTACCAATGTCCTAAAGATAGTCACATGCCACTATCATTTTGCCGTGTGGGAATTAAAAAAATAGAGTGTATAATACACATACATGTGTTTTCAGTATATATACATTAAATTTTGGTTGATTGTTTTTTCTTCAAAATTAATAATGAATTTCTTTCAATGCAATTATAGATATAAAACTTTAGGTAACACATTAATAGAAAAAGTTTTCTTTTAGCCAGTTAAAGAAAACATATATAAACATTTTAGATATAAATCTATATAAAATGATTTCATATATGATGATGATAAAATCATCAAACAAAGAAATGATGACATTGACCTTTCTTTTTACGGCGTCGTTTAAAGCAGAAATTAAAGGGAAAAAATCCAACAAAAAAAGGGCAAAAAATTCTGACAAAAAGGCGCCTTTTTGTTCTTTGAATTTTGGTGGGACCCACATGCTGTTCCAGTGAAAAAAAGCTTAAAGTAATAATTATTTTCTTCATCCGTTTGGCACACTCTCTTCCTTTATTGCTTTTTGCGAAACTCCTCCTCTCTCAATTGAATAAGTACGATCCAATTGAATCGCTATTTTTCATCTTCGTCTTCTTCGTTTGCCTGATCTCTGTAAGTACTCTGCATTTAACATTCGTCTTCTCAATTGCTCCTTTCTGGGTGTTTCTTTTGTTTTGAATTTCACTTCTTATGATTTGAACTGTATGATAACTGTTTTCTGATCTTCGGCTAATTTGATTTTTTTTTTATTTGGTTGAATTGTGGTTGGGATTGGGAAAGTTGTTTTCTCGGTGGAAAATTAATTGAGAAATTTATTTGAATCTGATAAGATTGATTGCATATGCAGCAACTTAAAAAAAAAAAACGTAAATGCAAATTTATCTCTGGTAACAAACATTGTTTGTTGGTGATTTGAATGTTTGCTATCTCCTCTTTGGTTTATGAATTGCAGGATTGTTGTTGTTGTTGGATTTTGAGGACGATGAAAACAAAAAATGTCTAGGCTAAACAAAGACATTGATTCAGCATTTCAAGGTGTTGGAACTAAAAGGTAATATGCTTGTTTATGAGATTGATCAAATTGGTTTACACTTGTTTGTTTGTTTCTCTTATGTGTCTAAACCATTTTTGTTTGGGTTTTAGTGGCTTGGAGATTTGGTGCATATATAATAATCAGCTTATTTCTATACCTAAGTCTTCTTTTGGAAAATTTCACTCTGGAAATGCATATCTTGTTCTCAGAGTAAGCTGTTTCTCTCACTTTTAATTTTCTACTTGTGATAAATTAGTGTGCCTAATGATACTTAGTTTTCATGATGTGTAGACGTTTTTGCGGAAGATTGAATCTCCCCAGTATGATATTCATTATTGGCTAGGAAATGATGCAAATGAGGTTTGTCTGATCACTTAGTGTGAATTTTTTATGCTTGCTATGAAATCTGGTGTCTTGAAGAGATTTTTTTGGTCCATTTTATTTGAAGGTGGACTCAATTTTGGCATCAGACAAAGCATTAGAGTTAGATGCAGCACTTGGATGTTGTACGGTGCAATACCGTGAAGTTCAAGGTCAAGAGACTGAGAAGTTTCTCTCTTACTTCAAACCTTGTATTATACCTGTTGAAGGCAAGTTTTCACCAAAAACTGGATTGGTTGGCGAGACATACCAAGTTATTTTGCTAAGGTGCAAGGGAGATCATGTTGTTCGTGTTAAAGAGGTAATATGTGTTTGCATTAGGAACCTTTCAAGTCAAAAGGGCATTCTCTGGTGCAGAATTGTTTCTATGATGTCTTTCTTTATTTGTCTGGAATTGTTATGCTTTATGAGCCTTGACATATATTCTTCAGTCTGACTTTGATTGGTTTCGCTTGATTTCAATCTATGCAAGGTGCCTTTTCTTCGGTCATCACTGAACCATGATGATGTGTTCATTCTTGATACTGCATCAAAAGTTTTTCTCTTTGCTGGTTGCAACTCAAGCACTCAGGAAAAAGCTAAAGCCCTGGAGGTTGTGGAGTATATAAAGGATAACAAGCATGACGGAAGATGTGAGGTGGCGACTATAGGTTAGATTTTTCTCCTGTTCAGCTCCTTTTATAGACTAAAGGATTGAAAGAGAAGCAACAGCTGATCATGTCTGTTTTTTTTTAGAGGATGGAAAATTTTCAGGTGATTCAGACGCTGGTGAATTCTGGTCTTTCTTTGGTGGTTATGCTCCCATTCCCAAGCTTTCATCTTCTACCATCCAAGAACAGACTCAGACTACATGTGCAGAATTGTTCTGGTGAGATTTGGTTTTGTATACTCACAATGGTTTTGTTATTTTCAACATATAGCAGTATTAGCCGAAATTCCTGTACTTTGAGGAGCTGCTGTCAACGGCAGACCATTATTAATCATCTAAAGATCTTTTATTAACAGGATAGATACTAAGGGAAATCTACATCCAACTGGAACAAGTTCTTTGGACAAGGACATGCTTGAAAAAAACAAATGCTACATGCTGGACTGTTACAGTGAAGTATTTGTTTGGATGGGAAGAAACACATCACTTACAGAAAGAAAGACATCCATTTCATCCTCAGAAGTAAGTAAATTTTGTAATATAACATGATTGATATGTGAGCACATTTGTATATGATTTGATGTTGCTGTGCTCTAGGAATTTCTACGAAAGGAGGGACGCGCTACAACCACAAGTTTAGTACTTCTAACGGAAGGACTAGAAAATGCCAGATTCAGGTCATTTTTTTATAAGTGGCCTCAGACCGTGGAGTCTAGCCTTTACAATGAAGGTCGAGAAAAAGTGGCAGGTCTGTTTCATATTTCTCTGGTTCTGTAAAGAAGACAAAAAAATTTGCTTAAGAAACTATAGATACTAGATACTAAAGTAAAACTATGAATACTTTTGTGCAGCGATGTTCAAACAAAAAGGATATGACGTTGAGGAGCTTCCTGATGAAGAAGATGAACCTCTCTACACAAACTGCCGAGACACCCTCAAGGTACCTTGTACCTAACTGTCACATATCTGAGCATAAGCCTGATTAATGGGATTCTTTAACTGATTTCAGGTTTGGCGTGTAGATGGTGATGAGGTCTCGCTTCTCTCCATTCCTGACCAGACAAAGCTATTCAGCGGCGATTGCTATATTGTGCAGTATAAATATACTTATAATGAAAGAGCCGAACATCTATTATATGTATGGATAGGTTGTGAAAGCATACAGGTACGCACGCTGTTCTTTTTGGTTTTCATCTCTTTTATTGTCAATCATTTGTGAGTTGTTCCTCTATGAAATTCATTCTTTTTTTTTCTACTTCATTGCAGCAAGATAGAGCTGATGCCATAACCAATGCTAGTGCCATTGTTGGTTCAACCAAGGGTGAATCTGTACTGGTTAGTTCCTAGCCAGGGCCATCACCTGTTTTCTCTGTTTTCTTTCTTTTTCTTTTTGGTTCAACACTGTAAACCTACTGACCTGTTTCATTCAACATTCTTTATCCAGTGTCATATAAATCAGGGAAACGAACCTTCTCGTTTTTTTCCAATGTTCCAGTCGCTGGTTGTTTTTAAGGGGGGTTTTAGTAGACGGTACAAAATGTTTCTAGCAGAGAAGGAAAACAAAGTGGAAGAATATAATGAGAACAAGGCTTCTCTTTTCCGTGTTGAAGGAACAAGCCCAAGGAACATGCAAGCAATCCAAGTTAATCTAGTGAGTTCTTTCGTACTTTCTGCATTTCTGATTCGTTAAAGTACATTGTGATTTCCTTGGCCCTTCACTTATTATTAAGCAAATGTCCCCACGCAGGCAGCAACCTCCTTGAACTCATCCTACTCGTACATTTTACAATATGGAGCGTCTGCCTTCACATGGATTGGAAAACTTTCATCAGACTCTGATCATGATGTTCTTGACAGAATGCTATATTTCCTTGATGTAAGTAACTTTAGCTCTCAGCTGCTGTTTACTTAAGTTCAGGTCATACATTTTTTCTGGTCTATTAGGGTTATGTTCAGCATTAGTAGTAACAAGTCTATTTCTTCGTTTCCGTCTGCAGACATCTTGTCAACCGATATACATCAGGGAAGGAAATGAACCAGACTCATTTTGGGATTTGCTTGGTGGTAAGTCAGAGTACCCAAAAGAAAGGGAAATGAGAAAACAAATAGAAGAACCACATTTATTTACATGTTCCTGCAGTTCAGGTAATGGTAAATATCTTTCAGTTTCTTTCTATCATCTTACACTACTGTTTAGCTATAAATAATGCCTAACGAAACAGTGGTCCATGACTTTGGCTCCTGTGATCAGATGTGCTCAAGGTACAGTTCATGTTTGTATCTTTTAACATGATTAGAGATCAGCTGGGAATGAAGGGAATGAATATTCTTATCTTATACCCACTCTGTGCATGAGATTTTCAGGTGAAAGAAATATACAATTTCGTGCAAGACGATTTAACTACTGAAGATGTATTACTGTTGGACTGCCAAAGTGAAGTATATGTTTGGATTGGATTAAACTCAAACATAAAGTCCAAGCAAGAAGCTCTTACTCTTGGTCTGGTAATTTTTCCTCTTTATTTGGCCTTCCAAGTGCTAGGTTCGCTGTTTTTCAGTGGAACTTCAACACAGACATTAAGCTGTTTTAGGCTAATACATAAATGGGATCAAAACATCACATGCTTTAGTTATTTCAATTTCTTGGGCTACTTTCTTCTGTTAGTTCAAAAAAATAATTAGACTAATCTAGCTCGGTGTTATCGAAATGGCTTCTTTTTCAGTGTTTCTTAGTCCATTCTACTTGTGAGATTGCAGAAATTCCTAGAGATGGATATTTTGGAAGAAGGTCTAACCGTGAGGACTCCTGTATATGTTGTCACCGAAGGCCACGAGCCACCATTCTTCACGCGCTTCTTTGAGTGGGTTCCTGAAAAGGCAAACGTAAGACATCTATTCCCATCTTGAAGTCACCTCAAACAGATCGTTAGGAAATTCCAGAGTGTTTTGATAGTAGTCTAATGAGTTTCAAGTTTTCGGTTTTTGTATACTTCCACTAATAATATGCATGGAAACATTGCAGAGGCATGGTAATTCATTTGAAAGGAAGCTTGCTAGTCTGAAAGGAAAGAAGACAAGCACTAAGGTCAGTCACAGTCAAAAGAACTTAGTTACTTGAGATGTGTTACAATGATGACATACAAATTACAAGCCAACTATAAGAATGATCATTGTGTTTTTAAGTAGCTACAAAATTTCTGCTTTCAGAGATCTAGTGGAAGCCAGTGGAGACCACAGTCGAAAGATAATGCATCACGTGATTTACAAAGTCGATCTGTGAGCTCAAACGGATCGGAGCGTGGAGTATCACCTTGCTCCAGCGAAAAGCTTTCGAGATTGAGCTCTGCAGAAGACATGACAAGCAGCAGCAACTCAACTCCAGTTGTCAAAAAGCTTTTCTCAGAATCTCTTTTAGTGGATCCTAAAGATGGTAAGCTTTCATATGTCAACCTTCTCACTGAGCGTCTTGGTTAACACAGTTTCAAGATAACTCATTGATGAAAGCAGTGCAGAAACAACAAACTATGTCAATTATCTTTACTAGTGGAGTCTTCAAAGCTCTGATTTTTGATGCAGGATTGGCGAGACAAGAGTCGAGCTCCAAGTCGGACATTTCTAAACAGAATCCACACGGTGGAATCAACAGCGATCTTAGTAGTCTAGAGTCACTTACATATTCATATAAACAGCTCAGAGTTGATTCTCAGGAGCCAGTGTCAAATATAGATGCAACAAGAAGAGAGGTAATTCTGCAATTCCATGTAGAAGTTTAGTTCAATTATTTACAAACACATAAACACTTGACTTCAATGCAATTTTATCTCTCAGGCGTACTTAACAGAGAAAGAGTTTGAAGAGAGATTTGGAATGGCGAAATCTGAGTTCTATGCACTTCCAAAATGGAAACAGAATAAACTCAAAATATCTCTTCATCTTTTCTAAAAATCTCAACTACCCCAGAGTAATATCTTTGGAACAATTCAAAGCTATTTTTTTTGGGTTTTACCAAATGTAAAAACTGTAATGTTCTTGTTCATTGCAATGACCTCATGATATAAGTTTGAGGCTAGTATCTTGTTACTAAATCACAACACTATACATAAAGTTACCTACATATTAATGAGTAAAGTTAACCACACATTGCCTTCATGGTTCCTACTCACTCAGGCCTGCAGTTTTTAACCGAATTGGTTTTCCGACCCGTAACCGAACCGGATCTTTCGGTATTCAGTTCAATTTCGGTTAAGAAATCGGTTCAATTCGGAGGGATTTCAAAACATGTTCGGTTTACCGAATCGATCGGTTAATCAAAATATACCGAAAATAATCCGAATAAGACCAAAACCGGTTCAATTCGATAGAATTTCAATAACCAAAATAAAAGCATTTTTTGTTCGGTTAATTTCGGACCAATTTTACCGAATTAACCGACTCGGTTCGGTTCGCAGGGCTAGTTAATAGTTTCATACCGCAACCAAACGGTGTCGTATTGGGGAATGACTCGAATAAACACAAAAATCAGTTCTTACTAAAACAAAAATCTGAAAAAAGAGGTACGACCTTCTGATCCTTGATCATCCTCATCGAATTTGTCAATTTGACTTGCCAAAACTGAAATCTTTGAGTACCCAATGGATCGAAACCAAAGACCCAGAAGCCTTTTGGATTCATTAGGTGAAGAACTCATCGCAATCCTCACACCTGTCTCGATTTGTATGTTCACCGTTGTTCTTCTGGTCTGTATCTTAAACTCCGACCCTTCTTCTTCCTCCGCCTCTTTCTCCTCTATAGCTACCGCAGCTTACGCAGAGAGCGATTCAGATTCCTCATGGGACAAATTCGTAGGTGCCCTTTTGAATTCTGTCGTCTTCGTCGCTGCAATCACTGTTGCAACATTTGTTCTCGTGCTTCTCTTTTATCTCAGATGTGTTAAATTCTTGAAATTCTACATGGGTTTCTCAGCTTTTATCGTTTTAGGGAACTTAGGTGGTGAAATCTTAGTTTTATTGATCGATCGATTTAGATTCCCGATTGATTGTATCACGTTTTTGATACTTCTTTTCAATTTCTCTGTCGTTGGTGTTTTCGCTGTGTTCATGTCGAAGTTTTCGATTTTGATCACTCAAGGTTACTTGGTTTGGATTGGTGTTTTAGTTGCTTACTTCTTCACGTTATTACCTGAATGGACTACTTGGGTTCTTCTCGTAGCTTTGGCACTTTATGACATTGCTGCTGTTCTTTTACCTGTTGGTCCATTACGTCTTCTTGTTGAAATGGCTATATCTAGAGACGAAGATATCCCGGCTTTGGTTTACGAAGCACGGCCTGTGATTCGTAATGATTCCCGTTTGGTTCAGAGAAGAGTTTGGAGAGAACGTAGATCCAATGACGTTGAGAACCACGCTAATCGGAATGAAGTAAGGGTTGTTAGATCAGAGGAAGTAGAAGAAGAACATGTTGGTTCAAGTGAAAGGGCAGAGATATCTGTGCCGTTGATTGATCGAAGACCTGAGCAGGCTGAGAATTCAGAGACTTTTCTTGAAGGAATTGGGTTGGGATCATCAGGTGCTATCAAGTTAGGGCTTGGGGATTTCATCTTCTATAGTGTTTTAGTTGGAAGAGCTGCAATGTATGATCTGATGACGGTTTATGCTTGTTACTTGGCGATCATAGCCGGTTTAGGGATCACATTGATGCTATTGTCTGTGTATCAGAAGGCTTTACCAGCTCTTCCTGTATCGATCATGTTAGGCGTTGTGTTTTACTTTTTGGCGCGGTTATTGCTTGAAGTTTTTGTTGTGCAATGTTCTTCAAACCTTGTGATGTTCTAAGAGTATGGAAAGTGAAAGGGTGCTTTTGATGTAAAATTTTGAGTACAGTTTCGTTTGTTTCGTCAAAACATTTGTGTTGGTTTGATTGATTATCATTGTATACTGTGCTCGTCCTCGACTTGAGTTCAAATCAAGTTTTTTTTTTATAAATTAAATTTAGAGTTTGCATCACGTAAATAAACAAAGTCTAGCAATTAAATAAAAGAGGAAAAGATAAATCAGAAGAAATGGATTCTACAGTTTGATGAAACTCTGGGAAGCTTCATAAGAGCATCGGTGATTCTCAGGAACTTGTTGTTAACATCGTTGTCTTCTCGGTGATTCACTTCAACACCCACATTGACAGTTTCAAGACATTTCAAATGTCCCAAGAAATGCCTCATGTGTTTCAGCTCTCTACATGTACCTTGATACCCTGAAATACATAGCATCTTCACTTGACAAGTCGATAAACAGCATATTCCCTCTTTCATCTTCTTCTTCTTCTTCATCATCCTCTTAGGTATGCAAGCGCAGGAGTCCCCGCATCTACGTGTAACTTGGTGTACAAGACCCTGATATCAAAAAGGAATATTGATGTACAATAATAACCTAGCAAAGAAATAGAAGTGTGTTGATAGAAGGAGAATAATGATACCTTGATGACTAAAGTTTCTAGGTTAGGAGACTTGTTGATGAGAAGTGGCCACACTGGCCAGCCTCTTTTTTTGTCACTCTCAAAAGATAAAGTACTCGAGAAAATGCTCCAGTAGTTGTTTTAGCTATGCTTTTTAAGTTTTGATTATGAATTTAGTTTTTATTTATTGTTGGTTGTTTTCTACTATTTTTTATTTATGCATTGCTGAAATATATCAATATTTGATTATTTAATACAATAAGTTTTTTCTTTTACTATTTTAGAATCAGAATATTTATTTTAAATTTAATAAAAATATTGAATAAATAATTATAAATTAATAACTAATATGCCGAACAAAAAAATATAGCAAAATAAATTGATTAAAACTAATGTTGCAAAATGAATTGCAACCTTACGAATATGCAATGGATTTGCGACTACGCATATGTCATAATAATGCGACGAATATATTTTGCAGTAGCCATATTTGCAACAGTTTTTGTTTTGATCATCGTCATAAAATATATGCAACAATCGTATATGAAAAAATAATTACTGTATATTTGCAACAATATTTGCTTTATATTGTACGTAGCTTTTAATTATGACGATTTATAGTTGCACTCTTATACCACTATTTTGCTGCATAAATATTGTTGCAATCATACAACATATGTAGCAATAAATTTGTAATGATATTTGCTATACGTTATATGTGGCAATAAATTGTAACAATTAAAAGTTGCAAACGTACGTCACAATTATATGACAAATTCATTACAATAGTAACGTTGCATTAATACGACATACATTGCAAGAAGCTAGTTCATTGTAAATATTGCAACATATGTGCAACAAATGCGAATTTGCAACGCTCAAACATCAACAATACAAAATGTGTCTCAATTTTGTTGCAATGTCATGATTTGCAACGATATGTTGAATTATTGCTACAAATTTTATTGTTGTAATATTACTATTTTCTTGTATTGTCCAACCTCTGCACTCAAAATCAAGTCATCCCCCCTTCTTGCCGTTATGCCTCAAATAACAAGTAGATGAAGAAACATATTCACCCTCATGATATTGAATTTTGTAGTTAGACTTCCTTGTCAATGAGACTGTACTACCATCATACACAAAATTTCTCATCTTTGGCTTAGTGATAGGATGGTAAAAAAACCAACTTCTACTAGTTTCAAGATCTAGGTAATCGCGATCTATCTAATCTTCCCATTCCCAAGGTATCTTGTTGAATATAGTGGAATCTTGGATTGTAGCAATTCCAGTCATAATACCCTCTTCTTTCTTCATAGCAGAGATAATGCATCTTGCATTCCTCTCTTGCACATTGAAAAAGTCATCAACCAAAACATATGCCATATCTTTATCATTGTTGGCCATTTGACTATGATCTTGAGAACAATATCTCATAACTTGAGCAACTCCATGGGTGCATCCAAAGAAGGAGCAACCATGGAGTCTTCTTAGAGCAAATTGAGCAAGTGGTTGATTTGGCTCTACCGGTGACAGAGTAAACTCTCTCGGAGATGGATTTGTCTCTTGATGTGGCGGACTTGGCCCTTCCGGTGACAAAGTAGGCTCTCTCGGAGATGCATTCGTCTCTTCATGCGACATATTTGGCCCTTCCGGTGACAGAGTAGGTTCTCTTGGAGACGGAGTCGTCTCTTCATGGGGCGGATTTAGCACTTCCGGTGACAGAGTAGGCTCTCTCGGAGACGGATTTGTCTCTTCATGCGGCGGATTTGGCACTACAAATAGATGGTTCTTGGATTTTTAAAACTAACGTTCTTCCGAACCCTACAAGAGAAAGGTAAGGAAATCTTACGATTATTCAGCTTAATTAATATTCTTTCTATCATGAATTTTGGGATAAAAGTAATCATGGAACATTGTAACAAGTTAATATTAAACTTAGGGACAATTTCACATAATGAGTTATAGTCTCAATCTAAAATATGATAATTAATCTACTTAAAAGCAATGTCTCTGTCTTTTGTTGATCAAAAGCATGTGTTTTAAAGTAACATTTGATAACTCATAATATAACCATTTATCTATCACTAAACGGAACATTCCAATGATAAATACGTGTGTCTAACAAGTTTAACGTACTGCATCTAATGTGGGCTTGTTTGGTTTGGTATTGTCTCCTGCCATATTTCACAAACTAACAGCTATTTTGTGTAATTTATTAGATCTTTGTCTGGCCAAGATTTAAGAAAACGTTAGAGAGATTTGCAAATCTTGTGGCCTCACTTAAGAGAAAGAAAAATTAATTAATTGATTATTTTTCGTAATTAAAATTTATTTTTGAGGATAAAAATTTACTTCCAGAAATTGTGGTGTTGACACCTAAAAAAAAGGTGTACGAGAATGATTGGTGATTTAGTATAACTAGAAATTTTTGAGGAAATGATTGTTGATTTTAGTATAAGGTGGTGTATTCAATGATTGATTTTAATAGAATTGAAATCCAACACTAATCCAGTGTTATTCAACTAATGATTATAAATCTAACGTTAAAATCTGGTGTTATTAGATCTTATACTTCATTAGATTTTAAAAGTTTGGTGTTATTCAATGGTGGAGTTAAAGTCAATTCTTTAAGGTTTGTAAAATCCAGTGTTATTCAAAACTAAAAGACTTGTAAAATTTTTGTATATTAAGTCATTTCAAATGAAACCTCTTTGGAGTTTCATGAGTAGATTATTAGAATCAAAATCCAAGATATACTGCAGAGATTTTGAAATCCACACAAACAGATTCTTAAAACCAATATCAGAAAACAAATCTAAACCTTAAATAATTGACTTTAACTCCACCATTGAATAACACCCCCTAAATAGATTAACTTTTAGCATTAGCAATGGCCAAATTAACTATATAAGACCAGCAACATAAAGAAAGTGAATGATTGAATTATAAGATCAGCAACATAAAGAAAGAGAATGATTTAAATGCGTTGCTGTCTTGTTAGACCTAGAACGTGGATTTTGGATCCTTTGTAAAGTCCTTTTTGGTTGGTAGTTATATAGTAGTAAAATACAAAAAAAATCTAATCTCTTAAAATGAAAAACAAAGTACATAGAGACTCTACAAATGTCAGTTTGCATTGCTTTCTTGAACCTTTAGAACTTTAGATTGATATGTGACTATACTACTTCTGAGGTTCTTGACCCAAATTGTTGTACTGAAATATGTTACGAATCGTTACATTTTTCTAGTGGACGGCTTGAGTCGACGGTACAAAATGCTTAACCTTTGCTTTTATGAAACGAGGAGAATATTATTATATATAATAACTTAGTTTGATTACTAATGTTTGCAACAATTTAATAAAGAAGGTTTTGCAACCGTCAAATAAATAAAGGAGGAAAGGAGAAGAAATGCATCTGACAGTTTGTTGAAACTCTAGGAAGCTTCATAAGAGCATTGGTGATTCTCATGTACCTATTATAATCATCATTGGTGTCTTCTCGGTGATTCACGTTAACACCAACCTTGACAGTTTCAAGACATTTTAAATTCCCCAAGAAATGCCTCATTTGTTCCAGCTCTCTACGAGTTCCTTTATACCTTAAAATATTTAGGACCTTCACTCGACATATCGATAAACAACATACTTCCTCCTCCTTCTTCTTCTTCTTCTCAAGGATCTTGCAAGGGCGGCAGCCGGATCCACATTTATATGGATTTTTGTGCACAATACCCTAAAAGCATAACGACACGAGTAAGTTCATACACAATAATCTAGCATAGAATTAGAATTGTGTGTGTGTGTTGATAATACGTTGATGACTATAGTTTCTAGTCTTGATATACAAAATTCTTCCTCCTCCTTCTTCTTCTTCTTCTTCTTCTTAGGGATCTTGCAAGGGCAGGCGTTTCCACATCTATCTGTAACTTCGTGCACAAGACCCTGAAAGCATAACGACATAAGCAAGTTCATATATAATAATCTAGCAAAGAACTAGAATTGTGTGTGTTGATCAAATGAAATTGATACTAGACCTTGATGACTAGAGTTTCTAGGTTTGGAGAGTTGCTGAGGAGAAGTGGCACCACTTGCCAACCTCTGTTTTTGTTACTCTCAAAAGATAAAGTAACGAGGTTGTGAAACACCGGCATTGATTTACAACAAAAGTGAAACACCTGATTTATTATCACAACCAAAACAAACATATAGAAATTGAGACTTCAGATTAAAACAATCAATAGAAGAAGAAGTAGAAAAAGAAAAAAACTGACCTCAAGAGAATCATAGGACAAGTGAAGAGTTTTAACATTGCTTATCCCTGCAACCAGACCCGTAACATCACCCACAGCATCCTCACCATATTCATCATCATCATCATCATCATCATCATCGTCGTCATCATCACCATCATCATTATCATCATCATCATTCTCTGTATCACCATCCTCATCATCATCATCATCATCATCATTCTCTGTATCACTATCCTCATCATCAACCATACGTCGACGTTCCCATGATCGAATATTCAGTCTAGCTTCTACAAGAGATCCCAAATAAACCTCATACTGATCTGCAACATAACTATAATAGTCAAGGTACACAAGATTTGGTGTCTTAAAGAAAACATCATCTTGAGCCTCGCGGTAACTGGGAAAATGGTGATAGATGGTCAGTCGCTTGATGGAAGGACTCAACACGGTGCCACTCCAGTTCGGGGGAAATCTAGCCTCATTATAATATAAAAACAAGTCTTCAAGCACAGGGCAGCCAGAGATAAGATCTTGATAAATCTCATAATCTTCAAACATCACTAAAATGAGAGAGAGTTTTTTTAGCGCTGGGAAAATCACGCTCCCACTAGGAAGACGACGGTCAGGATAAATCCCAGTGCATATTGTGAGATTAACCAGTGTGTTGCTTGTGAAGACCTCGATTTCTATAGTATCCAAAAATATGATATCTAAATAAAGTTCCAAGCAGCCGCGCGTAAGGGCAGTCTGGATCCAACTATTCACACGAGAATAGTCATGCAAGGGCAATGCAAAATTTAATTGCAGAGAGAATCTTTTTAAGGTGGGAGCATTGTTTAAGAGAGAAAACGTATTGTCCACGAAATCACAGAAGCCACCAGGATCATCACCTCTTGCGTAATTCAAATCAAGATTTTCTACAAGCCTAAGCAGATTCCTCCAACTCTTTGACAGAACAGATGTGGAAGCAGCATATTTTGTCGGAAGCAAAGATAGGATTTTGCCAAGAACCTCATCTGGCAGATTGCTAATTAAATCTCTTGAACCCATAGCTACGCTTAGAGATTAGATTAGGGTTTTTAATTGAATTTACCCAAAGATAAATTCGATCAGGGTCCAAACCTTAAAAGAAAATAAACAAATTTTAAGAAATGGATCAAAGAAGATTCCACTAAATCTAGAAATGAAACCATAAGGACGAGAACGCAACATTTTAGGGTAAAACTGTTACCAATATATGTACATATATGGCATTTAAACTATTTTTAATTATATAACAATTTTAAAAAAAATCAATGGTCTAACAGAATTTAATAGTGATTTGTTAAACTGAAAAGTGAAAACCATATTTATCATAGAAAATATACAGTATAAACTATATGATGATTACATTATCAGGATTAGGATTATGATTTGTCAAATATAGATTAGAATACTAATCGAACCTATCCGACGAGAAAAAATCGATTATGATTTCAAGTAAGTTCAAATAATTATCGTCCCAATACCAAAAAGCGAAAACAACAAAACTGAACAAAGGGATCAAATGAGATTCCTCTAAATATAGAACAGAACGAGAGTATTGAGGGTGATGTAGTTTGAGATATAGAAGGAGAACAGCTTAATTGTTGAATTGGGAGAAATAATGAGGAATTTTAGAATTCTTTTGTTGTGATACACTATTTATATAAATATATCAAATAAATAAATAAAACTTAAAAAGTTCATGGCTAATTTGCAAAGAAAAATGAGAGTTGCGTTGGTGGTATATCAATGTTCACATAGTTTTTAAGCAGCAGCAAGTGTGAAAAGAGATATATCAAATAACGACTCTAATGTTGCAAGAAGTTGTAGCCCTCGAATTTTTTGACGTGCAAGCCAAGGATCCCGCGGAGCCATATATTGATGAGGATGTGAAATATTGATTTAAGTGCTGAGAAAAACATGCCCCGAGGAGGAAGAAGACCCTCAGCATAAAACCCACCGCATATTGTGAGCTCAACAAGTGTATTGCTCGTGAAGAACTCAGTGTCTATACGATGCACACGTAGGGTCTCCAAGTGAAGCTCCAAGAAGCCGCGCTGCAGGACAGTGCGAATCCAACTGTCTATCCGAGAAGCGTCATGCTCGAATGCACAATTCAGAGAGAATCTCTTAACAGACAGTGGTATCTTAAGAGAGCAAGTGTTTTGTCCACGAAATCACAGAAGTCACGAGGACAACCACTTGCGTCATTCAAATCACGGTTGTCTACAAGCGCAAGCAGATTCCTCCACCTCTTGGACAGAACCGATGTGCAAGCAGCACGATTTGTCCAAAGCAATGACAAGATTTTGCCAAGAATCTCATCTGGTAGACTGCTAATTAAATCTCTAGAACCCACATCTACTCTTTTGGTAGACATATAGATTAGGGTTATAAAGAACCTATCTACGAAAAAAATCAGTTAGGGTAAGGGTTAGGGGGTTACAAGTTCAGATAATTGTCGTCGCAAATTTTAAAGGAAAAACCTAGACAGTCTAATGAATGGAAGAAAAATATCAAATAAGATTCCTCTAAATATAGAACATGCGAGAGTAACGGAGGACTGTGTAGCTTGAGGTCGAAGATACAAATATAGTAGAAGTAAACTTATGTTTGTAATAATTAAATTTTGTCTTTTTTCATAATGGGATTTTCGGAAAAATATTACAGGCCCACCAAGACTAGTGTTTCTAGCAAGGCCCAGTTTTTCTAAACCATAAATTAAAATCAAGAACTAATCAAGAACTAAGCATCTCCATTGGATGAGAGTGTCTTAAGAGTATAACTATTAATATTTGTAATATAATTTTTATATATAATTAAAAAGAAATGAACAAATTATATGTGGACACATGTAGATCAAGTTTGTAAAGAGTGTCTATATAAGTTTTTGGTAGAGACACCAATTTCATTCTCTTTCTTCAACTTCATTTATTTTATTACTTTTTAATTATAATTTGTGAGACATCCAAAAAATGCTGACCAATGAAGTTGGTTTTAGATATATAAACCATTTCTCCTGACCATCCTCAACAGAGAAACCTAGGCCATGGTGTCTTTTTGCTCTTTCGCTTTTTTATTTCTTTTCCTCACTTTTTCGCTTATTTCAAGAAGTTTTGTTGTGTTGACGATCCTCTTCGTCATCTGATTTATGTCGATAGCAAAAGTTATCATTGTGTGGATGATTTCTTTCGTTAGTTGATTGATAAAAAGGATTGATCCATGATTTTTTTTAAATCTCCCTTTATTAGATTGGTAATTTTCTAAAATATATCATAATTTGTTAAATTTATTCGAAATTCTACGTTATTGGATTTATCATGTTAAATAAGTTTTGAAATCTCGTCTTAATGAAAAAAAAATCGTTAAACAATTACACCAAAATCATCTCAAATGAAAGACAATCCTACTTTTTCTTGCAAATGAAAGACAATTCTACTAATATTAAAAGGGAAGTAAATTAGGGTGCAAATGGTTGACGTAATTGAAGAAATTGAAAGAGTTAAATGAACATTCAACCAATTTTTTACAATTTGAGTTGAAATAGTTGAAAAAATGATTCAACCCATTCAACTTAAATAACTGAAAAATGAACAAATTATGTGCAAATGGTAGACTTAAAATAAAAGGTTGAAAGAGTTGAATGACCATTCATCTCATTTTTTACCATTTGAGATGAATAAGTTGAAAAATTGATTCAACCAATTCAACCTAAAAAGTTGGAAAAATGAATAAATTATGAAGGAAAATTGTTCAACCCTTTCAACTACTATTTCGCAGAGGAATGAGTTGAATAATGTTCAACTTTTTTTGTTCAACTCAAAAATTTTCAACCATTCATCTATATGTCATCCATTTGCAATATATCTCAAATGGTAATAAAAAGTGAGTTGAATGACCATTCAACTCTTTCAACCGCTTATTTCATGTCAACCATTTGCACCCCATCATATGTCATTGACATAAAGACAAACCAACAAAATTCATTAAGAATAAAAATTTCTAAGATCTACTATCCTTATTACCAAGTAGTCTAAAAACATCACTCTATTATCTATGTAACCAAACAAGTCTACAATATTTTTTATTTCTTTATTTCACGAAAAATACCATGTTTTTTCTCCAAAAGAATCGTGGTGATGCAGATTGTAGCATAAGTGCTTAGTGCACAACTTTTCCCCTCTAAAAACGTCTTCAAATGAGGGAGATAGTGAGCTGCCATAACATGTGGCATTACATCTCCATACAGAGAGATGCATTCAAGACACTATCTTCAGAATCTCAGATTCGTTGCTGTGGCTGTGAGCCAATTTTTTTAAAGTAATAGACATAAGGAAATCTCAAGCAAGTCATGATGAAAGAGTGTGCCCTATAAACACTCTTCCAATCAGTAGAAGACACAAGTCTATCACACTCTTAAGTAATCCAGCTGCGAACTGCTCTTTTCACAGACCTTTGTGTAAGCATCTTCCTTAGCAAATCAGATACAACTCTTCTTCTAGTGTTAGAAAAGATAAAACTAACTTCATCTTTTTCCATGAGTTGTTTATCCTCTTCGAAATCTTGGATGTATGGACAAGCGATCTTCTTGAAAACCACTCAACACTCGCCACTGTTTATCGAGATGGAGTTGAGAGAGTATGTTAGGAACTCAATCTCTCCTTTCGAGATAATTGAGGTAGAAGATCTTAGCAGCACATTTTCAAAAATCTCTCTATCCACTTCAAGTTGTTTTATCTTTTTCTTTGTCGAATGATGTGATGGTAGCATCGTTTTTAATTTCATATCTATTAGATATCTTCGTTGCACGATGATTTTTTCTCCCTTTCTTCCTCTCATTGATCTGGAGTAATGAGAATCAAGAAAGATATATGAAAAAATGAATCTAATATTTGTTAAGAAAAATAAGGTAAATGTGATATTTTGTCTTTATTTAAAAGATATATCTATCATGTTAAAAAAATGTTTCAAAATATCTTCTTATTGAGAAAAAATCATATTTTATTATATAAAAAAAAAACTAAAAAACCAAAATCATATATATGTGCAAGGCAATCCTAATATTAAAAGACAATCCTACTTTCTTTTCTTTTGGCATGTGCAAGGCAATCCTAATATTAAAAGGAAATTACATCCTATACTATTATTTGGGGAATACATTTTGGAACTAACCTTAATTTTTGTAAGTTATTACATTAGAATGTCATTAGAGATAAAATTTTAAAGAGTAAATTAATTCAGCCCATTAAGGATAAACAAGTAAAATACTAATTTATACTCCCTCTGTTCCTAGATATTTGATGTTTTGGATTTATTTTTTGTTCCACAAAGATTGATGTTTTGTAATAGCATTATTACTATTTTTATTTGTGACCGATAGAGAAAAGAGAGAAGTTAGATTAATATTATTAAACTAATAATAAAATAATAAAAATATTATAAAAGTGAATTTTTCTTGGAAAAACTAAGAAATCTACCACATTCTCCCCAATTCTTTCCAAATCTACCACATTTTCAACTTCCTTTCCAATCCTACCACATTTGATATGGGAAGTTACTATTTTGCCCTCTCTTTCTCTTTCTCTTTATGTTTATTTTTTAAAATTTTTTATTTTCTTTTCTTTCTCTCACTCTTTTTCTCTCTCATATTATTTTTTCTTTCTCTCACTTATAGATATATATACATATATATATATGTATGTATATATATGTATATATATCTATATATATCTATAAAGTTTTCTTTTTCTTTTTCTTTTCACATGATTTTTTCTCTCCTACAAAATCTAAATCTGGGTTTGAAAATAGTTTATTAGTTATATAGTTTTGGTCCACGACATTAAATCGGCTACACATTTAGATATGGGTTTCTTCTCATATGAACTTGTCCCCGATCTAATTTTATTACTCATTTGATCTGAACTTATCCTCGATCTAATTCTGGTACTCATTCGATATTACTCATTCAAAATCTAAATTTGGGTTTGAAAATAGTTTATCAATTATATAGTTTTGGTCCACGACGTTAAATCGGCTACACATCTAGATCTGGGTTTCTTCTCATATGAACTTGTCCTCGATCTAATTCTATTACTCATTTGATCTGAACTTGTCCTCGATCTAATTCTGGTACTCATTCGATATGAACTTGTCCCCAATCTAATTATATTACTCATTCCATATGAACTTGTCTCCGATATAATTATATTACTCATTCGATCTGAACTTGTCCATGATCTACTTTTATTGCTCATTCGATATGAACTTGTCCTTGATCTAATTCTATTACTTATTCAATATGAACTTATCCCCAATCTAATTCAATTACTCATTCGATCTAAACTTGTCCCCGATCTAATTATATTACTCATTCCTATGAACTTGTCCCCGATATAATTATACTACTCATTCGATCTGAACTTGTCTCCGATCTAATTATATTACTCATTCCATATGAACTTGTCCCCGATTTTAATTTAATATTGTCTAATATATTAAGAGAGCAATTGTAAACGTGCAGCATTAAATGCAGACT